TGTCCTACCACTCCCACGCGCGCTTTTCGATTTCAGCTTCCGCTTCGCGACAGGTCGTGCGCGACTTTGGGGTTGTGCCTTTCGGGTTGGCATGTTGCTCGTGCTTCCAGCCGTGAGAAGCGAGTGGGCATTTATACTTGCTTTGATGAAGGGGAAGGTTTGGCAAAGGTCTGTGTAGTGATGTCTTTGGAAGAGCAGGAATAGTTGCGATTGTAGCTGCGCCACTACACCATCACCAATACCCTAAACTAATTCAAACAAAACTAAAACCTTCAACACGAAAATAAAAACATAACAGTTGTGGACTGAGTATTTGGACATGAAGCGCTCGTATGGGACCACCGGGCAGACTATGCCGTCGGAGTTTGAGTTTTTCCAGGTATGTTTTTTGTTGAATAGCAGTAGCTGTAGCACAAATAATAATTATAATAAACAAGCGACCTTTCCGTTTCCAATATGCACGTGTACTTAGATGCAGCAGTGTCTCTGAGAATTTTTTGCAAGATGGAGTCAAAATCTAAATCATGAACATGATGTTCATCTTTTACAATTATGTCTCTTCTACATCAAAAAACAGAGCCGGTGCGAGTCGTGCAAAACCGCCACGGAGCCCCAGATCATCCTGCAAGCGAAGCGCGAGTGGGGTATGGCGTCCAGCCACTGGCTAACGACGATTCGCCATCACGGCACGCAGGAGCATGAGGGAAAATACGCTTCCTTCTGCAAGTATTAAAACTAAAGTGCTTTGATTTTGCAGTACTATCTTGCGGCCCTGCGATAGACGTTTGTGTTTTTATTTGGCATAAAGCACACAAGCACAACTCTATCGCAGGCCCGACGCGATCGAGACACCACACGGATCCGTGACTTATGTAGCGACATTTTACTGCCGGAGGTGCCACATCTTGTCCTCAGAAGAGTTTCACAAGCCGTTGTACTTGGAAAACTACTCCAGGTCCAAACTGTTTGCCGCCGGTTTGCGCTTTGTCCGTGCGACGGCGCGCGACTTGATCCTGCAGGCCTGCTTCAAGTTCATGCTGGAGTACAACATCTCCCTGACCCTGCGCCAGATCGAATCGTTGAAGGCCTTCGTGAAGATGAACCACTACCGCGACCAGGCGGCCAACCACAACGCCAACAAACTGATGCTGCATGTCTTGTGCCAGACCGCCAAGAACGCGCTCCGCGGGCGCGTCCCGACTTTGGAGGCCGGACAGACCGGCGTCACGATCGAGGTAAAATTACGATTAGATGTTTATGTAGATGTGAGTGTGGGTTTGAATTTGAATTTGAGTTTGTGAGTGGAGGTTAAAATGTGAGTTTGTATGTGGAAGTGAATGTGAGTCTCCGTGTGATTCTGAATTCAAAGAACACGATGATCCGCTACCGACTCTACCTCCAACTAGTGCCGTTGCATCATGATGTCCTTACGTTTTTTCATTCAGCAAGAAGATCATGATCAGCACTTGTTGTTCATGTGCGTGTTTATGTTTGAATCATAACACTATGATCACTCACAACAGACCTGCCAATCCACCGAGGACATTGTCGTCGCCACGACCCCCGAGCAGGCCGGCTTGAAGGACTCCGACCCGAGTGCGTGGTGCTTCGGGCGACTCGAGATGTTGGAAGAGCGGCGGATCAACAGATTCGTCAAACTCCTCGAGTCGATGATCTTTTTCCGCATCGCCACCATGAAGGGTGAGTTGGCGGGGCAGATGAATGTGATCCAGGGTTCCGGTGTGGTCACCCCCAAGATCAACCCGTCCGAAGGTCTGCGCTGCATCCTCGACGGGGACGGTTTGGGCGTGCTCGACGGATTGGCGTGCATTGTCATGGGCAAGAAGACCTCCCCGGAGGTGGCGACGATCAAGCAGGAGATCAAGACGTTCACCGAGCGGAAGGCGCAGGACAAGAAAGACATCTTGAAGAAAGCGAAGATGGATGCGCAGGCGTTGAAGACGCAGAGTCAGCGCGCCGCGAGAGTCAACGTGGCCGTCGGGTTGGACCAGCAACTCGAAAACCTCGAGGACGAAACGCACCGCAAGCTCGTGCAGCACGACGCGGAAGTGAAGGAGTCCACCCTGCTGATGACGGACCGGCTAAAACAGGCCGAGGAGACCAAATACTTCCAAGTGAAGTGCCGGGGACAAACGCCGACCGTACGTTTTTTAATTAGAACTTTCTGTCCGGACACGATTAATGGAAACATTGGACTCATCGTATATTCTACACATTTCGTGTTCAAGTAAATCGTCCTCAACGTAGTTTTTCTTCCCGCGTAATAGCTGTGCATGTAGTTGTAGACTTACAGATCTTCATGTTCATGTAACAGCCATCATCTGAGAATGTATCATCGTGCTTTGCTTTGGCTTTTCAATTTTAAAATAAAACTTATCAGTTACCGGGGGAATGCCTCAGCTTGGACACCGCGTACTACAACTGGCTGGACGAGTTGTACTACAGCTCCAAGACGGAGTGCGAAGAGCCGGACGTCAAAAAAATGATGATCATCCCCGGCCGCTCCAAGATCCACATCATTCTGAAGAACAAAAAGAAAGAAATGGATGAGTGGTTCACTAAGGTGGTCGAAAAAGAGTTTTGGGTGACCTGCAAGGCCGGTAAGAAGATCAAGAAGATCATCTGGTTTCCCCAGGAGTTCACCATCAACGAGGGGAACATCATCATCCGCTTCAAGGTCCCGATGGCCGTCGACACGGGCTCGGACTCGAACAGCGAGGAGGAGGAGTACAACCTGCAGATGCGGGGCAATAAGAAGAAGGCGATGGACAAGTTGTTGAAGACCGGTGCGCTTTTGTACAGTACCACCGACGAGGAGGTGATCACCGGTGCCAACGCGCAGGCAAGCAGTTCTTCTTCGTCCTCTTCCTCCTCCGGTGCCAACGCGTCTTCGTTCAACCTGCTGCCGAAGAAGCACAAGCGCAAGGAGGACGAGGGCCGGTTGTTGGACGACGACTCCGAGAATGACAAGGAGAACAAGTCCCCGAAGAACAACAACACCAAGCGCAGGAAGTCTACGGATGATATTGATGAGAGCCTGTTGTAATTGTAAAACACATCTTCATCGGTTATTCTGATCATAGTTGTGGATGTGGTTGTCGTTATGTCTCGGTCTACCTAGTCTTAGCCATAGCCACAGCTTCCTCCCTGCAGCTGATGTGCGCGAGGTTCTTCTAGTTTCTCGTATGGAAAAATAACAACTCTAATTCGAACAACAGCAACAACGCGAAGGCGAAGCTTGTCGGTACTACAATAAGCGCTGCTACTTAAAGGAAGACAAGCAAGTTTATTTGTCACGCATCACCACCTCCTCCTTTATATCTCCATGTTGCGCGAGAGCTACTCGTAGTTCAAGTTGCAGCGTGGAGATGATTCGTTTTATATCGAGCTCATGCCAAGAGGCGACGGCGAGCTCATGGTCATGCCAAGAGGCGACGGCAATTTATATCGAGCTCTCTTTCATACAAGCTCACGCCAAGAGGTGACGGCGTGAGTTTGATTCTTCTGTCGAGCACGTCAGCATGATTTTTTTGTTTCGCACTACCACGGACTATTTTTGGAGGATCGCGCGTCCGTCTTTAGAAATTGTTTTCTATTTCTTTTAGACAGATGATAATAGGGCGACGCTACCTCTCCTGCGGATTCGAAGGCAATGCTTCCCTTCGTTCCAAGAAACTTTTTCATCAGATAATGAATATCTTTAACATCATGCGACGTGCTCAAAGTACAAAAATAAAAATACAGAACTTTATATTTGATAAATTAATATCTACATCGAGATCTTTCTCCGCCGGTGTTCGCGCCGGTTTTCTTTTTATGAGCACTACACGTAGAGGTAATAATATTATAATTATATTTCTTATCAGACATTCGAATCACCAATTTTTATCCCGCCACTTATAGTGGTGGGCTTGACGACACGACTTGCTTCGCGAAGCCAGCAGAGACGAAAGACTCGTCCTAGTCTCTCCTGGTCTTTGCAACTACGATTTATACCCATCCGTTGAGTGAGAGACTTGTTGTTTATCCACTGTAGTGCCCGCACGATGAAAAACGACGCTACGAAGAAGACGGCAAAACAGACGATGTAGAACAATCATCCTCCTCTTCGGTATTAGAGTTAGACTATGAATAAAAATGTATGTGCAGTGACAGGTGGTGCCTACCTGCCGTGAGAGCGCACCTGTAGGAGGCGGTTGCTGCTTTTGATTCTCAAGGAGACGCTGTTTAACAAACCATTTGTTTTACAAACAAGAACGAGAATCCTTCTGCTGGCTTGTATAGCAGCAGACTTGTATCAACGTGTCGATGAAATTAAAAAAAACCGAATCATCACATCGGTCACTCGCGCCGTGGCATGCGAGCCTATGTTCTTTTTAGCACGAAAATGCGAATAGTTGTGGTTTTGCTTTAAACCACAACTATTCAAATTGGTCAGATTTGACCAATTCCGCGGAATTTGCGTCGTCGGTCGTGGTGAGAAGAAAGGTCGTTGTCGGTCACCAAGGTATGTATCGGTGCAAAGAATTCAGATGTACTAATTTTGGAACTCAAGTGATCGGTGATATGTCGTAGGGCGCTTTCAGGAAGGTGGATCATGGCTTTCGGAAGGTGGATCATGACTTTAGGTTTTAGGGTTCATCAAAATAATCATGACCAAGTTCATCAAAAATCACCTTCGAGTTCATCAAAAATCATCTTCGGTTTTTGCGAGAGTCATGGTGATGTTTTTTGAATTCGGTATTTTTTTTTTTGAATTCGGTACTTCGGATTTCCAAAATTCATACAACGGAGTTCCAAAATTCGTACACCGAATACCTTTGCATAATCGCCAACTTAGCACTTTCTGATGTCCAGGTTTCTATATTTTGTCCCTTCATATACTATGTGGTCCACCAACATAATTCTACTTCAAACGTCGAGGTCTACTACTTCTTCACCCGTCGGAAAAGAAAACGCCGTGGAGCTGTGCTGTCGAGATGAACCGGAAGACTGTTCATTTCGGCTTGCCGTTGCCCTACTCAACCGCCCTGCTGCGGATATTGATATTTTATTCCGGTCCACGTGGGTCACCGACGTTTTTCTTGAGGAGTTCGGAGGTGTTGATAACCACACTAGCCACTTCACCACCACTTTCCCGACGAGAAGTATTGGAAGCAACTTCAGTATTGGAAGCAACTTCGAGAATGTCGTCTGAAGACGGTTCTGAGGCTGCCACTTCAACCACGACCGGGGAGCAGCACATCACCGCAACGACCCGTGCAGCTGGCAGGCTGTTGTTAAGGGTTGAAAAAATTAAGGTTTACATCAGGGTTTTGGTTCGTTGTTTCATAGATTTCGCAGCCCCCGCCTTTGTCCCTCTTCGCACCGCCCGGCAGTTGTCCAGGTGGTGCCTTGGTTCGTATTTCGTCTGGCTGGCAAAACCAAAGCCGCCGGGCCTTCAGAGCTGAAGGCCCTTCTGCCTTGATGCCGATCCAGATTTTGTGCGAGGTGTCGCCACAATTCTGACGAGCGCACGCTGGCTGATTTGGGGGTCAGCATTTCCCTCGAGATCTAGGCTGGCATCTACGCCAGGCAAGCCGCCTCGCCTCGCGCGTTACTTGGTACGCGGAGCAGGCTGCCCGGCTTTTCTGCCTCTGGATCTCGTTCCGCAATCTTGCGGGACAACGTTCGGAGGCAGAGGTAGATCACCACCCTGGCCAGCCAAAGAGATGCGTGCCCCTGTGATGGCTGCCGCCAAAGCGGCAGGGTTTTGGTCAGGGTTTTGCTCCGAAAAGGCTCACCGCAATCGAAGCAAAAGCTTATTTTTTTCGGGAGCTTCCCCCGAGCTAATAAAATCAGTTTTTGCTTTCGCTTTGCTCTCCTTTTTGTCGCCGAAAGTGTGGAGTTGTTCTGGGCGGGTTTGTTCGCCCATATCGTGCCCAGGCAACCTGCCTGGCCTTGCAAGTTACTTGGGGCGAGTGACAGGGCGCCCGGTTGCTCTGCCTCCGGATCTCGCTCCGCAATCTTGCGGGACAACGTTCGGAGGGAGAGGTAGATCACCATCCTGGCCAGCCACAGAGATGCTTGGCTCTGAGGTGTCCGCCGTCGACCTCATCTTCAAACCAAAACAGCACAACACCTCATCTTCAAACCATCCGGGGAGCAGCACGTCACCGCGACGACCCGTGCAGCTGGCAGGCTGTTGCAAAAGGAACCCGGACCACGGCACGCGGACGGAATGGTTCTCGTACATAGAAGTAGAACTACATCAGATGACTACGACATCAATGCGGATGGTGCTGATGAGCCACGAAGCGGAACAAACACCAGGGGTAGTATTAGTAACATCAACAGAGGGAGAATACGTGCGACCAGAGAAGCAAGAAGTGGAAGTGCTGCGGCTGACTCGGTGGTCTTTTTGGACGAATCTACTACTCCGCAAAAACTGCGAGGGCAGCAGCAGAGGGTGCAGGTGGTCATGGATGATCACGATCAGATCAAATATGTACTCAATTATCCTGAGCAGGAGGTATGAATTGCAAATATGTCTGGGTCTGGAAGAGCCATGCTGTTTTTGCATGACGCAGAAGGTCTGGCATGCAAGCTCTAGCATCACAGGTTTCGAGAAGCTTCCGCAATGCCGAATCCGCATGACAAGTCCCCCGCTTTGGGGACAGAAAGTGGGCAGCTTTTGCCACCTATGCATGAGAGATTTTTCTGTGTTCGGAAATGCGCATCACAAGTTTGTATTCTTCCAGACCCAGACATATTTGCAATGCATAGGAGGCGGAAAAAAACGATCCTCATCGCGGGCCCCCTACAACGACGACACGGACAACGGAAACCACAAGGAGAACCCCCTCGCCCGAGATGAAAATAACGCATGCCCGGCGCGGCACTAGCAGCACTACCACCACCAGATCTCGAGCAGCCGCAGCCCAACTCGGCTTGCCCGCACCATCTCCGACTCCCGTTGTCTTGTTCGAACCCCCGCCGCCGCCAGCGCCCGGCCCCGCTCCCGCCGTGGCTCCCGGCAAAGCCGCGGGCTACGACTACAAGGGGAACGCCTTTTGCATGTGTGGTGGCGATTGGCTGAACTGCAGGGGTCCCCCCCGACACCCTTACTTTTCGCAGCACGCCGACGCTAAAGTACCCTCCGCAACTACGGTGCAGGCCTGCGGTGATGCGTGTGACGCGAAAGTGGATAACTGTGCCGCCTTTTCCTTCGCGCAGTCTCCCTTCAACACCCACTGGCAGGACACGCCATGCATTCTCTTTCTCACCGACGGAGCAATGATAGCGCGCGTGGACGACTCAAGCGTGTACATATCCATTGAAAATATCTCTGGGTCTGGAAGACTCATCTTCCAGAACTCTTAGAGTTCGGCTTTGTCATTCTAGGTCCTCTGGCTGAAGAGCAAGTAGAGAGACACAAAAGCGTGAGCTTTTGCATGAGCAGCAAAAGCCGCCCACTTCTGGACTACGGCACTATTTTTCATTTTCGTACAGGATAGGCATAGGCATTGCGGGCCCCTCTCAATAAAACTTGTGATGCCACAGCTCGCACCAGTTCAGGCCTTGGCTCGAGGTGATGATGCGAAGCCTGCAAGCATGTTGGCAGATCTTGACGTGACCTTCCGGACGCAGAGGTATTATTTGCGCTGGATACTAGTCCAGTGCGAACGCTGTGCACTGCTTCCGGAGGAGAGATAAGTGCTACAAAATGAACGTTGACATCACCGTCGATAGCAACACTGCTAGTCGGTACGCCAAAGCTTCTGGATACCAAGGGCAGACTCTGCCCTATTACGTCGCCACGACTCACACCACGCTGTCGTATCCTGCCAACTACGGTGGTTGCCACCGCCTGTGCATTGAGCAACCCGAAGTGACACACAACAAGCTTCTCGTCTCGGACATCAGCGATAACGCGATTCGCAGCCGAGACATGGACTTTATGCTACGACAGAAATGCACATGAAGAACTCGGCTGTCTCCCGTTCCCCCTCTTGATTTGTTGTGCAAAATGTTGATCCGTAGGCCCTTGTTACCCTTTGTCACAAGCGAAACTGGAGGTGGAGTTGTTTGCATAACTTAACAGCAGGCTGAGGCTCCTTCAGATGACACAAGGCGAGACGAGTGATCCTTCGGAAATTTGTCATGCAAGGGGAGCGGCAAGAATGAACGCGCTTTCGCTTTGTTTGTTTCTGCGAAAACTGCCCTCCAGGTCCAGACGAGGTGCGGGAGTTGAGCGAGCGTCTGAGCACTCTCATACATCAAGGCCACCTTCGATGAAGCGACGAAAAACTGCAAGTGCCATAATTAGAGTGTTTTACAACACAGATGACAGATGAAACAGATGACACAGATGATACAGATGACCAACTTTGCGAATTTTGTTGAGGGGCTTTTTTTGGTCATCTGTGTTCACAGATGACGAGCATTCGAACAGCGAAAACCGGAGCCCCAAAATCCAAAACAGCCCTTTGTCGCCGAAAACAAAACAAAAAAGAGAGCCGGCTCTCCATTGTCGCCGAGAAAGTGCGAGCAGATAGAGCAGCAGCACCTCCACAGGCCCCACCCGGTGGGCCGATGCGCCAGCATTCCCAATGGCAAAGGCACGAGCACGACGATGCTGCGCAGATACGCCGATAGCTAGGCGGTGCTGTGCACTACACCTTCCCGCCTCGAAGAGATTCAGGCAAGGAATAGGGTAGATAGACCGACGACGTTCCGCTTCCTTCCAAATCTCTGGCTCCGCCCAAAAAATGGAGATTGAAGTGCGGGCTGTCATCTGTCATCTGTGCCTTTTCTTTTGCTTCCCGTCGAAACTTCGTCATCTGTGTCATCTGTTCATCTGTACCTTCGTCATCTGTGCCAGCCCCCCCTTATACAACAGCCTACCATATGTACACAGCCAGATACGACCACGCCAGCCTGGCTGGCGGCGCACTCACGGTGGCTGCCAACGCTATTCCCTGAAAATTAAACATCTTCATGATCCAGTTTGTCACGCAAAACACGCAGCAAACAAAGACAAAGTCGAGTTTATGGGTCATGCAGAAAGTGGATCATGGTGATGGCGGTTAATTTGCAGGGAATAAACGCGATCGAGGAGTATCAAACGACCTGCCGGGAGCACTTCGCGAAAACCTGTCTCGGTAGCGGCGTCATGTTATCAACAGCGAATATCTCTGGGTCTTCATACTGGAACAAAAAACTACACTTGCCATGCAACATTTTTTTGACATGCAAGAATGTCTGGAGTGCACGACGCAGAGCATGACAAGATCCGCTGAGTCTTCTCGATGCTAGCCTTCATGAGAAGCGCCCTCTTCGGCAAACAAGAAGCGCGCTCTTACTTAATTCCTTTTGCTGACTTCTATGCAACTTCGATTTTATATTTTGTGACTGTCTTTGTCTACTCCAGTTTCAGCAACACTAATCGGGATGTTTCCAGATCCAAACTCAGGCGTGCTTGTTGCCCTGCATATATATACGCCACATATGTTGCGACCCCGAGGAACTGCCGCGTATTGTGAGGAAATATACCTGTTCCTCCCCATATCCAATTTTGAAGCGGTATGCTTCCAGAAATTTGCGATGCTGATTTGCGGCCACAAGTCGCGTTTGTCCTGCAAGAAGGCAAATCCATATGGCCCGTCGCACTACTTATATTCGTCGGGCGATTTGTGACGCTATCATGGTGCCTAGGCCTACAGGGAAGGCGTCTGGTATACCAAGCGCCTCCAATGCCAACACATTCCCGCCCAGCAAGTGCAGAGTCTGCCTGGATGCCCTCGCTGCAAGACAGCGCTTAATATCCGTGTGCAAAAATTGCGCGCCATAGATTTCTATCTGAATATGTGGACGAGGGGGGACGTTTCATCGTGATACCGTGCGACCTCGCACAACGGCAAGTACGCAGAAAACGAACACTCGAAGTCCGTTTTAAAAGACACGGTACGCAAAACACAAGCTCACCTTCGCGTTCGCACACATACAAAACGCATGACAAAGTCTCCCTAAACGGGTAGAGGTCGACATCACTTGTGGTCATGTCAAGTCCCAATATACTGGCGGAAACTTGAACTTCGCATCATGATCACGCAAGAAAATAAAGATATACAAGTCCAACTTCTATGACTATGTAGTATGTAGTATGTGTGCAGTAGCAGTTGTAAACTTACTGTGGACACAGGAAGTGCCTGCCCTACCAGTATCCCCCATCCGCCGCCTGCAATGCCGAAGTCTGCTGCGTGCCGCTCCGCGCATGTAAATTGCTGACGTGCTCGGGTCCGAAACTGAAGGACATGTCGAATAAAGATTCCCTGTACTGCAACCCAAGCGACGCTGCGTTCTGCAATACCAATGACTGTTGCGACGGGAAGTGCTACGAAGCTCTCTGTCCAATGCGCGAAGAGATATCCGATTTCGCCACGAAAACGTGCCCGGCCAGAGAATGCGTCACTGCGGACTGCTGCCCCGATGGGAAGTGCTACGATGCTCTCTGTCCAGCCGCGACGCACGAAAAGAAATCCGATTTCGCCACGAAAACGTGCCCGGACCGAGAATGCGCTGCTGCGGACTGTTGCCGGCAGAAGTGCACACAGGGCTTCTGCGACGAGGTGAAGCAACCGCCGCCGGGGGAGAAAAAACGAATGAAAGTCATACAAAACGCCGTCTGCAGCGGAAACACGTGCGACGCTTCCAGCCAAAACGATGTTGCTCTCTGTTGCGAACTATCCACCTGCTGTGTACACGTATCGTGCATGTGCTTGTTCTTGCGAGACTTGCATAGAAAATAACTCATCTCTCCTCCCAGGGCAATTTTTTTTGGAAATCCAAACTTAACTTTTACTTTTCATGTTGAAAAAATTCGTATATGTTGTTTGTAGCTAGTACGACTACGATACTTGTTTTGCAAGGCATACGAACCCACCTGCGAGTCCGATTTCGACGGGGCGGCCGAGTGTCCAACGGGCTACCTGCCAAGGCCCGATCCGCAGCTGATCGCTTTATTGACCAGCGGCAGTGCAGCGCCCTCCTTGCCCGAAAAGCAGTCCCGCTGCTGCTTCGAAAAACAGTGCGCGTGCCGGTATCAAAAGTATGGCGTCGCTGCGGGCTGGCTAACTTCCACATCCGTCTCCGAACCCGAGAAGGCGGCGGTGGGAGAGCAGTGCCCAGTGCAGGGAAGTAATCACTGCGCCATGTGCGACGATGGGTACCATCTAGAGCCGACTGTTACCGCCGCGCCGGACGCGGAAACGCGAATTTGTGTGGTGAATCGCTGCACGTTATCGGGTGGAAAATAAAACGTACGAGCCCAGGCTTGTCATGCAAATCTGCAAATCCCAACACCAGTTGTTTCTCAACATCATCAAGTTTACTAGCCCCATGAGGAGCATACATCAGCATTTTCCAATGGTGTCTGGCAGTTTATTGTCGCACTGCCACTGATGAAATAGAAATCAGGACAAGACGATTGTCGATCTGCGATGCGGTTTCACAGGCTAAAGTGGATTACACTACGAGCCCAGGCTTGTCATGCGCAACGCGCAAAACTTGCTCGCTTGTGTAGCAAAATGCCCGTCTTAGCCCTGGGGAGGTTGTCACGTTTTTACACAGGACACACGTGCGACGATAGCGCGGTACAAGATGAACGCGGTGAAGATGTTGGCATCACTTCATCGCAAGTAAAGAACGTAACCCGCATCGGGGAGCCTGTGGTGGGCGACATGCGGGATACGCGCGGCTTGGTCTGCGCGGAGAACGGGGCGCAAATGTGCTACATCTGCCTGTCTGGGTACGTTCTCGACAATACCACACATAACTGTCTATCAGAAGAAGACCTAGCCAGCGGGAATAATACACGCCGGACGACCTCCGATCATGATGCTGCAAAGCCAACGGATTTGCGGAATACTATGCTGCTTGCATGTGGAGCGTATGCAAATAAAAATGACTGGCTGGTGCGCAGGTGGAGTACTAGCTGCCGTGGCCTATCAAACAACTCATCGTCTAAAAACTACAAAAATATATGAAACTTGCATTGATTCGCACAAAAAGCATAAACAAGAACAACATTTATTACGACGACTTTCAGTATGAAATTGAAAATCCGGGTACTGAGTAATTACTAACGCGTGTCAGGTTTCAGGATCGAGAACTGCAGGAGTGCGCCACGAAAATCCAAGACATAATCATAAACATGAGTTGCAGTTGGAGTTTGTACATAACACAGCTAGTCGATTCTTGCTGCAGTCGATACGATTATAGTCCTGGGGTACGGCTCGTTTACCATTTGGACAATGGCGCAAGAAGACCAAGGCTTCGTCGCCTGAAGCTGAAGCTAATTCTAATTCAAACTCTTGAACCGCAGCACTGGCACACGAACGACACGAAACAGCAAGGGCATGATCAAGATCGAGTAACAAGTAAGAGAATTTGAACTGAGCTTTCGTCTCTACTTCCGCCGCTTCCTTGTCGCGGTGGGGCGGCGTTCTTCAGCTCGTTTGTGTTCTTCGAGATCGAGTGTGCCAGTCTCACGAAACCACGTTGCTCTTCCTTGTTCTTCACGAATCACGACCTTCATCCTGATCATCTTCCGAATCAACATCATCTTCAGGCATCGGTAATACAGCGGCGCTGGCAGCAAGAGCAACGAGCACTTCGAGTTGTTCCCGAACAATTCTACAGTTGTAGATGAAGAAGCCAAAGCGTCGATCAACAAGAGCAAAGGGATGATAAGGAAAATCGCTCGTCACTCACACTCCTGCTGAAGAGTCGTCGTAATTTCACGTAGTTGGAATATCGCATTAGGAGTAGTTGTCTATCGAGCTCGAGGTAGACACTCCATTTTTAACAAAAATGTTGGTATCTCTGAACCAAAGCACCACGACCGCGGAGCGCTCTCTCGCGGCAACCACATCACCCGCTACGACATCACCCTCGTCCACGTTCCTCCCCTACCTGTTCCTCACCCTTTTTCTCCACCTGGCTTTCGGCCTTTTCCAGGTTGCTGGCCGGTATTTGCAAACAGTCGCTGGGCTGCAGGCGTTTTACCTGCTGGGTGGATTGAATTTTGTCAGCTGGACCCTCATATTTCTGAGTTGCTGTGTACCGTCTTCGTGTCTTCTAAGTGGGAAAAATAAAGCAGATGTAACTTCGCAAGAACCGCAAGCAGCACAGACGATCGTGACCACCACCTCCACTAGTACAGGACTGCGACTTTCAGGAACGCATCTCACATTTTCCGGTCCACCAGCTCGTCGGGGCAGCAGTAGGAGTGGTTCTGCTTCTATCTTCCGGAACAAAAAATCAATGTCCACCAAATCGGTTTGGTCCAGAAGAAGTGGCTCGGGGCGCGTGGACGTACACAGATATTCATATTCTGTGCAGCGGGACGTCGAGGAAGATCTTCGAGATGTAGAAGAAGTAAATGACCCTTGCGTGGTGGTTGACGTTGAGGACCACGGAGGTGCTGATGCGTCTCAAGCTGCAAGTGCAAATATCGGAAAAATGCTTGATGTTCCCGTCGTTCCTACGGCGAAGAACAAGATGAAGCGTTTGAATTTGACAAGTTACTCCAGTAACGGGCCCCCAAAACAGGAGCAGAAGAAACTTGAAAAAAACCTTAAAAAAACTTGAGCATTTTTGATTTATAACAATTTAAAAAGCAAAAACCAAGAGGGGCAGCCGGAGGAGAAAAAAAACGCACGGAACGGACGCGATTTCCGGTTTCTGGAAATCGCAATCGCGCCGGCGATTTTGAAAAACTAAGCGAGGTGAACGGCTGGCGCAGATTCAAAATCAAAGGACTCGAACGGGAGGAATTTTTTTCATTTTATGGCGCGCCAAAATCCACATCTGTGCTGCAGGAATAGCCATCCATAATTTTCGCGCGAAGGCGCGCCACTTTCAAAAGTTTACGAGTGCGACCCGGGGCAGATATTTTCCGCAGACATGGGGCAGCATTTCGCACGAACTTGACGGCCGCGGGGCGCGGTTCTTCTTCATTTAGGTGGGGGTCGCCTCGATGCATTCACTGCGCCGCGTGCGGGGGTGTTCAAAGTCCCTGCCTCGCACGGGCGCCGGCTGCCGGGGTGCCCGAGCTTGGCGGGCGGTGGGGCTCTGGCCCTTGCGAGGCCTTTTTGTAGTGCCGAAGCGGCCCCACTCAGAAGGCTTGCCGGCACAAAGGGCGGGCGCAGCGGGCCGTCCTTCCCGGGCCCCCCCGGAGGCCCTTTCATAATACACAAAGCCCCGCGGCCAGCGGGACTCTGCGCAAGCAGCTTCTGGCCCCCTAGGCTTGTACGCTGAGGGGCGCCCACGCGCGTGGGCAGGCGGCCTCTTTGTTCCCCGCGCCGTGTTTGCGCGGGTGCGATCCGGCCCGGAAAATGAAGAAAATCAAAAGTGCCACACCATCGGTCGGAGGGTGTGATACTTTTTGCCGCGGTGCTGTCATGCATGCAAAAAAACACGCAAAACCCGCGTCGACCATGCCATTGGCTCTGGGGTGTGATACTTTTTGGCAGGATGAGTTCACGGAGGCCGAAAATGATGAAAGCGACGCCGGCCATGCCGTGGGCTCTAGGTTGTGATACTTTTTGCCAGGCTGCTACGGCGTTCAAACTTGCAACCCGGCGAAAGTGTTGGCGAAAATGCGTCACCTCCGCCGAAGCATCTCGGCAGCAGACGAAAAAAACTTGGATCTGCCGACGTTTTTGGGCCAAAATCTGAAGGGCTCCGCCCACCATACCATTGGGGCTAGCTTGCGATGGCTTCCAAGCACGCGACCCGGCTTGCAAGTCTATTCCAAGTTTATTTCACGTTTTTGCTGCGATTTCGGCCGCCCGCGGGCGTGCCCAATTTTGGGCTACTTCCTGAGGCCTGTCCACGGGCTGACGGAGCCGATTTGCGAGTCGCAAAAGCGGCGGCGCCTTCCGAAGGCGCCGGCCGAACTTGGGAAGGGGGGTAAAATCCTGACTTTTGCTGGTTTTCTTCGCCAATGGTGCCGCCGTGGTAAAAAGTATCACACCCTGGCGCCGCTTGCATGGCGAACGCAGGTTGCCGCGATGGCGAAAGCGAAAACCTTCGCCCGCGTGCCCGCCCTGCGAAAAAGTATCACGCCCCAGCGCCCATGGTATGGTCGGTCGGGCTTTCCGCCATGCCCCCCGGCTGCTTGCTAAGCACGCCGCGCCCGCTGGCGCCGCCAGCCTGGGCGCGGCCGGCCCCCTCGCTCGCCCCGGCGGCCCACGGTGTCCCTTCGTGATTTCTACCGGCGCGCCGCGGCCGCCCCCGGCCCATCGATCGGCAGGCTGCGCCGGCCATCCGCCAGGGGCGGGCACCGACAAGCCCGGCGCACGCGGGTGCGCTGGGCTATTCTCAACAAAGAAGAGGACGGACCAGCGCGCCACCCCTAGCGCCCACCGTCGCCCGCCCGGGCGGGCGCGCCCCCTCCGTGTGGCCTGCCGGCCTTTTTGGGGCATCAGGCGGGCCCGGCGTTCTTTTCGGCATTGGCGGCGTGGGGCCAGCTTCTCGCCAGTGATCGGGCGGATTGATTAGTGGCGGGCGCGTTCTGCTTTTTCTAGGTATAACGAAAAAGCAGCGAAGGCGGCACCCAAAACAGTCCGCGCCCGGTCTAAATCTCGACAATAGGCAGTTTTGGCTGGAGCGGCCAATTGTCCGGATTCAGATCGTGTTTTGATTTCAAAGCAAAGCGGCTGGGGTTCCTGGCATATTTCGCGAAAAACAGTACGAAGAGGCACAGAAAGCGTCGCGCCGTGCCATAGCTTGTCCTCCTGTTGCTGGTTTCAAAGTTGGGCGCGTCACAGGTGCGCTCACAGAACAGCTCACTTTGAAGCCGTCGCGACCCTCTCGAATATGGGTCGCGCAAGTCTTTGGCAACTTGGTTGCAAGTTTCGATCTCCATAAAATTGGGGGTCCGTTCCACCAGTAAACAAGTAAGTCGAGTCCAGCACAGGAGCATTGGACGAGGACCTCGCCAGGAAAGAAGATGAACCCGAACCGCCGGCACTTGGTCACTGCCTCCGGGATAAAACTGGTGGAGGCGGCAATGCGACTGTAAGGCCGAACAACATCTTCGGCGTAGAAGTACTACTTCCGGGAGGAACTTCAGCGGAGGTGGAAGCAGCTGCATCCTCATCAAGGGACGACGGCGCTAGAAGTCGTGTAGTCGACAACGATAGCAAAGACGAAGAGGAGGTACTAGACCTGCAAGATGACTCCTCTCCTGAAAGACGAGCTGGTGCGCCATCTTCATCCTCAAATCCTGGAGCCGCGGAAGTAGATGAGCTAGACCCCAGCGACGTCGTCCCCACGTCCTCGAAGAAGAAAAACAAGTTTCTGATCGGCACCACTTACGGCGCAGTCACGGTCTTCCGCGCCCTAAGCAATCTGCTCTCCACGTCCGTAACCCTGGCCTACTACCTCCAAAGCGTCGCCCAGCTCGCGCCCTTTGTCGTCGCGTTTCTCGCATTTTTGTTCCTCAACGAGCGAGATGCATTGCAAAAGCTGTAATACCATGCCAGTACTAGTAGTTGCATTTGCATGTTGTGCTTGTGAGTCACACCATCAATAACATGAAATATGGAGCCTGTAAGGCTGATTTACGTTATCCTTAGGAAGTGGACTCATCTATCACATAAGTAATTCCAGATTCCACAACTTATAGAACAACAACAAGTGCGATATAAATTACTTTTGCAGAGCATAAGGGAACGAGGCCGAAGGGGTTCTGGATCGCGTGCGTGTTGTGCGTGGTCAGTTCCGGACTCGTGATTCTCGGAAAGCACATTACGGAAGCGAATTCTAGCACGTCGGCACAGGGAGAGGCGGACCCTAGTACCGCTGCGTCAAAGCCTGCCGCTGTTGTGACACACTCACACCATGAGGACCACCTGCTGGCAAAGATAAACCCACTCCCAGCTGCCCCGGCATTACAACATGATCTACTGCGTGACGGTCACCAGCGGAGAACAACAGCGCATCAAAAGATGTTGGGCCAAGAAGTAGAGCAAGAAGGACTACTTGTTTCAGTTGCCCGTCGGCCTCAACACGTATTTCACGAACAGCAGAAAGATAATTTTTACCCGGCCGACACAGGCACTCCTCGAGATCTATCACCGCAGAAAACGCAACGCCTCCCCCCCCTCCCCGCCGACCCGACCGCGCCGGCGAACATCGCGCTTGGCGTCTTTCTGCAAATTATCTGCATTTTCCTCCTGTCCTCCACCCGAATTGCGATGAAGCAGACGGCCAGGGTCGGGCTCACACCCCGGGAACTGGCCACGTACCAGTATGGAATGAACATCACGTTGCTGCTCGTGGTAACGTATTGGTACGAAGAGGGGTCTTTCGCAAATTGGTGGAAACTGTATTCCAATCTCTCTACCTTTGACTATGCGCTGTTTTTCTTCGTCGCCATCGTCATCACGTTTTACGCAAACCAGAAGCAGTATGAACGCGTCAGAATCGAAATTCACAAAGTTGAAGTTGTATTTTTCGGCGACGCATAAACAAATGCAAGGCACAAGATACCTGCCGTACTGCGGGTGTCAGCTGCCCGTTGTTCGGGGTTGGAGATATTAGAGCTGCTAACCTATCGCTTGGTTCTTTTGGTGCCCACATATTCCTATTAGCGCGACAAATTGTAGACCGTTTTGCACATGACTTCAACACTATCGATTTCAATTCTGACATCCTCATAAGCAAATCGAAGCCGTGCGGATTCTTGGGCCCACACTGTACAGCAGTTTTCAGCCCCTCCGGCTGGTGAGTTCCGTCTGTGGCAGTTATTTTCTGTTGCGCGAGCCGGTGGAGTCAGCGGTGTCTTGGGTCGGAATTTTTCTCTTGTGCTGCACATTGTGGGTGTACTTCGGAATGCAGCTGTGGGAGAAGAAAAAAATGGACATGGTGGAAGGTGCGAAGTTGATGAGCTCTACTGAAGCAGATCTAGAGAAATACGAACGCTGCACGAAAACCGAGCTAAAACTTGTGTCCGGGCATGGACATTTTGCGGCCAACACCGATGAAGAAACGACAAGAACAACGAAAAAAAACAAACATCCCGATGATGAAGACGAAGATGAAACATTCGAAATAAAGATTGACAACAAGATAAAAACAATTGGAAAGAACACCAGAGAGGTCAATAGAGTCGGAATGATGGAATGACATTGTCACTGACACAACATTGAGATTGACAATGTAGGTCTATGTGTATCTGCGAAGGATGTACTTACGAGTTCGACCAATTGGAATCATTATTATCCATCATGATGGGTTAACGCCTGAACAAAACACCACATAGATTATCTTCGTGAAAGGAAACCAAATCGACCACGAGCACACGCTGAACCCGAGCCGACAATACCCATCCAGACAAACTTTGTGATCCGACTAGCAGGAGCGGAAGCCGACTGCCAGTGTGGTGATGTTTACCTATCTCACGGCCGGGGTAGAAGATGTAGCCAGCGCTTGCACTGAACGCGAAACGTCGGGACTGGGTTGCGCCCTCCTTCAGGGAGACATCGAAGGGGGCGCACCCTTCAGGTACTCTGTTATGCGTTCCACCCGTCTTCCTGGCCATCGAAAATTCGTGATGCAGATTGTTTTGATTTTGAGGAACTATTGTGTGTGCCGCCCCTGTCTCGTCCCTGCTGTCACATCGCAGGTTCCCTGTCCTACGGCCGCTACCTCGTGTTCGCCCTGCTCAGCATGCCCAAGACCGAGACATGACACTAGCACCCTTGCCAGCTGCACACATCCCTCCTCGTGTAACGGCCGCCGGAGGAGCGCAGCCTACCAGCAATGCAGAACACCCGCGCAGGCCACGAACGCGGGAACGGGCTGCATCTTTCCCCTCGAGGCGGGGAGAGGTGCACCCACCAGGTACTCTGTACTGTTGAACGTTCCGACTACATGCTGATGATGATGCTGATGATTTTACTGGTGGCAGTGTGCTTCTGCTTGCATGGAATTCTGTCGCGGCCTGTCCTGCTTCCGCCCACACACAACCCACAGGTATGTGGGCCCCGAGCTGTTGCGCCCCCCGCAACCCCAGTTACGAACCTGCGCACGCTGGCCGATAGCGATAACTAGGGACGAACGGTGGCACATCCATGGGCCGGGGCGGCGGCGAAGCAAGGCGCGCTGCAGCGGGACCGTCGGTGGGGGAAAAATCCGGCAGCCTGCGAGAGAGGAAATGTCCACTGAGCAGCTCAATGCAGTGTGTGCCGTAGCTCCGTTGTAGTGCCGTGACTTTGAAAAAATGGAAAAAACACAGAAAGGGCTACTCCATTTTTACTCGAACCAATAGTACTGCAACTCCTACTTCCTGTACGTAACTTTCAGAAAAACTTGTAATCGGAACGACTTTGGAAAACAGTGTAAGTCCAGAAAACTTGTATCTCATTCGAAAACTTTCCACAACGAAAGCAAGCTTTAGGATCGAAATTCAACTATAGACTTTGCGACTTGTAGACCTTAAATTTGAAACTTTAAACTCGACAACAGTAGTGAAAACTTTTTGGTTGAGCAACAACAGCAGCACGAGAAAGGACGAGGTAGAGAGTAGTAAGCGGAAACGATCAAAGCATCGCAGTTCAAGTTAGTTTCAGCGTAGGAATAGCTTTTATTTTAGCGTAAGAGTTGGTCTTTTCGGTAGCAAGCAGAGGTAGGAAAAGAGGTTTTAGTTGTTGTCTTTTTTCACAGGCTTTCGATGAAGCAGGGATTTTTCTTGAAATAGCGCTAGAGAGAAAAGGTGTGTAAACGCGTTCCCACCTTCTCGCATGAGCACAAACAAACAAACAATTATCTTCGTCTTTTCTGACAACTTCAATATGACCGATCCATCATTTTTTTTTTCGTCGATATTATCATTGTATTTAATTTCCTAGATATCATCCTTGGAATCAGATATCCAAATCCATAATCCATATCCTGAATCAAATTGAATCAATCTGGAAAAAAATTATTCTTGATATCCGAATTCTGAATTTCGATCGAGATATATCTGGAGAAGATCGTAATTCATATCCAAGCTACAACTACATCTCAAATTGAAAGGAGAAAAAGAACAGATTTATTTTTCAACAGATGCAGACCAAAATTAAATTTAAATTTTTATGGAAGTAGTCGTTGCAAAATCATGAATTTATTGTTGATTGTTGGTTGAAGATTTAGATCCGGAAATTGTTACAATAGAAATCCTGAAGGTTGTCGTAGTTTTATTTTAGTTAGTCTCAGTTTGAAGGTGACAGGGAAGAATTGATGTGAGAACTGAACATTGGATATTTTCGGGCCTCGAAAAATTGTCAGGTTGCCGGCCCCGGGCAAGCTGCCCGGTTTGAAATTGGTGTAAAAAAGCATTAATGTAAAAGCAGAAAGGTGGGCAAGGAAATACGCAAAAGCGACGGTGGGAAAGCCCAGAGAGAAGACACGGCACATGGCCCAAACAACCAGGGGGCGAACACAGGAAGGGGCCGCGGGCGCGCGAGGGCAACCGGGCCCGGCTGCCCCCGGTCCCATCGCGCCCCTGCCTTCTGCGCCAGATCGCGAAGCGGAACCGGGGCCCGAAGCGGAATGGGTGGAGCCAGGGCGCCCCAATGGCCCGGGCAAACATAGGCAACCCCGGGGGCGACGCTGGCACAACGCTGCCCGGGAATCAGAGGCAAACTCCGCCAATGACCAAGAGGAGACAACGCGAGGGCCCCGCGGGCTGCGCCGAAAAACCTAGATCGCAAAAACGGCGCCCAAAACGAAAAACCACGGCCCCCCCGGATGCTGCCCAAACCATCCCCAAAAAGTTGCAGCTTTTTCTGCTTTCTCCAGCTTGGGTTTCGGGTGTGGTTAGTGCTTTAATTCATGTTTAATTTTTTTTTAGTTGGTTGTTTAATTTTGCATTAAAATTTGCATTAATTTGCTTCCAAGGCGTTTCCTTAGGGAAAACGCCTATGAAGCAAATTAGTGCAATTTTATTGCATGAATTATTGCACCAATTAATGTGATCATTAATCCGCGACCATCCTCTGCGGACAGTCGCGGACTAATCCGGAAAAGGTGGGACTCTGGTTGACGACAAGAACTGGAGTCCGGGCGGAACCTCGCGGATCGAAGACTCGGGGCCCTACACATGACCGACCGGCAAAGGAAGCCCGATAATGTTGCACGGCCCCACCAAGCCAAAGGGAGAGAACAACCAACCCAACCGCCACCCAAAGGACAACCAGGCGGCAGAACAACTCGAAAAGGAGCAAGGCGGCCCGGGAGGGAGTTGCGCCGCCAAAGCGGCGTGTCCTTCTGTTGGACAACACACGAAGCGGCGCCCATGTTGGGAAAATAGGGAAACATATACAAAGGACCCGGTGGGTGGGGGGCCAAAAACACGAACACCGAACACACCACCTCCCCCGGGGAAACCGAGGCCGGGGCGCTTTTTCAGGCTACCGAACACAAAAAGGCCCGGGCAGACCAAGAAAAAGGACCCAGGCCAAAAAGTCCGCGCGCTTTGAGCTTCATGCTTTTTCATGCCGATTTTAATCATCGAAATTTGCCAGGGCCTGGCTGCCTGAAAATTGATGCCATGGCCAGACATGGAAAGAAAGAAAGAAAGATGGTTGATTTTTTCTCATAAAAAAATAAATTATAGAATTTCTAGGATTTGGATCGATGGATGATTTTGAAAATTGAAAATCATGATAATAGAAAATTTCGAAAAGAAATTATCATCAAGATTTATTTCCATTCTGAGTTTCGATTTTCCGAAAAAAAATTAAATTCCGATATCAATCCAGATCTTGAATAGAATTCCAGAAAAGAATCCAAATTTGCCTCGATTCTTGAAAAATCAATGAAGATTCGAAGAATCTCGATCGAGAATGAAAGACAAAAGAAATAAAATTGATTTTTTCTTTCTTTCTTTCTCTCTCTCATGTCTGGATATGATGACAAATGTTCAAACCCCTAAAAAATCCATCATTTTCATCTCATATAGGTCGACATGGAAATTCATGGATTTTACCATTCAAATAATGATTTTTTTATCCTTATATTCTATTGAATATTCATATCATTGATTCGATGAGAATCTCGATAGAAATTGAAAAATCTCGATGATGATCTTTAGAATTTCGATGGGGAATTGATGAATCTCGATGGAGAATTGATGAATCTCGATGGAGAATTCAATTTGAGTTGAAGAATCTCGATGGAAAATTAAAGATTATCGATGGGAAATTGAAGAATTGATGAATTTCGATGGAGAATTGAAGATTTCCGAATGTATCGATTCATGATTCGATTAATTTTCATGTTGTTGTTATTTTCAAACTTGAAATTTTTCGGTTTGTGCAGCCGATTAAATCATTTTTTGTGTTTTTCAATAATTGAGGTAGAGGTCACGTTCTGTCATGATTCATCTGTTCTCGCAGTTCGTGCATGCATTTCCATGTTGATCGATGGAGATGGTCTAGTATCATCAATGTCGATAGCCCATTCCTCCCCAGAGTGTGACCAGTGTCACGCATGCGCGCAGACCAAATTTGAGCAATATCATCACAAAATTTTTGAAATCGCCGCAGTTGTCCCATCCTCCTTTCCTTGCCTGTGGGGCGAATTGGGGGCCCTTTCCATTGGTGCTCGACATTGGCATTGCAAGATGAGTTGCAGTGGGTGTCATCGCGCCGCCGGTGTTTTTCATGTGTGTGTCCTTCGGCCTCGACTGCTGGCTGCTTTCTTGGAAATCATCTTGTCCAGTCGCAGGACTCTCGTCAACAGCAGCCACCTCTAATGGAGATCTTGATTTTTCTTTCGCAAAATCAAAATTCTTTACCGGCCACCGCCACTGCCACAAATCTTCCACCAGAGCCGGCCCGGGCGAACTGAAGAACATCCCGAAAATATTCTGCGTCAAAACGTCATTGCCCCACACTCAAGTAGACGGGCAAATTGATACACAAACGAACAATTTTGGGTTGTCGCACCTGACAACTCTGGGGGCGCAGCGCATGACATCATACATTTGAGCCATGCAGATTTTCATAACAAATCTTGGGTGGGAAGAACAGTACAGGCGTTTTTCTCAGGATAGAAGAAAATGAAAGACCACACCTGCGTCATCGCGCCGGCTAGAATGGACATCTGGCAGATCGGAATCCAAACCAAGTAGCAGACTTTCCGCCTGTGGACCCGGTTTAGTTCGTCCGTTTTCAAGACCATGTGCCCCGTGATTTCAAACGCGGACTTCAGCCTTTCCGCCACGCCGTAGTCGTAGGTGTAGTTGTCTATTTCTAACAGGAACAAAACCGCAATCGCGTTTAAGCAGATGGAGAGTGCGTCCCTGCCCCGAAAGATAATCAGCATCGGGATGACGACGATAATGATCGGAATCAACATGAACTGGCGCACGAAGGAGAAAAGTTTCAGGAGGCGCAGAACAAACCGGCGGCGGACTGACAGCTTTAGACTCGTTATGAAAATTTTCTCGATCATTTTTACAATTTTTTCTTCGTCTCGCCTCCTCGTCCTCCCAGCGCTCCAACGCGAAGTCGCACAGTTGAATATCCCTCAATTCCCGGCAGATCGCCAGACCGATGATGAAGCTGGAAAAAAGGGTGACGTAAACGTCGCTCAAGCTCAGTTCCAGGGTCGTCAACGCCATCCCGAACATATGCAAGAAAACAATTGCGGAAGTGTAGTAAGTTTATACACCTGCGAAGCATCATGATGCAAAACTGTAGTATACGGGTGCTAGTGTAGTTATGCTACACAGCGGCCATAAGCATAACCATATTAGAGTCCCTGTCATCTTTCATATCTGTTTCCCCGTATAACGAGCTGTGCGTGACAAGGCTTCCTCTGCCATGCAGAAGGAATTTGTCATGCTGTCACAACTCCAAGAAGAAGAGCCTTCACTAAAGCAGTTTTTTTCTTGAATACACAGACCAGTCAATGTATCGGTACAGACCCGGGTAGAGCCGCGTTTCTTCTTTCTTCGATTTTTCCACTTGGCCCACCATGGAGGCAAAATCTACGTCTCCGTCGGACAAAGCGGCGATGGTTTTTTTCTCCTCGACGTCTCTTCGATTCGCCAGCTGCGCCTGAAAATCCCCCTTTATGCTGCATCTCTCGCACAGCACCGGGTAGATTTTCAGCTCATACCGGGATATCAAGGGGTTGTTCTCTTGATTAAATTCTGCGTTCGCGACCTTCACCCTGGGTTGCCAGTACTGCCGAAGTACCTCCTCCGTGGAAGTGGTGTTCGCTGCTGACGCGACGTGATTCGTCCAGTGATCGGTGTTCAGAAATTCCTCGCACAGGTCCCGGTACCACAGATTACAGTCCACGCAAAACCCCGCTTCCGGGTAGCACCAGTGCCCCGCGGCGCAAATCGTTTCGGAAAAAAGCCCGCACGTTGGCCGGGGGCACGCGCCGGCGATCATGGCGGAGAGGATCAGCTGAGTGAAAATCATGAGACAGGAGGCGGCGATCCAATAGTTACCGCGGCCGAAGGACTCTTGGAGTAGGACGGTGTGTATGCATTGAAAAAGTATCGGATTCGTAGGAATCGTAAGCTGATGCATGAAGACAAATGTCATTGTTCCAAACCCGCATAGTCCACTTTTGTACTTGCAAAAATTTGTGATGCATTTCATACTAGGAGGAGGAGGATCCTTCACACCTGTTTTTAGCTATACATATTGCTATCAAGTGGAACATGATGTCGCAGACCACCCGGAGGAAACGAGCAGGGAGGCATACTAGTAATACGATACTACTTTATTTACAAAATGCATAGTGTGGGCGTTTTTGTAAGCAGCGAGGGCATTGATCTCGTCGTCGGGGCTTGTTGCAGCACTTTGGGAGCAGTTACTTCTGGGAGCAGGGTTAGTTGGCGGGCTGGCGTCTTGTCCTTTAGGCTCTTTCTCGTCGTCGTGGTCGACACCTCGTGTCGCGAGGAGCTCTTGCTCGTCTGGTGCATCTTCGTCGGGAAACGAGGATGCCCTACATAACCACAAATGTAGCGTCAACTGGTGGAAGTTCAGGGGCGTCTCTTGCAATCTTCGCTGAAATGCGAAGAAAAAGTCGCGGTCGGTAGGTTGACCCGAGGCTTGGAGGTCGAGACGGACATCTGCCGTGGCGCCGTTCACGGGCTCGACGGCTGTTGCGCTCATCGCGGGGTCCATCTTGTTTTTCCGCGGCTGCTACGCACGGACGGTAAAGCGAACGCAATACCTAAACCTATGGTATGACGATAGAGCAAAAAGCAAGTAGCTTCTGCTCGTTTTTCTGCGAGTACGAAAGTAAGTAGCATTGCAACACTATCGATTCTGAATTTGCCCTGTCTACTCGGCAAGTTAAACCACAGCAAGAAACTCGCCCAGGTCGCTCAGAAAAACTGCACGCTCGTCCAAAACCGACCGCGATCACCTGGCACTCGCTGTAGTCGACGAGTGGTCATCACAGTTGCTTCCTATAGATTATGAACACTCAGGTAAGGACGCCTGCTGCCAAAATGAATCTAGCAACCTTTCTGTGTCTCCATGTAGCACCTCCAGGACAATATAGAAATTGGTTAATAACGATCTCATCAGACAGAAGATTACTAAGAATGGGTGTCATAAAAAGTCTGCTTGAACAAATCCTAGAAAATATTTTTCTATGGATTCTCGCCTTGGTTCCACACTTTCTGAAAAAGCAACTTTGTATAAATATTTTGAATGAGTAGATTAGGGCTTACTTCTTCCTCGGCGGACACGATCTCGAGGATACGCTGAGTCTTTTTTTTGTATCAACATAATTGCGAGAAGAATGAGGAATTTGATATGTTTCGACTTGTTCGGATGAGCCATCAACGAGGATGGAATTGACAGAAAGTATCTGTGTACATCTTAGTTTTTGTAGTTTGAGGTTGCGACAAGAATATTTTTGATGTTGAACATATTGCTGCTATCATCTCAATCTCATCGGTATGAACTGCATGATATGATTTCTGGACGTCGACATTATATGCTATCTTAAACAAGTTTTGAGTATCTACAAGCACGACTCGCGGCTGAGTTTTCCACTTCAGCTCGTTGTATTTGAATCACAAGGAGCATCACATTGGCATATAGTGACCCCAGCAGGATATTGGACACTGGTGTTAATACAAAAGTTAAAAGATGCAACTCTCTAGGCAGCGGTGGACTGGAGAATCGTATAGGCGCGCTTCAACTTCGCAAAGGCGTCTTTGCAACCCGTCGGGAAGCGCGGATCCAGTTCCTTCTCTTTCCTGTTGTATGCATTCTTGATGTCGCGCTGCGACGCACTGGACGTCACCCCCAGAAACATTCGGGCCCAGTTTTCACGCACGGCGGGATCGCTGGAATCTTGAGGCTTGAGTGAGTTGGCTAGGACCATCACCTGTGTGGTTACAGAAAAAAGACACAGAGTCTTTGGAACAGTTGCAGTTGGCATTCTTTTTTATTTGCTTACTCGCAATAAAATTATTTTGTCAACATTTCCAATTTTCCGAACCTCCTCGGAGGTGCTATGCAAGGCGGTTCTTGCGGTGAAAAAAAATTTGCCTGAATATTTGAGGCAAAAATGTTGCCTCCTCCGTGCTATATGAGACGAAAATTTCGCCTCAATATAGCTTTAGATACCCACGTAAAATCGCAACACATATAATCAATTATCACCGCAGACACTAGCAAGTAGCAGATCATGAAGGAAACAAGTCATGCAGTTGTTATTTTGTACCCGCTTTTCCATTTCAGCTTTCATATCGTTCAGCTCGCGACGGCTTTCTATGGAAGAGGCGTCAGCAGCTAGTGCTTCAATGTGAAGCGCAACCAAATCAATTTGGCGCTGCAAGACCTTCAGGAAGTTTCGCGACATTGCAAGGTTCTGGAAGGCGTCCACGTTGATCAAGAGCTGTTCCTTCAAGAGCTTTAATCTTGCTTCAGTGGTTCTTTTTTCATGCGCGAGAGACTCCAACAAGATGCGTTTCTGCTGCTCGAAAGTGCTCGCCTGATCAAATGCCCTGTTTAGTTTTTGCAATTCCTTCACCTGCAACATCGATTCACAAGAAGATGAAGAAAAGCTACAACGAACATGGCGCGATGAGTGAAAAAGTATCACGATACAATACAAATTTGAATAATATGCGAGCGTGCTCGTACCAGGAGAAGATTACAATAACATTGACACCGCAAAGAACCAAAGGTAGACCAGCTGGAAGTTGTGTTTTGTTACATAAGTAGTTGCACCAGATACAGCAAGGGTAAAGCGCGTACTTCTTTTTCGTATCGTTGAGTCGGTGGATCGTTTTCTCCTTCTCCTCCCACTTGACTTCATTATGGTAGTGATAGCTGTAAGCATGACCACATTCTGCACAGTGATCTTTCCGCGTGAAGCCGTGGCCGCTATCTGTGCAGGGATGGCACATCGCCGCGCATCCGCGAAACACTTCGGGGTCAAACGATTTGCACAAAGTGCAATTTAAATGGCAGTTGCAATGACAGCCAGGGTAATTGCAAAGCGTGTTGTGGCTTGCGGTTGCCGTTGTCACCCACTGTTTTTGCTTCTTGGCGACCATGTAGTTTTCGTTGAGCTGCTTTTTGTTCGAAGCAGCCTCGAGATCCTTTCGCGCTTTGTCCAATTGTGTGTCGAGGTCTTGCTCTGCTCGGTATTGTGCCAAAATGTCGACGAAGTTCTTATCGATTTGCTGTTTCTTGGCATGTAAATCCAGAAACTTGTTTGTGTGAATGGGAATTTGAAATTTCGGCTTTTGCAGCACGTCAAAGAGATCCTCCAAGCGGCGGGCGCCCTGCTCGAAAGCGATTTTCAAGCCCGAAGATATCATGTCGTTGTTGTAGTAGGAGGCATTGTATCTTCCAGATAGGTTCTTTGCTTTTTCCACGCGGGCATACGGATTTTCGATAAATGTCCAGTTTAGTTTTGGCGTTGATGTAGCTGCACTTACAGATGCCATCAGCAGATTGCTCTCGAGCTCGGCCATGTCGAAGTTCAGGTCGAGACCATCGTTGGCATTTGTGAACAACACAAACACATTGTTGATCACTCCAGCGGGCATTATCGAAGAAATCTGCGAAAGGACATACTTCAACATCGGATTCATGCGCGATTCCCGCCCATTAATGACCAAGCAAATGGCATTAATGAAGTTGACGCCTTCGATCGCCTCCAGAATCTTACTGACGTGCCGCTTGTCGTGTTCAAATCCACGACTATCACCAAAGCCGGGGGTGTCGATGACTCGAAGCTTGGAGCCTTATAAATATATGTGTCATTCAAATCTATTTGGCGAATCTTGTTTAGAGATAGTTAAGCGGCGCAGAACGGTCCCAAGGAATGTTCGTTTTAAAAGGGCTAGGGTCGAGGTCAATCATGTTCATGGGAAATCTTGCTTGTTTTTGACAACGACAAGAAAACAAAAGTGACAAAAATCCTATCAGGCAAGAAGTGAAAGTGTTTGTGTTCATCAGGATGAAAACATAACAAGTTGACTCGTCCTGTTCACATAGTCATTTCTATATTTTTCAACTGCATATTGGTATTACCTGTAACGTTGGCGTGATACAACTCGGGACTTGGCGTCCGGCAGGTCGGGCACTCGTTCCTCTGTTGTAGCCAAGCTGCGATAAATTCATTGACATTTTTGCATCTAGTACTTATTCATCGACACCGGGATATCCATATCGGTGTCCTGTAAATTGAAAATGCAATGTGGTCGAGTCGTGTCTCACAGGGCGTATTGAACCGATTGAGTCCACGGGGGCACCGGGCCGCAGGCACTGCAACCGAGGTTCGGGTCGAACATAACTAGAAGTTCAAAATAATCAAAATGTAGACGTTTTAATACGAGCAAGGCAGCTGCGATGGAAAAAATGAGGCTTCGGACATCCGTGAGTTTGAACCCAGGTAGCATGAGGATCGTCTGAAGCAAAGCCCTGGCAAATCCCGCACTGCTTGTCGCCAAAGGATACATCATACACTTTTGCGCCGCTTGTCTTGCTGGCCATGCGATCCTCCAACGAGTTTTCCAGCGTGATTTCGTTGAAGTTGCGGAATTGTTCGATTTTCATTTCGCTGTGCTCCACCACCGCATCCATGTTGCACAGAAGGTTCAGGAAGGACGTCTTACCTATCGATGCATCGAATGTGAAATTTCGGCATGAAGGGAGAGCATGAGCAGTCCAAAGCTAATACAGAAAAATCACAGACATCGTGCAGTCCGCCTCGGCGGTGGGAGGCATCTCTTTTTATTGAGTTCTTCTGTACCTGAGCCGGTCGGACCAAGCAGCAAGAGATGGAATGGGCCTTGTCCTTGTTTCTGTTCTTGTGCTGTTCGAGAAAACAAGCGATGCCAGGCATCCCTGAATTGCTTCTTGATACTTGACTCACTCATTCTGGTATCGTCGCCGTCTACTTGGCAGTTCTACTTAGTTGCGAAGAAAAAAATTCCACGACGACAATGTGTGAATGATATTGAAGTGGAAGGTACTTTGTACCGCGCTCCAGTGGAACAAAAACCCGAACAAAATAATTGAGTAGTGTCACGCTTTCTAACGAAGGTAAAATAAATGGTAAAAATGTCCCTCAATAACTTACTTCTCCCTGGAGGAGTTCGGCGAAAATGTCCACTCATCATGAAGATCTCCCCTAAATGCGTCGGGATCCGATTTCTGATCATGATCAGGCTGCGTTGCCAGAGCCAAGGAAGTCTGACAATAGACTCGTAGATGTGGATGTCGACGAAAACCCATTGAGGTACCTACACGTACATGGCGCAGGAAGATCGAGTTCAACATGAAACATGTTGGTTACTTTTTGGCACTAGAAATGAGATCGCGATCATCTGGCTGCACCACAATCCGTGTGCTACTATCTATCAGGCCTTCTAAAGAAGGAGTTCATTCGCCAGCGTATTGCTATTGGCATCTGTTGTATCGAAACAAGCTCAGCTTCTAAATCAGTACTTTTTCCGTCGAGGCCGAGGGCGTTTCTACTTCATCTCATTACAATTACTCATCACACAATAACGCAAAATCATAGAAGAAGGAGAATACGAATAGAAAGAGGAATCTACTTTTCGTAGAGGGTAGATCACGGTGTACGTGTATCTCGTCGTCATATCACTTTAGTTATAGTTATTTATCAGATTTCGATTTGTCCGCCTTTGGCTGTGCGCTTTTTGTTCTTGTTTTACTCAAGGCGTAGATCGAAAAGCGCGTCGACAAGAAATGGAGCAAAATTGACACATGTTCGTGTTGGCTGCCTAGTGAGAGTTTGTTACGCGTTGCCGCTTTAGAAGCCCCTCCTGCCCCGCTGCAGCATTCTCTTTCACGACCGTCGATTCGTCCGTCCCTCTTTCTCCCCCTTCTTCCGCCTTCCGCTTGCGTTGTTCCTGCCGGCGTTCGAACTTGCAGCGCGGACAGGCATTTTTGTTCGGCAAGCGATCGTCCTCCATGGCTTTGCACTTGGGGTGGCCACAGTCGGGAAAAACGGCATTGCACACGTGCTGCCCATTCTCCGCGTCGACGTGGAGGAAGCCAAGACAGCCGAAAAGGAGGAACTCCTGGCCGCAGCGGAGACACATCACCTCCGAGTCCTCCATGTCGAACTGGGCACGGAATTCGCCGACGAGCGGACAAAACGGTCCCATGGGACACAGCTGGTCCAGATTGATGACTTCCTCGCACTCGGTGCACGAGCCTTGTTCTTCGTCGTGGCAAAATCTGCATCTGGTTTTCATCAGGGTTTGCAAGCATTCGGCACACACGTTCGCGTAACACCCGCACGGCGACTGTGTGACCGGTTCGTGCTTGATGTTGTCCTGCGAGGCAGTGATATTGCAGATGTCACAGACGCCGGTTGTTGTGCCGCCGCCGGCGTCGTCACTTGATTCGCCGTAGTAACCACTGCTTTCCTCCTCCTCTTCGTCATCGCTGTTCCACGGTGGGGGACCAGCGCCAAAATGACCTCGGAATGCCTTTGTTTTCATTTTCTACTTCGATGAGGGGCCTCGTTTTCTAAACCAAACGAGCGCAAAAAGAACAAAAAAGCTGCGCGTCTTCGTGTTGTACTTTATAAATAGGGGAGGTCGAGGTGCCATATCTGGCGAAGAGAGAAAACAACGAAATACACGAGAACGACGAGATTCAAGACGATATCGATGCTTGCGTGTTTCTACCGTAGCTCGTTGCGGAACTGGAACAACAACTACTGCACCCCATTTTTACAACACGAAACATTCGGAAACGAAAAATGCTTTGCCTCTCGAACGATTTGCTTTTTTATTTTTTGGCGATCGGCTGTTGGTTTTGAATTTGAAGACAAAACTAGAACGCCATCGACGAGACATTTCTCATGCATTATGATCGGAGAATCCTCTCCTGTTGTACAAGCGGCGCTGCCGTGTCTGCAACTTGGCCCTGCAGCCAAGGACTTCAGAGCCAGCAAAGTTCAATTTTGTTGATGCACATTGCACACTAAAAACGGAAGGCGAACCAAGAATAGGAGTTGAAAATTGCCTTTCATTCGTGTGGTGTCTGCATCACATCAGAGTCTTTGGCGGCGCCATATTGGCCACACAGGTTTTATATTTCGTTCTCGTGCGCGAGCGTTTGCTCCTGCTCTTACTTTCTCTGTTCAATTTTCTGGCGCTTCAAGGTGGAGGTGTCATCGGTTGCCCCCTCTTCATCCTCCGCTAGTAGAGTGAGACGGTCGCTTTCGTCGATGCCCCTCTTGGTCTCCGCGTGCAGCGCGGCATTTGTTGTATCTCCGATTTCCGCTACTTTTGATGATTTGGCGACCTCTAGTACGATTCTCCCATCGTCGTCGTCCTCTTTGTTGTCTTCTTCGTGCGTCTGCCGAGCCCGCTCGCGCCCCTTTTCCGCGGACTTTCGCGTCTTCTCGTTTTCCCACTCCAGATGCGCGCAGACACCGCATACAGTGTCCTCTGGATTCTCCTCATCCTCAACGAGGCAGCACCTCGGGTGGCCGCACTTCTCGAATTTGTCCAGGCACTCGTGTTCGCCGGTGCACTCGTCGATCAAGTCGGCGTGGCGACCTCGGAAAAAGCCGTAGCGGTCCGCATGGATAAAACAAATGTGCTCCACCTCATGGCCATCGCCCATCGTCAGATCCCGGATCTCGGAGACAAGCGGGCACCCCTCGCCCATCGGACACAGATTCGTCAAGTCGACCAGGGCCTCGCAATGAATACAGCAATCTGGTGGTGGAAATGATAATAGATATTAAGTGAGTTGATGACTGTAGTCCATTTGACTTCTTCTCTAAGTCTTAGACTGTTCCGCGACCTAGTACAACTTCTGTTGTTTTTCGTTCCTGTAAAAATCTTCTTACCTGCTGAGTCGTCACGCATCAAGTGGCATGTAGATCTATTAGTACAGGCTGGTTCTACTACGAAAATAAAGTATACCTCTTTCTAAGCTGTCCCTCCAGGCGAATGAGTTGCAGAATGTGCACTTCTATCCTGTGCAAAAGTGTCGCATTGCTGCTACTTGTTGTAATGCAGCGTGACAGATCCGGTTCCGGTTCCTGTTTTCTCTTTCTGCCTGATTCAGCATCAAAAATACAGCTTCGCTTGGTGGCAGATTTGTCATGAAGTGTGAATGCTCACCACCACTAGTGTAGTGCGATACTTTTGCAATGCAAAGCTTCATGTCGGTAAGTTCCTCATAGCATCCGTTGCAGAGATAGTCCCATGCGCCATCCTCTGTATGTCGGCATTCACAATAGAGATAATGGCACACAGAATTCGAGTGAAGCTCCACTTCGTCGCAATACTCGCAGAAAAGAGGTCGATCTTCACGCACCATGATCGTGCTTCTGTGCACCAAGGGTAATATGAAAGAAGTAGGATATCTACTCGTGTGCCATCAATGAAGGGCTTGAGGTTGTATTTTTCAGAGTCTACTACTACTGTTGGGGTTGATCTTGTTGACGCATGGCAGACGCACAGCACTCTATCACTATCTGTGTTAGTACAACACCAAAAATAAAAAAAAAAATAGAGAACGAATAGGACACAGGTTGCGTGGGAGACACCGATACCCTACCCAAGTGAATTTCGAGCCAGCCAGGTGCTGAAAAAAAGTACAAAAATGTAGCGAATAAGCCCTGACTCCCTTACCACGACGAAGCCCTGAATGCATCCACGATGACGATGGTAATGGTCCTCAATGACCACTGCAGTGTCGTTTCGTTCGGCAGTGAGGTACGAAAAGCTGGTGTGTTGTTTTGATGGCGAAGCCAGGACGATGGCGATGTCGCGGCATTGTGCAAACCCGAAGCAAAAAAAGCTTCGCAGGCTGATTAGCGACTGTGCATTTCCTTTTCCTGACAACTGCTGGCGCCACAGAGTTTTGCATCAATTTGCACTTCAGTAGTTCCAATATTCAAAAATGAAAATCTTCGTTTCCAGGAGATCCGCAGTCCGAAAATATTTGTGGTTCGTTATTTTGTTGTCAAAGAAGGCGCTCACTCAGTTCGTGACTGAGATAAAGCAGTAAAAATGCTGGGGCGGCGCCAAAAAGTAAAAGTTGAAGTTCAGGTTGGAAGCTCTGGCTCATCTGCCATGCCAATTATTTCGCTAGTAGCACTACATTTTAGACAGCGATGAAGTATTGTCAGAAAAGCCATGAAGTCGATCTATATCGTACATGAGAGAGACAGAGATTCTTGTTGAGAAAGGAACGAAGAAACTTGGAGAAAAAGACCTCCGCACGCCCTCCGAACCGACTTTCCACCCGCCGTCCGCCGCCTTCACTTTTTCACTTTCTGCCGCTTGACAAAATCCGCGAACGTTTGACTTTTGACCCCCGCCCGCTCCAGCGTATCCAGATCGGCAAGGATCGCCTGCTCTTCGCAGGACGACCGTGGACACTGGTCCTTCTTGTACAGACTGCACCTCGCGTGTCCACACGGCTGGAAAAACTTTTCCCCTGCGAAGCGCGGAGTCGTGTCGTCGCCGACCTCGTAGCACAACTTCAGCTCCTCTTCCTCCTTCAGTGTGATGTAGCAGTCGTGCTTAAAGTGAAGCGAAAACTCACGCTCAAAACATGTGCGACATAGGCATTGGATATCATCCACACAAAGCTCCTCGTAAAGGATTTTCTGAATCAGCGGACAGTCTTCTCCCATGCGACAAACTTGTTTCGGATTCTTGAGCAGCTTCTCGCACTTGGTACAGGAACCTGTTTCGATATATGGCTCTGTAGAAGTTGAAATTTCAACAATAAAAAAACCGGCGAAATCAAAGTCATTAGGTCATACATATGCTAAAAGGAGATTGCACCACGGTGGGCAACAGCAGGTTAAGTCCATCAAAACCACTTTTCGACGAGCAAGCAGTCGATATACCTCCACAGTCTTTGTTGTTGTCGTCCTGGCCACATATGAAACAGTGATTCATTTTCACACTCCTCCCGCAGTCAAAGCAGAGCTTTCTGTAGCACCTGCACGGCAACTCCGGGTCACACAGTAAAAACTCAGGTCCGCCGTAGCGTTTCCGCGGATCTTCGCCACATTGTTCGCAGAAGTACTGGTCATCATCGTCATCGACCGGCCATTCCAAATCTGGCCCTTGAGCTTCCAGAATGTCACGTATAAGCTGCGAGTCGACTGCGGAGTCATGCTGTTCCTCTGCCTCTTCGTCAGAGTAACAGTCGAGTTCAGATAGATAGGCAGAAAGGTCGTCGCTATCACACCCGGTCTCCTTTTTTGCCTCCTCCCACTCCTCGGCGGTGTACAATCGATGCCGCTTCGGAACTAGGCTGTGGGGACTCACCAAGTCTTGGAGGTGCGGATTTTCTTCAGTGCCCGGCATGCTGACGTGTTGCAAAATTTCGAATTGATCTTAGCAAGTAGAAAAGAACTCGACCAAAACATATCCTATGAAATAAATGGGTGCTCGGCCCGAATATAACAAGAAACTAACAAGCATATTAGCACTCATAAACATGGTTTTATTGTTGAATAATTTGTCGCGACTGTAAATGAAAGAGCCTCGTCTCCATGATTTGGCGCTCAGTAGACTTGTTCCCTCCGGTTGCACTCATAGTCAGTCCTCCGACAAATACGAATCAAGACGAATCGCTGTGCTTGTGAGAACACAAATCTCACAGGAGCTATACGAGGACCACAAGCAGGCACACACAAAACGAAGATTAGCATGGCCACGGCTAAGCTCAAGAAGGCGCATCGTACCTACACGACTGCGCAACCTCTAATGGATCTGGATCATGAAGATGTCGTGCACTTCTTCTGTTCAATCCAAAACATCCATCACATCCAACTCGAGCATTTCCAACTCCAACGGCCCACTTTGCACTTCTTGCAAAAACCGTCTCAACTTTAATTCCTGCTCAAGCTTTTCAACCTCCATTTCCTGTTCGTCGAGGGGCAGGTGGTCGATTGTGGTACTACGCGGTGGACCCGCGCCTGCTATACTTTCTACTTCCTGGTGCTGGTGCCCGGGGCGGGCCTGAAAAGATCCATCGTTCTTGCGCTGTTGGTCCTCGTCGTCCTGGCTGCCGCCCCCATTCTTGGTAGTGTCGCGGCCGCCCGTCTCCGTTACAACACCTGCATGAAACAGCCCGCTTTGGTTCATCAAATCTTTCAAACTTGGACTCGTCCGTCCGTAGTCGCCATTCACCAGCTCCTTGATGTAGCACCCGGCATCCGCGTGTACCATCAGCCAGAAGGTTGTGTCGTTGACAAATTTCACGTGGGAAATGTTCAAAATCTTCTTCTCGCGGACAATGTTCGACCGCCTATGCACGACTCGAAACGGGGTTTGCTGCTTCAAGGCGATCGGAAACAGGGAAGTTTTTTGGCTGTCATAATTCCTGGGATCTTCATCTTCAATATGATTTTGGTCATGATTTTGTTGTAAAAATTTCTTCCCGAACTCTTCCTCCAAGAGATTCTTGTCCAACTTCCGACTGCTTCTGACCAGACAGCCGTAGATTTTCGTGTGTTTCTCCGCGTTTTGCTGCAAAAGTTGGACAAACTGCTTGATTATGCATCGCAAATTTGTCTGGGCCTGGATGTTAAAGGCACTCGTTTTTTTGCCATGCTAAGTCGTGCATGACTACGGGGCGGTCTTTTGTACGTACTCAAGACACGGAGGTACCACACGTTTATTTGTAGGCCTCAGTGCGAATTCGACTGTATTTCGCATCACACATCACTAACGAGGAGCTTCGAGCATGACAAAAAATGAACCAATCGTGGCTGTTGTCGTCGTGCTTCACCTCACATGTTGCTGTTGCATGACAAGAATTCCAGACCCAGACATAATTTTTGCAATTCATATTGGTCGTCGGTTTGAAATCGTGCACCGCAATGTGCTGCTCTTCCTTCACCAATTCCTCCTCCGTTTTCAGTTTGTGGAACAAGGTTTTGTGAGTTGCCGGTAGGTTCGCATACCAGTGCCAATGGTACAGGTTGTAGTCATATGGATTGTAAAAGTGTCTGGGTCTGGAAGAATGCAACTTGTGATGCTGCATTTGGATTCCAAAAAAATCTGTATTGCATGAGTAGCAAAAGGAGTATAATTCTTGCTACAAGGATAGGGCATTTGTCATGCGAAATAGGCATCAAGATGCCCTCAAAAAATATGTGATGCTAGGGCGTGCATCACAGACATCACGGCTCATGCAAGACGTGCATCACAAGTCTCAGAATCTTCCAGACCCAGACATTTTTACATTTGATAAGTCATCCTTCTCGGTTTTCTTGCTCTTCGCCAGCTCCACCGCTTGCACCATGAAGTGTGTTGTTGTTCTTGATGGTAGTTGTACGGAAAAATCTTGTTCAACAAGGCCTGTTGAAGAAGGCTGCCCCAAGCAGGTCAACATTTGCATCGGTCTTTTCCGCGCGTCAAAGATTTCCAACACAAACGGCCGGCCATTTTTCCCCAACATTCGCACGTCCACGTCCTCGCGGCCCGCGGCGTGGAATTTTATCTGAGAATTGGCTGCTTGTTTTCCTTTTTCTCCAGGAATTATTCCGAACCTTTCCGCGACAGGCGCAATGATCAAGTCTTCCACCGAGTACTTGGCTTTCATCTGGTCTTTCTCTTCCTCATTCGACGCGCCGCCCCCGCCTCCGAGGTGCCAGGGCGTTTGACTCAATTCCCGACTGTACTTGTTATAGCGCCCCTGGTAGAAGAGCGAGGATCGCTTGACGGAGATGATCTTGGGCTTCAAGACGATAGAGGCATTCATTTTAGCATTAGCTGGTCGTGCGGTTTTCGTTTTTGATTCAAATTGAGCATCTCCTTCTTCTTCTTCTTCTTCTAATAGGTTGATGTCTTGATTTGCAGTTCTGTTCGCCGGGTCCTTGACGTACCGGTAGATTTCTTGACACAAGTCCCGGAACAGGACTTCTTGGGTGTCAAAATTCTCATACTTCAAACGCAGCTTCGCGATTTTCGTTTCTCCAGCAGTTGTGGTAGCAGCCTGGTGCTGCAGGTGTTCTGCTTCTGGTGCATCAGCTCCTTCGGAGATCAGGATTTTAGCGTTGTTTTTTCCACCCTCCTGGTTCGAGTCGCTTGCCTTCCCTCGTCGCTTGCCTTCACTCATGCCTTTCCCTTTCCCTTTCCTCCTTCGCTTCGCCGCCCGAGCGCCGGACTTAGTCGAGTTCAAAATTGTCTCGATTTTGCTGAGCGCGAGGAGTGCGTGCTCTGACATCTCGAAGCCTAACTTGACTTCCAATTTACCTTGTCGTTGCTCTAGTTCGGCTTGCAATTGTAATTGCTGTGCGAGTGAAGAGCGTTTGTCATCAGCACCATCTTTGTCGGCTGCGGCTCCTGCTGCTGGCGCTGGGGGTTTGACAGCGTTGTTGTGGTTATTAGAAGCCACTTGTTGCCGCTGCTGGTCCGTTACTTGGATCACGACGTTTTCGACTCTGACCTGAGAAAAATGCGTTCTACTGCTTGATGTTGCGTATCCGGGCCTCTTTTGATTCTTTGCAGCCCCAGCCCCTGCCCCGCCGGCAATGATTGTACTAGATGCAGCAAAAGAGGTACTAGAGGTCGTCGGGGCATCAACCTCTTGGTCAGCAGCTGTCGCAAGAGAAAGCGCTCCTTCTATGCAAGACTTCGTTGCGTCGGTCAAGTTGTCCATTAGGTTCCGCGTCGTCATGGCTGTCGTGTGATTTGTTCCAGCCTTGTTGGCAACATCCTTGTCATCCAGTAGGACAGGTTCGTTCAACACGAGTTCCTGCCAGAGCAACAGTGGGTGGGGTTCCGGCGTTGTCAACAGGACTATCGGTTCGTACTGGACATCTTGCTGTGCCCCCTCGGAACAAAGAAGTGCAGCAGAGCTCGAAGAGGCACTGCTTGTTGTTCCGGTTGAACTAGTAGCGACTGGGAACAACGTCGCCGTGACTGGATTTTTAATTGTGACCGAAGTTGTCGAGGTGAACCCTTCGTCTTGGTTGAGGCGGGTGGTCAAGGGCTGCAGGAAGTCACTGGTAGTCGTGTCGTTGAGGATGCCTTCGACGGTGACTACAACGCTGCTGGTGGAGTTTGTGGGATTCAAATTTGAATTGGAAAAATTCGACCCCTGCGCGACCTTGTGGTCCGGTTCCTCTCCGACGGCATTCGTGGCAGCTGCCGGAAGTACAGGCACTACTGCTGGTGCAATTGGCGTCGTCATCTTCTCGGCTGGCTGCGGAGGGGGCATGGTTTCTTTCTGTAGAGACTGAATGTAGTGGTCGCAGCTGCAGCGAGCAGCGGGCTGAAATCTGTTGTACTAGACGAGGACAGAAATACCTCGAGGAAAAATACGTAGTTGATGAAACAGAAGCCGAAAAACACTGGGAATGTCGCCGACCTGTGAGGAACAAAAATAAAAGCTAGCTTGAGGCTGGAGCAACAACATTCAAGATGTTTGAATCATCTGTCATGCTCATACATCAGGTGGAATTATTGTGATCTGGCAAAAGCTAGAGCTTGAATCTCATCGACATGCTGCATCTTCTGTGTCTACAAAGTAAATATCATCAGCGATGGGGATCTGCTGAACCTCGGCTAATGCGCTAGATATAGATCTTTTGTTGCGCGACCACAGGAGGGTTCAGACCTCAGATCTCCATGTAGGATCACAAGAACTTGCTCTTCATCTCCTTGTCGAGATCCAAGATCCACTTATTTGCTTTTCTGAAGCCTAGCACTCCGTTGTACTTGAGTACTCGATCTTCGTCCACTGTAGCAAAAAAATGCGATGAGTTTCCAGCTTGGCGGACGCTGCTCTCGACCACTGCCACGGAAGGACCACTGTCATGGGTGGAAACAAATATCCAGGGGCTACTAGATTCATACATAAATCAGAATCAGGTTGAGGTTGGGAACCGCCGACGTGGCATTCCTTTTTGTTGATTTCTTTTTTCTCGTAGGTACATCTACGCTCGCTGGTCAAAGACGTTTAGTAAACTGCGAGGACTGCGTGCTCAAAGTTTCTTTTTCATCAGACGATAGTTTACACTAGTCACCACGACAAAAAATCGCTTCGGCTTTTTTTCGATTCGTCTCTGCGACTGCGGCACCGCATGATCACAAGGAACGACCTTGCAGCGTTCCGTTCAATACTTAGCAAAAGATAAGAATGGTCATCAAAACTTCAAGCGCGCTACGCACAAAATTTGTAGCGAACAACATTTCATCATTATGGACTTGATTCTATCTTCGAACATGGAATTGAATCTTCATTTATCAAAAACTACGCCTCCTTCAACATTTTAATTTTTTCAACTTTTTCCCCTCATCCGCCTATCACCATTCTCGCCTTCTGATGCAGGCTCATCGGGACATTTTTCTCCGTGGCGTTCACCGTCAGTTCAAACTTCCCCTCCACTGCGGCAGTCAACTCGACGGACAACGTGGCCAAAGTGTTCCCGATCAGCTGCTGCAACACTTTCCCGCAGGTGATCGGGTGCGTCACGCACTCTTGCAGCAAAATTTGGCCCCAAATCGGATCTGACGTCGCGTTTTTCTTCGCTGGGATGTACCAACCGGCTGAGGTCGCGTTCACGAAGGACACGTTGACGCTCCCGAACAGGAGGTCCTGGGTGTCCCCCACATACACCAAGCCGTACGCATTCTTCACTACCAGCGCCGAAGAGAACGTGTTTTCTATCGTCAGTAACGCCTGCAACTTCAGGAAAATGACCTGCGGACCTAAGAGAACTTGAATCCAGGAGAGCAAATTTTTCTCATGCCCGGGAACGGAAACCGAGATATCGGTGAGTTTTTTCGTGACCGGTTGCAGGAAGGTGAGATTTTGCCACAGTTTCTCGTAGGCGCCGCAGGCGAAGGCGTTGGTCACGGTTCTGTTGCTCAGGTGCATGCCAAGCATCTTTTCGAGGACCGGGGTAATCACGTCTTTGGATCTTGTTGATAGTGGCTTGCTATTGCTATTTCCATTCGAAATAATACCTCCAATGTTGGAGGCCGAGGCGGAGGCCGCCGGAAGCGCTGTCGCTGAAGGTGGAGGCAATCTACTCCGGTGATACTCCGACGCCGCAGCGGCCGGAGCTTCTGCAAAAGCCGACGTGGACGAGGGAAGAAGTTGACCGCCCTCAGCTCCTGTGTGGTCAGCAGAAACAGGCCCACTTAAGGTCGTGGGTGTCGGAGGCAGGAACATCCTCGGAATAGACTGTAGCTGCAGAGCTTGCGCTGGTCCTCCCGTTTCCAGTACTCCTGTGTTCTGCAGTGCTGTTTTGACCAGGTTCTGCACGTGGTCACGCAGCATGAGATTTCGATTTTCATGACCTTGTTGATAAACGTCGAAGCCGGGTCGTGGAGCTGTGATGCTCCTCATGCTAGCGCTAGGTCGTGTTCTCTCGTCGACGCCGTGTGGCCACGTTCCATTCGATCTTTTGTCCACGACAATATTGCCCCGGATCCTGTTCAGTGACCAACTCTTCAATCCGACCTCGTACGCCTGCACGGTGCCCAGCGAGACACTTCCGTCTTTCAACGGATAGTCCTCATTCGTCACGATCAAATGCGCGGGGAGAAACCCGAGTTTCGCAGACAGCGGCGTTTGGTTCTCCAATTCGATGGTCGCCGCGACGTTCACGTTGTGCTCATCAGTGAACTCGGGCAGGATGTCGATGTCTTTCACTTTGATCCCCCCATTCCCCGCGAACCGGTTCCACCCCTGAATTTTTGTTTGCACGAGAAGCGGAATGCTGTGCAGCTGCCACTTGCTGCTCAAGCAGGAGCTCATGGTGGCGGACCCGACGCCGCCCAACTCCAACTCGACAGATTTCTCGTTGTAGATGCTGTAGATGAGATTGTTGAACGCCGTGACGTTCTGCAGTTGCACCTTCGAGGACGGCATTTTTATCTTCAGGACCCCGCTATGATCGGTTTTGTTTGGAAGGTACTCGATTTTCGTCAGGGGCATTTCCGCGACCGCGTTGACCGCGTCCGATTTCAGCCGCACCGTCATGTTCGCGCCGAGGTTGGTGATGGCGTAGTCGAACTTGGCGAAGGGAATTTTGAAGTTGATTTGCAACTCTCCAAAAGCGGACAAGTTGTCCACCCCACCCGGCACGTTGAACCCGATTTCGGTTATGTTCACGCCCTGCACAAACTCGCGCCCGTTCACCTTTGTTAAGCCCGTGGAACTCGTCATGGATTCTACGAGTTTTGAAAACCAGGGAATTTTATACTCCGGGTCTTTTCCTATTTTCGCCGCAGTTTCGTTGTAAAAGGTGATCGAATATCCTGTGCAAAAGTATCGTACGGCACTCGTATTGCAATCATGCATTACTTTTTTCTTGAGGTAAATCAGCATTACAAATTTTATTTCTCGCGCTGAGGAAATTTGTCATGCATTTATACGAGCAGTGCGATGCTTTTGCGCTGCATATCGAAACGCCCTTCGCATCGAGGAAGACCTTGCTTTCGCTCGGATCAGCGTCTAGCTGGTGGCCTGCTGGTCCTTGAAGTTGTTGTCCTGCACCTGACGTGCTTCTTCGCGGGGGCAACGCACGGGCTTGGCTATGCATCTTTTCTGCGTCGGGGTCGGCCACAAGATTAAGGTCTGCCTCGTGATGACGATCATCACTCGAAGATGAAGCAATACCCCCTCCAGGAGTGCTACTAGTCGTCTCCTTACCAGTCCCGTTCACAAACTCGGCTAGAAAATCCGCCGCGACGTCTAGATTTTCCGGGTTGAAGATTCCGGTCACGGTCACGTTCTTGGTGATACCGGGGGTCAGGGTGAAGTTCTCCAATTCCACATAAGACATGGACGTATTCTTGTACAAGCACTGCAGCTTCAGCTTGTATCCGAGCGCCAAGGTGTAATTCGTTGGGTTGTTGATGTCCGCGGAGGCTTTCACGGAGAGCACCTTTTTTTTCTTTTTCTTGCTCCTCGTCCCCCGACTTGAACTTGTTGATGCTGAGCTAGAACTTGTTGCACTTGTATCATCTTCCCCATCATTATCCACAGAAAAAAACCCAACCACATCCATTTTTTGCATGACAAGCACATGATTTTATACGTGTTTTGCATGACAAATTGGATGTGGATGGTTTTTTTTCTGTGGATAATCATCGATCTCTACCTCCCCGGGCAACTCGAAGGTTTTCAAATCGATCACGTTTTTCAAGTGATTCAGCCCGACAAGCTCCACAGTTTGGTCGATATGGAAGCGCCAGGATCGAAATCGTCAGAGTTGAAATAACTTGTATATGCATAAAATACATGACGCGAAGCGCGTGTGTTGCAGAGCAGGCAGCAGAGGCCGATTGAGAGCCTGTTTGGGGCTAGAGCTCGAGCTGCTAAAGCAGCATGAAAGAATCAATCTCCTTTGCCTCAAGAGCATTACAGACTGGATTTAGGCACCGCCAAAATTTGTCATGCGCCACTTGGAAACTGGGCTCCATATGGTATCCATTCTATACATGGCAAATCATTTCAACTTTGTCGATTTCGATCCTGACAGTTCCATAGTCGAACGCGACACCGTAATTCACCCAGCCGTTGAACTTTTTTACTCTCGTATCACGAGAAAAAAGTGTTACAGTCACACATTTGCTGGAGTTTCTGCATCACAAATTTCCTCTGTGTGGCAAGGAAAGCTTGTAATGCGAAGACCATAAGGGAAAACAGGAAGGAGACGAGGCTCCCAAGCATTTCCTGCATGAGAAAGGTTATCTGTGTTGCCGGTCTTGCAACACAATGTGTAACTGTAACACTTTTTTCTTCCGATATCTCGTCGCCCCGGTGACCCGGATTTTCAGTCGTTTCGAGGCCAAAAGCAACGCGCCGAGTTTCACCATGTTCTCCTGGTTGGTAATCGTGAAGTTGGATTCCACTGGAACCTCGATTGCCCCCGGGCCGCCGGAGAGGTAGATGGACGGCTGTTGAAACGTACCGATGGCGTCGCTTTCGTCCTTGTCGTCTTTTGGCGTGGTTGTCCTCCTGTTTATCTTTTCCGATAATTGCTGCGAGCTCCCGCGTTCGTTCCTCGCAAGCCGCATGGTCACTTCAAATCCGTCCAGCGTCGCGGACTATCAAATGTAAAAATGTCTGGGTCTGGAAGATTGCCAGGTTTGTCATGAACATTTTGCATGACTCCTGATGTCTGTGATGCATGCCCTAGCATCACAGATTTTGTGAGGGTTCCCAATGCCTACACCGCATGACAAATGCTCTTTCCGTGTAGCAAAACTTGGACTCTCCTTGTTGCTCATGCAATACAGACTTTTTTGGAATCCAAAATCAGCATGACAAGTTGGATTCTTCCAGACCCAGACATTTTTACAGTTGATACGGACAAGCCACTGACAGAGGGGTGCAGTTGCATCACAGACGCGAGCTTCATCGTGGTCAGCGAGGGGGAGGTCAACGACATGCTGAGGATGGAAACGCTAGACCGGTTCACCACCTGCTGAATCCCGAGCGGGATAAACAAAACGACGGAGAGGAGCGCGAGGATGCAGAGGATGCTGGAGATTAGTAGATAATTTTGCACTTCGATGATTTTCACTTCCCTTCTCGGTCGAGTCTGTGAAGAAGTGCTAGAGGATGTAGTTGAACTAGAACCGTCCTCCTGGTGTTCTTGTCCCTCTGCGGTAGTTGTACTACCGCCGACCCGACTTTTTCTGAAACCGAAGCAGGTCCTCTTCCTCCCGTCGTACAGTGTCCAGGTTGTGTAGCGGAAACACCAACAGCGGTTTTTGTTGTACTCAGCGATCCGCTGCCTGTAGTGGTAGGCTTCGGATTGCGTATAGTGCGGGCCGGGATTTGTGGTGACTGTTGGCGCAGCAGCAGCTGAGGTGCCAGTCGGTGCACTGGACACAACACTGTTTAACGCGGTTCTTGTGACTACACCTACCGCATCGTCTACTTCGAGTCGCTGCTCTTGCTGTTCGAGGCTCTGCATATTGGGGTCCGTGGCTGTCTTGTTTGATGTTGTACTCGGACCGATTACAACAGCGTTATTCTTCCTCAGTTCAGCACTTCTCGAACAGCTGATCGCCTCGTTGCTGGTCACGTTGTTTGCCAAAATGCTTGTGGACGTGGTTTTAATTGCCTGCATACTAAGCAAATCAAGATTTACGTCGGAGGAGGAAGTCGGCGCAGTCGTTCCTGCTTGCTGGAAATCAACCTCAGACGGCATTTTCGAGGTCTCCCGCAAGGCTTGTAGATCTCCTTCCTTCAGATCATGGCCGTTCTCGTGGCTATCGCGAGCGACAGCGGAAATAGTTGTCGTGGTGGTTGCAGCACTGGTAGTGGTACTAGGTGAGGGTTGTGGCAGCTGCTCTCCTGTTCTTTCATCTGCTTCCGGTTCCGCGCCCGCGGGCGGCTTCTTCGTCATTTGTCGACGATCTGATGAGGACTTTGACTTCGGGGACATGATTTGTTAGAAAACGACAAATCAACACGAATATGTTGGATACGGAACAAAAATTCGGTTACGAGTATGATCAAGTTCTGACTTCTGCATTAAAGCTTTTGTCTTCAAGGTTACGAGCGTTTTGGATCATTCTGATGCTCACGGGAAAGGAAGTGCGATGCATATTTTTCGACGATCTAGTCAAGAGAATCCACTCCGTGCTGTACAAACGAATATTATTCGTTTGTACAGCACGGAGCGGAACGAAAGACAATGAACAAGAAAGGAGCATGATAAAGAAGCTATCGACAACAACGACGACACGCAATGACACAACGAACCCGGCCAAACACCACGGAAAGCAAATTATGAACTGAGACCAGAACGAACTGAGAAGGAAAGACGAGAGGTATCGCTGAACAAATGTCACGATCATGGCAGTTGCCGACAGAGCGGCGACTCTCATGCAAGAAGCAGGCCATGGCTCCTCGCACTTTCGTGGAATCTTCTAAATGCTTCCGCTATTCTTGTTTTCGTTTAAGAGGTCAAGTTCTGTTCTTTAGTAGTGGTCTCGTGGTGGAGTACTGGTGCAGCGGCTCCGTTTGTTATTAACTTCAAAACGTCAAGTAGTGTGTTGACGCTTCCGATGTAGTTGCACTGCTAATAATTCCACTGTAGTACATCTTCATGTATACTAGGATAAGCCAACATCATACAAGGAAGCATAGGGGGTGTTCTAAATTGAGAACTACGGGCTTCTGGAGTCAGCAGCAAGAGCAGGTCATTGGTGTGAAAGGAAAACTACATTTTGTTCTCCAAAAGACCAGAACGGCTCGTGCACTTGTTGCTTTCATCACATCCTTTGTCTTTCAGTTTCATTCTAGGAAAAAATAAAGCAGGTCCTGGTTACGACAAGAAGGGGGAGAGCTTTGTACTCGACTAATCCATGATAATAACAACAGAGAGGGGTCTTTCTCTCTTTTCCTGGGGAGGTCTTTTTACGAAGGGTTTCTCAATCAAACGTAATTCCAGATCCCGTCGTGCGAAGCTCTGACCGAGAGGACCGTCAGAAAAATGCATCAAACCAAGTTACTATTCGACCGACCTGAATTTTTCAGTTCTCGGATCGCGGCCGACTGTCGTGATCTATGATCATACTGTTAATACTGCTGCCTCCAGTTTTTTTTCCATTGGCGTGAGTGAGTTTTCTCATAATTTTTCGTCATTTATTTCAAAGATGAAGCACGGCTACTCTCGTTTGAGTAATTGGTGATGAACCGATCGAAATTACCAATATTCATGTTGACCGACACAATCACGACGTTCAAAACTTCTTCCCCCATCTTGGTCTCTTGGTTACGCTCCCGAATTCTTTGTGTGCTCCTGCTCGTGCCTTTATCGCCTTTTCAGGCGAACAACTTCTAGTGATTTGATATGTCTCAGACAGCAGAGTACTAACCAGTAAAGATGTTTCTTTTACTACAACACAACATTATGTTCAAACAACTACATGTAGTGAGTTTTGTCGTCGTGATGTGCGGACTCAGATCTCGTCATCATCGTCAAGTGCGTCGGCGTTGCTTGCGTCTCGCTATCCATGGCAAAAGTATTACGCTATGCGTGGCGGAAATGGCACTCCAAGTTTGCGCAGCATGATTGTACAAAAGTTGTAGATCATCTGTCATGCATGGTCATGGGTTCAATTTTTATTTTTCCTACCAGTGTGCGTCGTGATACTTTTGCCGAGGATAGTACTCCCCCGGCCGCTCCTGATGTAACGCTCGGAACACCAAGTGGCGGCTTCGTTATTTCCACAGGCTTGGCGTTGGTAGCAGTACTCGAGGCCGCTAGTACTTGCTGAGCTTGTTTCCACTCCGGAAGTTTTGCAAAGTACTCTTCCAGGGCTGGTTTTGGTAGTATTTTATGAAGAACTTTTTGGTCCTCCGTTGTCGTTGCAGGTTTTGAGCAGGTGTAATATGAAGCGGATGCTGAGAAAAGCTTGACAAGCCCCAGCAGCGGTGCGGCAATGGAAGTAGTACCGGAAGAAGAACCTCCCGCGACTTGTTCTTGCTGGTTCAGCAGTTCCCAGTTTGGACTTTTTTCTCTGCGGAGCCACTTGAAATCTTTCACGTCGGACCACATGTTCACTTTTGCAGACGGTGTAGTACTGTGCGTCGTCGAAGTGTCTTCAGAGTTGTCGTTTTTATTTACGTCAACTTCGACATAAGGTGCGAAGAGCATTTCCGTGCAGTCTTCGATGATCGGCCCAGAGTGGATATTCACCGCGAACAGCGTCTTTTTCGAAGTGTGTATCCGAAGCTGTTGCAGGTTTGGAAAGAGCAGAATTGAATTTTCCACGTCATGGAGCAAGCAGCTACCTCGGATCCTGTCCGTCTTCACGACGCAGTTCTGCAAGCCGCGCACCTAAGTGTCAGGTTTATATTTTTCTTCTTGCAGGAGCGATATCTTCTAAGATGAGCATCGTGCTGCGTTTGTACGTACGGAACGAAACTGTAGTTCGAAGTAATTACGACCTCAGCAACCTTCTTTACTGATGTAGAAAAGTAGGTACCAATTTATCTGGTACGTGCAGAGTAGAAAAGTAGCATACAATTTATCTGGTAGAAAAGTAGCATACAAGTAGAAACCAATTTATCTGGTACGTGCAGAACGCCCGTCGTTCCTTCCAATCGCACAACGCAATAGCATATACTTTGCAAATGTGTCTGGTTCCGGAATAGTGAAGAGCTGAGGTTCATCTACTTGTGATGCTCCGTTAGAATCAACATAAAGGGTTGAAATTCATCATCTGTCTTGCTTGTTTTGGTTTGCTACAGAAATCAATAGCAAAATGCTTTTCGTGTTCGTGGTCTTCCACATCCAAGAGAGGCATGACAAACATGCTCGCTGCTCCCCTCGAGGACCCAGACACTTTTGCTGTGGATATCGGCCAAGTCGCAAAGTTCCACGTCTGCCTCTTCCTCGATATGCAATGCAAAAGTTGCCGCGTGCAGGTAGCATAAATCGCATGACAAATATATTTTTCCAAATGTAAATGCTGACAACTCAGGTTACAGAAGAAATCACTTCTCATGCAACAAGATTGCAGTCGCTACGAGTGGTGCGGTAAAAACTTTGCAATGCATACTGGACCTTGATCGACACATCTTCCCCGGTTCTTTTTTGGACGATAACCGATTTCGTATCCACCTCGAGAAGGGGATTCGGTTTCGAGGTGCATATTGAAGACGGGTCCTGCTGTACGACCTCCTGTCTGCTTTTTTTGCCCGCTTCAGTTTGTGGTCCTGTCTCCACCGTCGAGAGATGTGGCGGAGTTTCAACAAGAACTACATCGGCATGTTTTTTCCGCACGAATTTAAACTTCTCACACGGTCGCTTACTCCGTACCTGCAACATATGGGAGTGTCAGGATTGAAATCGACAAAATCGAAAAACTTGCGATGCACAAAATCGATGCACGTTACACCCACAGTTTGTAGTCGGCGCATGACAAATTTCCCACGTCCTGGAAGCGAGTCTGTCATGCAGTTTAGGGCAAAAGCCCTCCCCTCTGTCATGCTAGCCACCAACCCAATTCGTGACCCTTAGCAGGGCTACAATCTGCCTCCTTTGCGTCCTCTGCAATAGAGTCACTTTTTGTGTCGCATTTTCTGCATGACAGTTTATTTCGACTTTGTCGATTTCGATCCTGACGCTTCCATACAGCAGCAAAATATGGCGGGATGTTCAGGGCGGGGAATAAATTCATCAAAATTTTTAATCGCAAACATTCGAGGACTGTTTTCAGTTAAGCTCGCCATTTTCATGTAAACGCACATGACACTGTTTTTGCTGAGGACAACATGCAGAGCGCATCCGTCAAGCTCCTCGGAGCTTTCAAAAGAGGCTGCTCGCATAGCATGCTAGCTCCTCTTCAGCTGGTGCAGCGTCATCCTTGCCTCTAGACAGGCCGCTACCGCTTACACCTCGACACGACCTCATTCGAATCTGCCTGCTCATAGTGCAGATGCCCTCCGAGGTGCGACGGGTTTGTGCGCAGTACAATTTCTACTTCACGCGAGGCATGCTACATTTCATTTTCACGACGCGTTCCCACCTGACATTCTCATACAGTGCCCGAGCTCGTCTGGAGTGCCGCTCAAATTCGTATTTGCCGAGCAGATTCTGTTTCTTACGCGATATTGCAGAAGTCACGGTTCTTGTAGTGGTACTTGGATTTGTAGCATCGTCGTTACAGAAATCTTCCCCGGAAGACATGATCATGGTCTGCAACTCCAAAATTCGTATCCTGTGCAAACGTTGACGTACTATCGCAGTACTAGTGGTAAAAAGTGCATCATGACAAGAATTTCCTTCCACCTCAGCATGCAAAATGTTGGAATTCGAAATGCCGAATGATCTGGCACTAGGCCGCGTCCAGAAGCGAGATCTTCGGCGCACCATGATTGCCATTACTACGAGTACGAGTACGCTACAACTTTTGCAATGCGTAATTCGTTTCTCCAGGGAATCGATGTCGTTTCTTTTCACTCTTTTGGACAGAACGGCTTCGATTATGCTTCGCAAATATGTCATCAAGGGGTCTGGATTTGTGATGCGAGATGTGAACGGAGGGCGGCAATTTATGACCATGTATGCGATTGGCCAGTTTATTTTTTGTCGTGCTGGAACTTCCAGCATGGAAGTCATTTTGTCGGGCGTCTTGCGCATGAATCTGCAACAAGCTTCGAAAAATCGAAATTCCTCATGCTTTTTGTGAGTTTCCCCGTACATCTACGCAAGCATTTATTCTTCATCTGCGATGCGAGCTTCACCAGCAAGGCAAAATTATTCCAGATAATTCAGGTCTATATTTGCAGCGCATACCGATGTCGTCCAGTTCAGTTTGCAGGTTGAAAGCTTGAGTAGGGCCAGTACTTGCAGTCGTCGTCGTCCTCGTCGCCGGCGAGGATTGCGTGGGGAGATCAACTCGGACCAGGTTCGAGGGACCGCCGGTTGTACTTGCCGGAAGCACGGAGACCACGTCGGGCATGTTTAGAAGATCGTCTTCTACTATAACAGGCTCAGCTGCACAAATTAAAGAACTTTTAAAAATCTCGACTAGCTGCGAAAACCTACCTCAAAAGCTATCTCCTGTTGTATTTAGTGCGATGATTAGCTAGCTAGTTGAAAAGTCGTGGGCTGCCTCGTCGCGGATGCGCGGAGGACTTCGCACAAGAGAAAATGAGCATCGTCAACCCGAACCCCAACCAGCCCTACCGCTAACTGATGGCCCGGGACATGGGCGCGAGCACCGTTTTGTGAAGCCCGGCTGGGTCGTATACCTCCCTGAAGTTTTTCTGTTCTAAAAGCAGCAGTCTGCCGCTCTCCCCTTGAAGAAAAGGAGAAAAAGAGTAGCACTCCTTGCGCGTTTTGTAGCTCCCCGGCCCTATGTCCGCATGATGTGCGGAACTCTAGGCGTGCGCTTTTTGCCCAAGAGGAGCTCAACCAAAAAGAAGGGCCCTTTTAGGCCTGCGCTAGGGGATCCCCCCTCGGGACCCCCCTAGTGAATCAAGGAGCAAATCGCCGTAGCGCGGGGATTGGCCTCAGGAAAGGGGCAAAAGAGTGCAGGGGAAATTCGAGGGACCGCCGGTTCTACTTGCCGGAAGCACGGAGACCACGTCGGGCATGTTTAGAAGATCGTCTTCTACAAAAAAAAATGTAGTCACACAACAACGAATATGTTTTTCCACAGAACAAGAGAACAACTACGCCTACTCCCAACACAGAATTCTTCTAACGTTTTTTCGTATATTGATATTCGTAAAAGTTCATCCGCATGACCAGCACGCAGGACTACATGGTATGTATCAAAAGGCGAAGATTTAACGTATCGATCTTTGACGTCTCAAGGATGTTGACAAAACTGCATGCAGAGTTCAGAGTCAACCTAAATTCCAGGCCGACGACGTTCATCCCCTGCGCCATGCAAGAGGATGACGATGAGGTTGAAGGCGGTGCCTTTGGCAGGATCGCAACACTTGCTCTTCATAGAAGCAATCAATTTATATTTTTTCTTCATAGAAGCGATCTTCACCTGGTTTCGTTTCTAGCTACTCTTGTTTTCTCTTACCGCATACTAAAAATAATCATCCTTATTTTCTGAGAAAAACAAATTAACAGGCTAAAACTAAGTACTTCCTGCAGCACTCAGCCCAGGTACAACCAGTAGAACAATCGAAGTCCAACAACAATTCTGCTTCTCGTCGTCGGTTCAATTTTTTCCAAAGAACAATGATACGCGGACGTGGCGCTGGCAAACCGAAACCAATCAGCGAAGCTGGAAAATTTAATCTTCCACGACCTGGCATAATATCATCTACCTTTGTGCCAGGAATCTATGGCCCGCCTCTTGTTTTACAATCTATCATCTACTGCGGCATCTGTTTTATTAGTGCCCGTTGTGTCCCCTTGTTTTTCGTTTTCCAAAGAAAAAAAAAAGGGTGTGCTTTCTATTAAAGATGAAACGCTACTGGTGCGCTACGGTCTGCAGTTTCAAGTTCTGCAGCGTCCAATTGACAAAGAAATTTCCAATTGATATAATAGGAACATATATCACCACCTCACAGTCAAAAGACTTCGCTTATTCGGGTGCGGCAAAATCGCATTCCATGACAATTTTCGTCGTCGTCTCTGTGTGCGTTTCGTAAAGTCAGCGTGAAGAAGACCGCAGGCAAGTGTAGATAAAGTCGGCTTCACCTAGGTTGCTGAAATTTGTCTATTGTGCGTCCACGTGTATGTGGACGGTAAAAATTACTTCGCTTTGTAAAATCAATGTCGCCTCCTGCAGAAGAAGTTCCTAAAATAAAATCGACTCTTTCTTTTTCCTCAACAGCAAAATTGTTGTCCAGAACATTAACAGGTACTTAAACAACGGCACAGCTGCGGCTCTCCTCCGTGCAGCCCTGCCCCTGCTTGGAGCCCTCTACTACTTCTCGCGGCGTGGCAATGGAAAAGAGCTCCGGGCCCCCAGAGGTGCTGTGCCGTCGGGCAGCAGAAGACGAGGCCGAGGGAAAAGACGAGCCTTCATGGTTGTGATCTTCATTCGGTACTAGTAGATCATGATGAGAAAGCTGCTGCTCCTGGGCCAGAGCCAAAGAGGTCGCGGTGCCAAGCAGCTCCGGCGCAACGTGCTGGTGCTGGGTGTGGTCTCGCTGCGCTTCCTGTGCTGCAAAGGCAAGGCAGCTGGTGCTTCCGATCAGAGCAGGGGCAGACGCACGTGTAGTAGTTTCTGTTCCTGCTTCGCATTCTGTTCCACGTCGCGTTTGGTCTGCATCTAGTACTGTAAGTGCTTCGGAAGGCGACGGAGCAGACCGACCGGCCACAAGCGACGATTTGGGATTATCATTTCCAAAGGTCGTTGTGCTTGTGGCCTTGAGAACCAGCTTTGCTTCGGCTATACCGGGGCCGCCGCTGATGATCAAAAGACCAAACGCGGCAACCACTGCGGCCGCATGACGCGAGCAGATATGCGAAGAGCTGGCGATTGTCTTCAACCCTCTGCGATGACCGGTGAAAGTAAGCGCAGCCATCTTGCAATGTGGGGTGGCTCCTGTTACGGAGGCTCCTACCACTAGAGTAGATCGACTTGTTCTCGCTTTGTTTCGCACTTGCCAAAAGGAAAAGAACCGCTTGATTTTGTTGATGCCCCGAGCAGGAGGTTGCCCAAGTGAGACGAGGATGTGTTGCGAATAAACTCGTCGTCGAGGATCCACCCGAGGAGTAGAGCGCCTGGCTTCAGTCTTGACGTTGCACTCTGGACGGTGTACTACTAGTAGAAGTACTGCAAGTACGAAAAATCCTACTTTTGCAAATAATGTTGATCCTTCAAAAGATGAGAAACATCATCAAGATCATCTCGTTTATTTTTCCTCGTCTCGTGAGAAAAACGACAAAGCCAGGAGCGCCCGGGCCCCGATCCTTTTCGCAAAAAAAATCAAAAAAAGTAGGACGCGAAGTAAATCTGTAACTGACAGTGAGACGATCTTCGCTGAAGATGACTCGTGATCTTTAAAAGATCACGAGTCATATTTGTTCCCCTGTGCGAACAGACACAACACAAACAGGAGGGCGTGTGCACCAACCGTAGCCAAGAAAAGATGTTCGCGAAAAACTGCATTTTGAAGATTTGCGTTTATCTTCAGCATTTTCCAGAAAGCGAAGAAGTAGGGGCCAACTGTTTCATCGTGGATTTACGTTTGAGGTACTTAACGAGCACTGCCAGCCAAGACGAGCATCTTCACGCTAAGCGCGAGCGAAATTTCGTTCCATTTTTGCTCTGTCATTCGACCTTCATGCTCATGTTGCCTGCCGCTGCTTTCAGCTTCCGTTCTTGTTCCTGTTGGACCGCAGCCCGCAGAATCTGTTGCGCTGCGTAATCGAGGAAAAACGCAACCGCGGTTCCTGCCAGACCGACTAAAATCCTTCCCCCGATCACCGCTCGGATTTTTCTCTGCTCCAGTTCTAGCACTTCGTCGTCCAACTCCTCCATGATCATCTGTGGTTCCGTGCTTGTCTTCTCTGCTAATCCATGGTTTGCAGAGGAAGAGGACGACGTCAGAAAACCAAAATAGCCAGTCAACTGCGCCGTCGCCGCTTTCGCGCACAAGTAGACGGCGGCCACCCCGATAGCCAAGCCGACGAGCATATAGGTCAACTGCTTCCAGATGGCAATCCTTCGCGACAGGGTGAGGAGCCGCGCATGTTGTTCGCGAATGCTTTTGTGTGCTGTACTGCCTTTATTTGCTGGTGTAGTTTTCGGTGCAGCTGCAGCTGCTCTCGTCTCTGCCGCCCCGTCGACGTCGTTGAATTCTTGTTGCAGTGCCCGTAGAACCAAGTTCTTGTCGTACTGACGCACGTAGTGGTAAAGAACGCAGAAGGTAACAAAGTAGAGTGCGACGAACTCCTTATGCTGTGCAAAAGTACTCATATCGCATTGGTGCCGGTGCTGGTGCCGATCAATTCAAATTATCATGCAAGAACGCAAATATAATCCTTCCCTGAATCTTCAGCAAGATAGAAGACATCAAATTAGTGGTGCTAATATGTATTTTCTATTGCTGCAGCAATTTGTTCCAATGATTTCAATATCAATTGATACAACTAGCACAATGATGCTGCTCAGCGTACTTTTGTATTGCATACTCCTGCCATTGAAACCATTCCTGGTACGCGCGACCGAATAACAGAGCGGTCGCATCCTTGTCAAACCAAGAAAGAAGTAGAGCATCAAGATCGTCGACAATCGTCGAGGAGAAACTGGGTGGTTCTTGCGCAATGGCGGACATCTTCTTGGAAATTTTGTTTTTATTGCTTGCTGATGTGTAGTTGCAGCCTGTGCCTGAAAACTTGCTTGTCGCTGCTCGGTAATGCTTACCGCTACTAGTTGGTTCGGATTTCTGATTTTCATTTTTCTACTCGCCTGCAGATCTCATCTTAGTGGATACGTCTGTGCTTTGATTTTCTGGCCGCTCCTCGCGAACCACTTCTAGTCCTAACTTGAAGCTTTGCTCTCAACGAACTGTCAGCTCTTCACGCGCCAGGACCAAACGAAAAACATCTCTACTTCTGTGACAGCTATTCCTTCGGAGCGAGGAGTCACAGGCAACAAAGCCCCTGTCGCTGCCTTCAGCGCCGTCGCGGAAATATAAGTATCTACACTACAACGCTTCTCTTGGGCAAGCGATTTCATTTTTCCAAAAATGAAATACACCATTGCGTCCACCATCTTTATGCTTATCAGTACTGTCTTGGTCTCCTGCAGCAGGACTTTCTTCTGCTTTTACCTTCTGGAGGCACGATTGTTTCGTGTTCGAGCTCAACAAACCAGCGGCGAGGTCATTCTTCAACAACCTGTAGAAGTTTCTTTCCGGAATTTTTTCGACGACCTTCTCCCCATATTTTGCCTTCGCGTTGTCCACAGTATGCGTTAGAAATGCGTCTTCATCTGCTCGCGGTCTGGAAAGCTGTACTGAATGCAATTGCCGACTGCATCAAAACTGCGCAGCCAAGTTCCAGTATGGTAGGTTTTCATCCCCCGCCGCTTCCGGGGGCTCTGCCTCGGCAGCACCGCACCATAAAGATAGAAACTGAGTTTATTTTGCGTGACATGCGACTGCGAGCGGACAGTTGCTCTTCGTGGACTCGCAACAACTTCACAGAGCTCAGATTCCAATCAAGTGTACTAGACATCAATCAAAGGTACTCGATGCAGACTTCCAGACCTCGCAGATTTGGACACAAGAACATTTATTCCACTGCCTACACGTCCACTTGGCGCAACAAGTGTATTGTCGGGTACGGTGCCCGGAGGACGTTATGAATCTGTCAGGATTGAAATCGTCAAAGTTGAAATGGTTTGTCATGCATAAAATGCAAGGCATGAAGTGCCTGTCTTGCTGGGATGGCAAGTGAGGCAGATTGCGAGCCTATTTAGGGTTTGGGATAGAGCTGCTAAAGGAGCATGACAAAAGCACCCTTCTGTGCCCAAACAGCATGACAAATTGGATTTCGGTACTCCACAAATTTGCCATGCGCAGCTTGGAAATTGGTCTTCCAAGAACTGGTATCCATTTTATGCATGGCAAATTATTTCAACTTTGTTGATTTCAAACCTGACGCTTCCATAGACGTAGTTCGGGCCGTAGTGGTCCTGGTCCTCGTCGTCAACGAAGGAAATCGTGTCTTCAGCATCTCCTCGTCCTGTCATGCGAGAGCACGACCCCCGCTCTCGGGAACTACTACTACACCTCCCGGTTTTATTGGTCGCAGTAGATGAGGAGTCTTGAATGAGGGAGCTGCCATCAAGTTTCTTCAACGAGGAGCCGAGTGCTGTGCTAGAAAAAGCAGCTTGGGCTTCGCGTTCTAGCAGTAGTTCCGCAGAAGCAGAAATATCCTGATTCAGCTGGAACGTGGCCATCTTTTGCTGCCGGGAAAAAAAGGGCGGCCTTCCCGCTATTGGTGGTGTTGTAGTCCTCCTTAAGAAGGTTCTCGTTGCAGTGGCCCCCGTGCCCTCTTCCTTCTCTTCTTGCTGTAGGTTATTCCTGCAGGAGCGCGAAGGCGCCACTTCTTTTTCTAATGCGAGCCCACTGCCTCTGCCACAGGCCTCGCCCTGGTCCTCTCGTTGTATCCCTGGCCCACCATCATGCGCAGATGAAGGTGCTGCACGGCTGCGCTCTCGTGTCAGCACCGATCCTGCATCATGTCGAGAACAAGGAGGTCGACGCGGCCGACGGCAGCTTTTGCGTCCGTTCGACGAGTAGAACCGCAGGACGTCAAGGTCACGCAAAGCAGAAGCTTTAGATTTAGTATTTTCAACACCAGCAGCTCGTTGATTTCCTCCTACCTCCACCCTGCTAGAAGCAAGCTCATCAAGAGTTTTCATTGCCTTGTAGTCCTCTCCATCAGCGGCCAGCAGAAGCCCCTCGCTGAGATCCAGCCCCGGTAACTGACCTCCGGCAGAAGTAGCTGCACCCCAGCTACAAGAAGCCTCATCCACGTGAAGATGCGGGTTGCTTTTTCTGCTAGGTTTGCTTCGCAGAAAAGCCTCTTCTTCGTTTGGACAGGATGGGTGGAGCACTTCTGCATTGCCGATCGAGCGAGTGCTCTTCATGTTGTGGCCTGCACTCGCAGTGGTCGTGTGCGGATTTTTTGTTTTCACCTCCTGGCTTTGGACCTTTTCCTCGACTTGCCGTGCCCGCGTCCAGTCGGCGTTTCCATGGCTGTAGACGTTGTCACCTCCTTTTCTACCACAGTCGAGCACATAGTCCGCGCAGCTGTAGCCATTGTGCACCGCCTTCGGGTGAAACAGCACCAGTTGCACTGGCTTCTTGTTTCTTTCACTTTCGACGTCTGGAGGTGGAGGACCCTTGCACGACGCAGAAGTGCCTGTCGTAGCGTTCGCGCGGCCGTTTCCAGTCGTGTACGTTGAATCACCGGCTGCAGAACGTGACTTCCCGTCTGCTCTGGCCGTCGAGAGTTGATTTAGCCCACGCCGGTCGTCCAAGAGCGCGACCATCTCCTCCACCTCCTCCTCAACGGCTTGCTCCAGGCACGACGCAGCACGGTAGAAGTCGTAGTAGTCTTGGAGAAACTCAGCATTGGTCAGAACGATCAGGGTAGAGTGGAATAAATTCCTACCGCAGGCGGGGGACGGGGAGGATACGGTGGAATTATCCCGTACTAGTAGTTCCTCTCGTCGTGATGTATAATCGTCAGCCAGAACTGCGCTCTTGTTACTTTCGAATTCGACAGGAGCCACGATACCGCTGCTTGTCTGCTCCTCGAGGTGCAGCTTTTCACTCTCCTGTCCTCGAGGTGGTCCTCCCGGAAAATAAGATCCACGGCCGGCCGCGTTTTGGCCGAGTAGAGCACCACTATCTTCAAACAACTCCAACAGGCGCAGCTCTTGCTTCAGGAACTGACACAACTCAGCCACTGTGCTGCCGCCGAAAAGCGCGATCCGCAATTTCTGCCTGTCCACGAGAGGTTTGGCGAAGGGACAGATATTCTTCCCAATCACCCACTTTTCAACCCAGTTCCACGTGCGGCGGAGGGCAAGTTGAGAGGGCTCTTGGTGCACCAGCTGGGTGGCTAAGGAAGAGCCATGTAGTTTTTGATGTGGCGTAGGTGGAGACGAGATTCTTTGTGGTTCACCACTTGGCGGCCCAGCAACCTGGAGGTGCTCAGTTGGGCGCTCCTCTGCGACCACCTTCTCTGGCTCTGTTCCACCCAGTGGACTAAGGCGGCTCAGTTCCTCATCCTCAGCATGGAGACAAACTTTGGTACTAGAAAAACGTCGCGGCGGAAGATAAAACCCGCAGCTCTTCACGCTGCCTGGTGGATGGCGAACGCGACCAAGCTGGCGCGCTTCTATGCTCAATATGCACCGATATATTTTTGGTGTGCTAGTACTACGCACCACGACCGTGGCGCTCGCCGTTGCAAAAGAAACAAGAGTGCTTCGACAGTGATAGTTGTGAAAATTCTGAAATATTAAACCACGCAGGCTTGTCGTAAGATTTTTGCAATGGCTCAGCGCCATCCTGCTGCGATGCTGGAGGCCCGTGGTGCAGCTTGAGGTGGTCATGCTCAGCTACATTTATTTTCCCTTTCTTTGACACTTCGCCTTATTGCAAAAGAAGATTCACATCAAAACTGGCGGGTAATGGACGAATGGCCGGGGCCGGCGCTGGAGATACAGTTATGCTGGGGCGCACGAGGATAAAAAAATGCAATGTAGTTCGGAGAACAAAGGGGTACTTAAAGTCAAACGCTGGCTATACGAGCTGCTCATCTTGTGCTATGTCATGATCGGACGAGAGAGTAGCATTTACACAGAGGAGCGGTAAACACGCCCGGGATGAAGTAGAGGATAAAACACAGTAGAAGTCGTCAGCACGCCAAGTTCTTCACTCAACAATATATTGTTTTCACATCGTGTTGATGCCAAAGGCAACGTCATCAACTCTACTTCCGAAGGTTGTAGGATCCATCAAAGTTGTTCCTCGTTCTTTTTGTTGATAGTACATGAGCAGCTGCACCAGCACGCCGCGCGCTAGTTGTGACTATATCGGACCACCACGACGAAATGCAAGAGCAAGACACGAATAGATGATCATGGATCACTTTGTTCCTAATCGTTCATTCATGTTTCGCTTTTTACTTCGCGGACTGTTCTTCAGCGGAACCTCAACCTTTCGACGATGTTGTAGCTGAAAAAGAACATCTACATAGACAGCACTTATGAGGACCAAGAACAATAGAGATCTGTGTCCGAAGGCGACCGTTACTGAATTCTTCTCGATAGTAGACGTCACTACCGAGAGAGAGCTCCATCGCTCTCGAGCAATGTCAACGTCGACAACAAAAGATGAGCAGCGCCCTGCAGGTGTTGGACGGAGAGTACGAGGGGAACGAGAAGCACCCGCAGGAAAATTTCTGCGCCAGGCAGTCACTCCTCGACACGACGCGCGACATCATCGAGGCGACCGGTTTATGTGATGCAAAAAATCTCGCCTTCGTCAATACACGCACTCGCTCTTGCATGTTCTGTATTTTCATGTCCGACCGCCTTCTTCAGGAACAGCTCGCAGCGTGGCATCTGTTGTTGCTGAAGCGGCATTTGTAGATCAACCACATGCAAGAACGCGTGGTGTTTGCGATGGGAGATTTTTTGCATGGTCCATGCGAAAAGTTCGAAAAGGTTCCGGAGGCGTGCCGGGTGGAATTCACCGCAAAGGAGGTCAACGGCAAGCAGGACGATGAAGTTTTCTGGCAGCCGATGACAATCAGCTTGGGGGTCCGGGACTTTGACTGCTACGAAGAGGTTTTTGCAAAGGGCAAGAAGAACAGCAACTTGCAGTCGTCCTCTACTACTACTTCTTGACTTCCAAAACAGAAATCCGGAAACTCAAGCTCAGCTCGACCACGACCAAGAAGAGCGACAGCATCAGCACTTTGACCGTTCTGCTGTCCTTCGTCAAGGTGGGCGACGAAGATGAGGATGCGGGGGCAACTAAGACCAACAAGCGGATGAGTCAAAGCGACGCGCTGGCGATGTTCAAGAAGCAGAGGAGGGGGCGACTGAGGAGAAGACGCACAGGAAGTTTCTCAGTATTACTGACCTGCGCCTGGAGATTGAGACTCAGACTATACTTATTAGCGTTCGCGCTTCGTCCTTGCTCATTGATCTTTTAGTTAAATTTGAATTTCACCTTCACTAGACTTTCTACAATACCTACTGTTTCAAAAAAATTTACTTCTGGCCTCATGCTTTGTAGCACGTTAGATATTTTCGGAGCCCACCGCGGTTCGCTCCTATTCACAACTTTTATTGCAGATTACGCAACACAGATTGAAGCTTCTATTTCAGATCACGTATCTATGAACGTACTTGCAGCATCACAAACTGTTTCGCTTTATCCGCGCTCTTGATCGAGCTGTAGCTGGGCACTAATTTCGATTCCGAAGCGATTAGAAAAAAAAACAGATCATGACCAACAAGAAACTACACAGGAAATTCCGTAGAATTTGAAAGCGACTTCAGCGCTGGGAGGAGAACCAACTAGGGACAACGAGCAAAGTACTTTGAAAGCCAAACGAGCGGAAACATGAACGATTCCTGACGAAAAATGCACAACTGTAAAAGCAAAAAGCAACCTTGTATGTAGATAGTCCAATCAGTCCCGGGTCTGAAGAATATGCCGCAGTGATTCGCAATGGAGTTCGCAATTTGGGTTCGGTTTACGCGGTGCTGAATAAATGTAACAGCTAGCCGATAAATGTAGCAGCTAGACAGAAAGAAAATGGTTCGTTTTGGTTCCGTTCTCCGTTCATAGAGAGAATGGCTATTTGGCTCCATCGCTCTCGAGCAATGTCAACGTCGACAACAAAAGATGAATATGCTACCACGTTCTCGCGGCTGTATTATTCGCTTCAAATATATTTTTGTCGTCCTGTAGTTGTACTTGTAACTACAAACAAGCGTCGAGATACGGTATCTGAATCTGGTGGCGGCGATCCACAAAGACGATGTGCTACTGATGGAATCTTATCTGATGAACCAGAGAACTGGAGGAGGTCGCTGGGCTCCTGTAAGGGCCGCGTGTCACCAGTACGAGAATCATACTTAATTTATTGCACAGCGCACGGAAGCAGCAACATCCTTATCGACCACCGCAATTTCCGGCACTCAGCCCGGCCGCGTCGCGAATGCCTGCGGGGCACATCAAGCATATGGAAGCGCTAGGTTAGTAGAAGTCCACAAATAAGTAATTGGACAAACACAAATGATATACAACCTTCCCGAGGCACAGAGAAACTGTCTTGTGGAGCAGTCCGAAGTAAAGGCCGTCAGGTGAAGCCCGTACAAGGCGGGTACTTAGAAGTAGAAAGGACGTGTACCACGATACAAGAAGTCGTTTTTTGGCTTGGAGCACGCAAATCCATGACAAATTGGATTTGCGTGTATGAACGTGCAAAATGCAAAAGGGGTCAACCTAAACAGAGAAGCTTTTTCGTTGTTTGGGCAAAAAAGCTTTTCACTTTCGGGCGTATTTGCCGGCACCAGCTGCCCCTTCTCCGCGCGATATTGGATCGAGTTGCGCGTGTTAGGTTGCGCAAAAACAAGACTGGTTGTCGTGTTCCAGGTGGTCGCAGGCCTTGCGCAGTGCCACAGCTGGTGCGATCCTGCAGCGCGCATCTGCGTGTGGTGCGGGAACTTAAAGACGCAACTCGCTGGGCGGTTGGGATGACGCATCTCACTCGTGGCGCGCCAGCTGTGCCTCTCAATCAAGTTAAGCGCGATGGCCACGGCAGTTGCATCAGCCTCCTGATCTGATTTTCGAAGCGCCCTCTCGCAGAGACCGGCCAGCCCAATCTACCGCAAAGCAGCTCCAGCGAGCTCCCTTGCGGAGTTGCTCCGCGGGCTGCCGGGGAAATGTCCAGAGCTATTCTCGGACGCGAGCCAGAGTGCATCCACATGCGGAAAAGGGTTAATCCTGGCCCGGGGTTCGGACATCCCGGAGCTTGCCCGACACGATGTAGCAGAGGTCTCACCTCTCCCTTCCCCGTTCGCCGAAAGCCGCTCAATGAGAAGAATCTTCTCACTTTGGCGATTTTTTTGCCGGATTTTGCCAAAACTTCGCCAAATAAAATCCGGGTTTTTGGCGAAGTTTTGGCAAAACCCGGCAAAAAAATCCCCAAAGTCAGAAGCTTCTTCTCCTCGAGCGGCATTCGGCGAAGAAGGAAAGGAGGCGAGAAATGTCGGCTCCAATGTGTCGCGCAAGCTCCGTGATCGGCGTGAGCCCCTGGCCAGGATAAGCGCCTTCCCACATGCGGATGCGACCTGTATTGTGTCCGGAGATAATCCTGGACACTCTCAAGGAGCAATTTCGCGCGGGTGCTTTCTGGAATTGTTTTGCGGCAGACTGGGCGGCGCGGTCTCTGCGCATAGCATTTTCGAGTGTTAGCAAACGCTGGCGCGCCTCCAGCTGCCAGCTCCTTGAGAAACACAGTCGGCGCGCCTCGGCGGAGGTGTGTCACGCAAATCCATGACAAATTGGATTTGCGTGCTCCAAAGATCATTTGATGTCCACACGCCCCGCTTAGAAATTAATTCGCGGTCCAACTGGATCGTGTTATGTGTTGCTTCTCCGTTCATTTGCAAATTTCCAACCCGACACTTCCATAGCGCACCACTCGTCTACTTCGCGTCGAAGATTGGTACACCGTTCCGCGTCAGGGTCTGCGAGTAAGCACGCTTCGTATGCATTGCAAGTATGTAGTTCGGGTCTAACAACTTTTGTCTTATACTAAAATGTCGATTTTTGCATGACCGACAAAGGCAGCGCCTTTTAGTCCTGTCGCACGAGGATAGTAGCGTGCGGCTTCTAGTCCGCACTACGTATTTCAGTATCAGATGAAAACGTTCGAAATTATAAAACTTGTCATGCTACTTCTTGGCTGCCGCTGCCCGCCTTCAAAAGAACTCAGAGTGTCTGAGTCTGACTGGTCCAAGCCCGGTCATCATTACAAGTTTCCAGTCCCGGACACATCTCCACTAGGTACTTCCTGCGCCGCCACGATGTTCGCACTTCCAAGGAGCACTGCTGCGCACCATATGCATTGCAAACATATTTTTTGGGGCTGGAAGTCCTCGCGCAAGACTAGTGTGAATAACACAAACTGTGACTCTACAAAAAATCACTGCAGAGGGGGGACGCGACGAGCTCTTCGTGGCCATGCATTACAGAGCTCTCCACAGTTGTCACACCAGGATGACAAAACATCTCGCGGCAATCTTCCAGACCGAGACACGTTTACTCCGGTTGATACGCCGTTGGTCCTTCAAAGTTGCTTTTCCAATCCAGGAAAAAACAACCATCCCCATCCATTTTTTGCATTACAAATAGTGGACTTTATGCATGTTTTGCATGACAAATTGGATGGGGATAGGTGTTTTTTCCTGGATATTTGCCCAAAAGTTTCCAAACCACGCATCCCGTTGAAAGGCATCCCCACTGGATGGTCGAACTGCAGGGAACTGCGCAATACAAATCTCGAAGATTTTCCTCCCTCGCTGTAGGTGTAGCGCAGGTTAGAAAGGACAAATGACGTCATGCTCATGTGCGATGTGCTATCTTCATATTCATCATTTCTGTATACTTACAACAATTTTTACACTCGCCAAAACGCGGCTAGAAGTGCCTGTGATGGGAATGTCATGTGTGTTGAAATTGTTCGTGTAAATGCAAATCTGCCTGACGACTCTGGTGTGGGGGCCTCGTTTTTCATCAAGATACCATGCCATGGAGTTTTTGGAATTGGTGAAGTCCCTTCATCTAAATCAAAAATTCCCCCTCCGCATATTCCAAACGAATGCGACATACAATACCAAGGGACTACAGACAATAAATCCTAAAGATGAGCGTGGGTAAATCAGAATGTAAATGCTTAGGCATGGCGTCCTACTCCTAGCTTGGCAACTTGCTGTCCTTCGAGCCAAAGAGGATTTTTATAGGAATCGCCTGCATCCAGTAAATGCGGCGAAGACCACCTCAGAAGCCCCCTGTTTTCTTGAAAGACGGAGCTGATCATTTATTCTTGTGCACACAGATTACGCTCGGCAACACGATAAAGGACGCATATCAGTATGCCGAGCGGGAAATAATTTTCCTCACGATACTTTCTTTCCGTTATAGACAGCATCGTGCATCACGTTAAGAAAGTCCAATGCAAGAGCATGTCCGGTACCGGTGAAAGCCCTGACAGATTTGCGAAGCCCACCGGGATCGGGCGCCAGGACATGCGGGATTGTATTGAAAAAGAATCTCCTGTCATTGGAAAACCCGTACATGCGGGATTGGATTTGAACGAGATTCGCATGTACGTCGTCCGTGTTTTCTCCCGTCGCCAACATGGGCCACTCGAGTACAATTTTCAGTGCGTTTCCGGGTTCGTTTCTGCTATGCGGAGTAAAAACAAAGCCCATACTAGTGCGACAGAGCCTTCTTGGTCTCATGGTCGAGATGGAACTCTGCTACAAAAATCCAGAAGCTTTCAGTCCCAGGCACGAGAAGTCGGCTAACATGAAATGTAGTTGCCTTGTTGTTGCACCTAGCTGATGCAGATGCTGCAGCTCCATCACATGCCATTGCCAGCCCGCTTTTAAACAAATAGATACATTCGGGATATTTACGGTAGAGCATGATCAAAACAAGTTTCCAAATGGCAAATGCGAGGAGCAGTTGAAGCCGCATGTTGAGCAGAGCAGGATATATCGTGATCATGATTCAAATTTGCACGTCAAAGCTGGGTTTTATTTGGGCACGTTTTTACGCCGGGAACCCGCATCGCTGTCGCTTCTGCCTTTTCCGTGACGACCCTCCTCTGCTACCTCCCTGCCCGCTACTGGCGACAGCCTCCAGCGGAAAATTGCTTTCCGGCACGCGGGGCACCGGAAATGTACCAGGCACTTCGGCGGGTCCGGACTGGATAAAGGAAAATGGGAGAATTAGTCCTCGTATCCGGTCCAAAGTCGAACCGTGTGTGACCATTGCCACAGCCTCCAGCTCCACCCCGTCGACGTATCCTGTGCAAAAGTATCGTGCTCGTATTGCAATCATGCAAATCTTTTTCTTTTATCAGCATTACACATGTTATTTCTCATGCTTAATGCATTTATACGAATACGATACTTCTGCAGTTCATACGACGTCCTCGGCCACCATTCCTGTCGCTTTCTTATCCCGTGCGGACTCCACCGCGACTTCGAGCTGCAACGCGGCAGACGAGGGCCTGGTGAACGATGCGTCGTCGCTAGCTCCTTCGGAGTTCTTGTTGAGGGCGTCGCGGCTGCCGAGATGAACGTGGTGGCCCGGCGGCTGCTTCACGACTTCCTCGTCCTCGCGCTGCTCGTTTACTTGCGCAGCACCTTCACCTTCCGACAGGCGAGCGCGGTCCTCACGGTCCCGCTGTAGCTTCCTCCGGTAATGTATGGAGGCCACGTTAGGGTCGAAGTCGACAAAGTTGAAAATGAAATTACTAGAATATGCAACGCAGAGAGTGACTCTATGGGACGCAACGGGGCAGGAGATTATAGTCCTGCTGAGGACCAAGAGCTGCTGGGCTGCTGACTGGCATGACAGAACGAAGCCCGCTTGCCCTAAACAGCATGACAGAGTTGCTTGGGGTACTAGGGAGAGTTGTCATGCGCTGACTAGAAACTATTGGTCCAAGAAGTGGTGTCGTTTTTATGCGTCGCAAATTATTATAACCAAGTTGATGACTTCAAACCTGACACTCCCATATAATGCTCCCCGTAAAACCGCTCGTCCTCGTCTTCGTCCTCAACATCGTCAAGATTCGCGTATGGCAGCTTGCTCACAGGTTGCAAAAATCTCAAGCGTTACAATTATAAAAACTGTGATGCAAAGAAGTGCATCATTCATGATCACTCCTGGCGGCCTACTCTCCCAAGAATACGTGCGAGGACAATTTCTGCTGGAGCCTGAAACTTCACTACAGATACAGCGAAGTTTGTAATGCGGAAAGCGCAAGAACGCTTTGCATGTGCATGCTCCTTATGCTCATCATGCAAGGCAAAAAAATCCAGATTGGCTTGTGACGTTTAAGCTTGCAAGAAATCCTGAGAAGGTGATATCACGATCGAGCTGCGTTTTCCAGACAACTTTATTGCAGACGATTCTTCAACAGGAGTCGCTACCTCCTCGTCTAGTGAGTCTCGTACTTGCCGCCCTCCAGCACCCCCGCGCTCTGCAGTTCCGGTACTACCCAAGGAACTTCTGCTTCTTGTGGCATCGACTTCAATTGCAGAGGCGGAAGCAGCACTAGAAAACCCTGCAGCTGCTGGTGCTTTCTGCTTCTGCAGTTTCAGCGTATCGGCTTCCCCTACCGCGACCTCCGCGGGTAACGTCCGGAGCGCCCCCGGGGAAATTTTGGGCATCACCCCGACCAGATCGGGGGCCTTCAACTTGTTTCCTGGCTTCGCTTCCTCCTCCGAAGCCGTCGGCTCGAAGATTTCTTTCGGGAGGTCGGGTTGGTTCTGCAAATTTAGGATCCTTTTCCGCGCCTCGTCGTCGCTAGCCTTTTCCCGCACCGCGGCCACCAGCGAATAGGGGGCAGCCCAGGTCAAGTCTGTCACGTCCTCCTCCTCTTCGTTTGTTTCAACAGCTGCCTTGTCCTCACTTTCTGCAGCTTCCCGCCCCACCGTCTCGCGTCGTCGTTCCGTGTATCTAGTGGAAACATGTCTGGGTCACCAGGAAACTTGTGATGCGAAATTCTACTGGAAAATGCTTGGACCGCTTGTGTCGAGTGCAACCAAGCATGATCGCAGGTTTTATTCAGAACGCCGACGACCTCCTCATGCGACGTGGCGTGGATGACAATAAATTGCGGAAATCACCCATATCAAGTTAGGCAAAATCTGGAATCACGTTTACCATTGGAATCAAGTTAATGGAATCAGGTTTGCTACGGGATCGCGTTTGCCGAATCAAGTTGATTCAGCTGAAAAGAAACAACTTTAGGCAACGCAAGCTCTACTTACAACCCAAACGAACGCCGGGCGGCCCCAACGGCCCGCCGGAATCCATGACGCGCCCAGCCGACGAAGGAGCCGGCGCACGGGAGCAACGGGAACCACGGCGGGGCAGTAGCACAACAACAAACGCGGGAAAGGCGCGGGGGCGCATTGGCGCAACAACGAGAAGAGAAAGGCCAGAAACCCCAAACCCTACTAGACCCCAAACCCTAAACCCAGACTCTGCTAACTTGATTCCATTAACTTGATTCCATTGCAAACTTGATTCTACTAACGTGATTCCAAGTTGATAACTTGATTTGGAATGTAACCATAAATTGCGTTGCTACAACTAATCACATGCAACACAGCGGCTGAGTTTCCTAAAATGCAAGCCAAGAACAAGCTCGACAAGCTATTGCCAACTTTCGATGATCCAGACCCAGACGAATTTGCAGTTGCTACCGTGAAGGACGACGAAGATGAGACGCCGCGTATGCATTGCAAATATCGATCTGGGTCTGGATCTGTGATGCGAGTCCTGGAGTAGGTCAGTGAGATGACCTGGAGTGAATGTATACGAGCTGCCATTTTTTTGTCGTCTCTGAAGCAGCTACTAGTAGTTGATTTTTGCCATGCGACGTTCATAATACGAGTGAATCTGTCATTAACATACGTCTCTCAAAACTTCAGGTGCTGCGTGTTATGTGATTATACAGGCGGGCGTTACTCGTACTCCGGGCGGATGCGACTATGTATCAGCTACACAAGCTTCCAGACCTCCCAGACATAGTTGCAATGCATACCGTCAGCACTCGCTGCATTTGGAGGCGTCTGCCCGGCCATTTCGTCGTATTCTTCTCTTCCGCCGAGCATGAGGGCGACAAACGTTTCCAGCACGCGGGTGCCGAAGTCCATTTCCGATTCCGTATCTTCCCCTCCTCGGGAGGCACACATGGGCCACAAGGGAGACAGCTTTCGCATGGTATTGAGAGGGAAAATCCGCCCTCCCCATATCGAAAAGGTATGTTTCCGAAGATTTGTCTTGCTGATTTGAGACCACAAAAACAAATCACGTCTGTCTTGCAAGAAGACAACTCCACTGGCTCTGCCGCATTATGCAGGCGGTCTGTGATGCTGTTGGGACTACAGCATAGACATTTCTCATGGTAAGCGCCTAGGCCAAAACATCTCTACTCAGGCTTGGCAGGAGCCTGCAGTCCTCTACTGCAACACAAGCCTGATTCGTATACGCAAATCCAACATCAGAAACTTCCGTTTGATATGGGGAGGGGGGGATTTTCCTTGTGATATATGGCGCGGAACCCCTTGCAGCGTTCGCCTTCGGTATGGAGGTGTCAGGCTGGTGGATATAGACAAAGCTATAATCGAAAACACATGAAACCAGTCGCAGCGAGCTTACGCACGCGGCGCTCCTGCATCACTAATTCAGTTTTTGTTTTCATATGACGAATGCAATACAACGCGCATCCAAAATGCGAAGCACTGGAACAGGAAACCGGGACTGTTTCAGTCAAGCCTGGCTAAGCTGCTCATGGGCGGGGATCATATTCAAGAGCATGACAGAAGCCCAGGCTGCTTTTGCTCGAGGCAGCGTGACAGATTGAACCTCCTTGTGCTGGTGGGCAAGATCTATCATGTGCCGCTCGGTGACGATCATCGTGGGTCCAATGACCATATATCTCGGTTTTATGCACGACCATCGGAAATTCGTTGCTCCACAACTATGTCGAAATCCAACCTGACGGTCGCATACTCGGGGAGACGGTGGCACACGGCGGGCTCCTGGTGGTCCCCGTGCAGGCGATCGCACGGAAAGCCCGGCGATGTGTCGGCACTGGTGATTTTACGCAGGCTCGCCTCATCCACAGAAAGTGGCTTGCTGCTCATCTTGCCAGCACGACCCTCGCCCGAGTCACTACTGGCGCTGCCCTCAAACAGCTCGCGAAGGGTCTGCAGCTCTTTGGAGATCGGGAGCCCTAGCTGTCCATCGTACGCCGCCGTCCTTTCATCCTCCGCGGCCTTTTTTTTCAGCTTGTCCTCTTCTCCCGCGGGCTCGCGTGGCGCCATAAGCTGCGCGTCTGCTAAGGCCTCCCGTAGCAAATTGCCAAGTCGCGACGCTTATCAAGTGCAAGCATTACTGGGTCTGGAAACCTGTAATGCTGTGTTGGGAATAGTGGATGCTCTGTAATGCACAGGCAAGCGTGAGAAATATCTGCGCTTCTTCGTGTTGCGTTTTTCGCATGACACAAGCTGCGTTTTTGCATGACAGGCAAAAAGGTCTCTTCTTGGACACGCGTCACAAACTTTTTGGCCATGCCAGACATGCGGGACAAATCTCGCAATTTTCCAGACCCAGACACTCTTGCATTTGATAACGCTGGCGTGACCGGTAGACTTTCGACGCCATTGTAGCCGAGGAGGTTTTTCCAGGGGATGATTTGCGGCGTTGCAGTACTACGAGCGCCCTGGAGGTTGTTCCGCGTACCAGCAGGGTCCTCGGCGGCGCCAGTCTGCAAGGTACTGGACGATGCGGCGCCTGAAGATCCTGGTCCCGGTCCTGCAGAGTTCTTGCCTGAAGGTGGTCCTCCTGCTGCGTTCTCTTTACTTTTTCCGAACATCAGTACCGACGTGAGCATGGTCCGTAACAGAGGTGAGGTGAAAACGAGCTGGGGTGGCGGGTCGAAAAACGTCGCGCTCGCATTGTCTTCTTCGTCTTCCCCGGCGGCGCCAGCGCTCAGCACCTTCCCGAGCAGCGTGGCTTGCATGACGCCCTGGGGTGTCAGTGGGCTGTCGCGGTCGTTCCACAGTGCGGAGGGCGTCAGGGTGGTCTCCTCCTCCTCATTTTGGTTCTCCCGCGCGTTCCACTCGCTTTCGGCGTGCCGAATCAGGTAGATGGTGCGACGAAAGTGGCCTCTCGGTACCTGTTTTGTTACGGGCGTCGCACGCATGGTGCAGCGGCAACTGTCGATCAGCTTGACGCGCTCGCGGCTCGCCGTTGTGGGCCATTTCGGGTAGCCCCGCAGCCCGGGGTCCAGATCCAACAGGTAATCGCAGGCGTACACGCAGGTCGCCCGGGTCAGCAGACGGAGGTAGGGCTGGGCGCGGTAGTCGACCTCCGCGCGGTTAGTATTTCCAAAGGAACTTCCCCACCTCCTCTTTTTATCGATCTCCTTGTCCTGTTTCAAGCCGTTGCTGTAGTCGTCATAAATGTCAGAGGCCTTCTCCTTCTGTGCCAGGCTCTGTGCGTGCGTACACCAATCGTTCAGCCCGATGTCGTTGCCGGCTGCTATGTATTGCCGCGGCAGCCCGTAGGCCGGGAGTTGTTCCTCTTGCGACGCTTGTCCTGGGCTGTTCTGCGCTTTGTCTGTCCTCTCCCTTGTTTCCTGCAGTTCTTCCACTTTGCGTCGGAGGTGGTGAAGCTCCAGGACTGACTCTGACACATCCGGCCGCCCCTCGTCCGTTGGCGTGGCGGCCTTGTTCTCGTCACTTGGCATTGGAGCTGGTGTTGCCTCCTCGTCCTTTGGCGTTGGTGGTGTTGCCTCTGTCGTTTCCGAAGCCTTGTCGTCCGTTGGCGTGGCCTTGTTTTCGTCATTTGCCGTTGCCTCTGCCCCGTCGGTCGTGGCGGGTGATGATGTAGTTTCATCTGTCGTGGTGCTAGAACCGTCAGACGAGCCAAAGAGTCTGCTGAAAAATCCCCCGGCAGTATCAGGCTTGATTTCTGCAAAACCTCCGCCGATTTTGGGACACACGTCGTTGTGTATCTTCTGCAGCTGAATACGTGCCTGTACTACCAGGGCATCGACGTGCTCCCCCTTAGCTCCGACGATTCGGGTCCGCGGGTCCGGCACGAATTTGCCCTGCCTGTCGCGCTTTCGGTCGTCCGTAATCGCTGCCTTCAGAGCTTGCCATACGGTTTTTGGTTTGGCCGCTTCGCCCGTCTGCTTGTCTCCCTCGCGTCCGACTGCGAGAACAGTCGTGAAAACCTGTGTCGACGTGGTGAACAACAGAGATAACGCAAGAGACACGCAGTAGCGTTGGATGAAACTTCTACACGCAAGGAGCATCATAGGTCCTCCCCTGTCTTCAACTGGTATCCTTTTCATCGGTACTTACATGCTAGTCTCTCTTCTTCATCTGGTCATGCTCACATTCGCAATATGAAATATGATGATCAACTCTAACACTTCGCTCAATTTGCCAAAAAAATGCTCAAAACCAAACAATACTTGGTTGGAGGTTTCACATTTCTTGCAGAAAAAATAAAAAGGAGACACGGTTGCTATTTCTTCTACGAGATCAGAATCAGAAGAGCGACGTTGATGAGCAGAGCGGCTTGTACAAATCCGCACTGTTGCATGAAATTTCTTTCGTCAACATAAATAAACTTCAGGAAAAATCAGCCGTAACCAACTAGAAAAGGTCTTCAATCCAAATCATGGATGTGGACTGACCACCTCTAAAGGCAAGAAAAAAAAAGAAGCTGGTGCTGGAAACAAAAGAAACGCAGACACCTAAACAGTGCAGCAAGACGGATGTCGACTTCGCTTGGAGTCTTGACTTTTTTGAAAACAGTGCGCCTCTTAACGTTTGGAGTCGTGTAGCTGCCACTACTTGTTCTGTGACAAGCCACGCTCGTAGCCGTCGAGGTCAGTGTATAGGTTTCAGGAGCCTGGAGTTACCTGCCTACAGTGAAGTCTCCGTTTTGTTTTTCTTTCTGTTGGATGAATAGTGTCGCTGTACATGTACTAGAAGATCAAGTTCACGTAGTTGTGCTCCAATCATTTTCACAATCCTAGAGTCTCCAGGTGCTTCGTCCATGATCTTCCACCAAGAAAGCCTTGCTTTTATACAATCGCGCGGACAAAGCGGATGACAATGCAAATCGTGCCAGGTCCTCAGCTGACAGACATCAACAAATACGACTTCCTCACAGACCGCCTTCCCCGGGCCCTCCCGCGGGCGGGGCGAGGCCTCCCCCTGTATCTCCCCCGCCACCTCCGATGATCCACCGGGCGTTGCAGTCTCGGGCAATGTGGCCCAGTTGTCCGCACAAATTGCAGGCCCGCATGTCGCTGTGCAAACCGCGCTCCGCGTCCCGGATCTTCACGAGGCGATTGTGCTGGGAAGCCCGATTTTGGCGAAATTTGTCCAGGTCGAGGTCGGTCAGCTTGTTCGCGGTCGCTAGCGAAGTTGTGGATGAACCACCCGTAGACGTAGAGTTGTTATTTATGTCCGTGCCTAGTTGCTTCCGTGCTGGATCGGTACTGGAGCTGCCCCAAGGTGTCGCCAGATTCGGGCACTCCTTGGCAAAGTGTCCCTTTTCGCCGCACCGGTGGCACCGCGGTCCCATGGGACACTGCCGGACGTAGTGCCCGTACTCCCCGCAGTGATGGCACTTGATGTTGCTGAAGTCGTTTTGTTGCGTGTACGCGGGGACTTGCATATGAGAAGGTGTTCCAGACGAGCCCCCTGCAGCGCCATCGTACTGGTCCATACGAAGCTTGCTGCGCGGATGAACACCTCCACCCGGCGCAGCTACACCTGATGAGAAAGACGAACCTCCGCGGCCCGCACTCCTCGATCTTGAGCGACTACGAGCGCGGAAAGTTCTGCCGGCGTAGTGTCCTCTGTGGTCTTGACTGTCTTCCGAATCTGAGCCACTGTTTTTCAGGTCTTTATCTAACAATTCCCGGTCGATGGTAAGGAGAGACGCGTGTTGTAGTTCTTCGGAAGCTCCTGCAGCGGACGTTCTACTGTTTTGCTCTCGTTGTATTTCATCGTTGGTCCTCCCCCGGCCCGCGTCGTCGCGATTGTTATCTTCCTCATCATGATAGAAGGTCGCCCCTGTGCCACGACCTTTCTTTGCGGATGTGACCATCTGCAGAAACGTTCCGAACTCGTGCTCGATTTTCTCGTAGAAGTCCACCCGAACCTATCACAGTGCGTGGCAACATACAACTCAAACTCTCGACGTGCCTCAGTAGCATTATCTCATCAACAAAGGCATACACAACCACATGAAATTGTGCTGCACCTGGACCAAAGTTGCCGCTTTTGCATGACAAATTTCCGCGGGGGGATTAGAGCGCTCTTTAGGCGACGGCGCCACTGGTGGTGCACACCAAACTCCCACACAACACTAGTCAATTTCTTGCATGGCAAGAAATGCTGAGGGCAAACGAGGAAATGAGCTGTACCGGTTGTGCACTGTGATAGACTCCGCCTCTCCAGCCGTCTGAGCCGGTTGCTTTTTGCAGGTATCAGGTAAGGAACGTCCGACTCTATGTTTTCTGCGGCGTAGTACGTCGGTTTTCCGATCTGCTTGATGATACTCGCCAGGTAACCGGGGGTGCTGATGGTTGGGTAAAAGACATGCTCTCGCGGTATGCTCGGCTTTTTCTCCTTATTTTTCCCACCGGAGGACGACACTGTGGCGCCGGTGCTTTCTGACTTGTGCAGGCAGTCCGCGCAGTAGTAGCGATTTGTGTACCCATCCACGGTATCAAATGTAAAAGTGTCTGGGTCTGGAAGATTCTGAGATTTGTCATGCATGTATTGCATGACCCAGGATGTCTGTAATGCACGCCCGCGCATCACAGATTTTGAGAGGGCTTCCTGATGCCTACTCCGCATGACAAACGCCCTCCCCGCGTAGCACAAACTAGACTCCTCTTGCTGGTCATGCAATACAGATTTTGCTAGAGTCCAAAGTTAGCATGACAAGTTCCAATCTTCCAGACCCAGACATTTTTACATTTGATACACGGCACCGCTGAAAAAGGGAATCTGTTCGAACTCTTCCTGGGTAAAGGGTTGCTTCTCGGGAAACACTTCATACTTGCAACCGGCGCAAAGCCGGGATTTAGTGCTTTGTGTCGTAGAGGGGCCGCGGCGGTCGTGACGTTCGTCCCCTTTGGCCGCTGATGTTGGCGTAGCCATTTTCCTTTCCTTTTGAAAAATGTAAGTGTTTTCACTTGTACTTGATGTTAACTAACTACGCTCTACATCTCCACCACAAGCAACTAGCCTTGTCACCTACTAGTATCTACTTTTGTCTTTGCAGCAGCTGCCTATACAACAAATTTATCTAAAGGATGACTTAGTACAGAGCTCAACACTGGGAGAAAAAACAAAAAAAAAGAAAAATCGCGGTCGCAAGAAGACCAAGAGCGTGGACATGAGGTTTCGGTGAAATCATGACCACTGGATCCACAGTTTCCTTTGTTCTAGATCGTTTTTGCTCCTGCTGCAACGCAACGGGTGCCCTCGTCGGAAGAGGGTTCTTGTTCCTACATGCCTTCTACAAAAGCTGGCTCCGCCACCATTGAGAAACAGGTGGATCCTCAAATATAGAAGTCGAAAGCCGGAGTAGAAGATGATGCGGAGCCGGAGCATGAAGATCCCCAGCAATTTCTAACTCCGCTGAGGATCATGAACAACATGATGACGTCAGCAGTGCACCTGCACTAATTTTTTCTGAACTATAATAAATATACCAGATGATGAATCATCACGGTGGCGTCGTCCACCCAGCAAATAACGCCCGAGTGCAAGAAGAAATACTTGTGGATATGGTTTTTGGGAAAATGAAGTAGGAGGTGTACTATGTGGGCCAAGAAGTTACTTATCATCTTCTTTCAAATTTCCTCTTTCTCAGGCTATGAAGTCCAATGGCCATGTAGAGGTTGTTCCAAAAATGGGCGCATTGTAAATGGCATAGTAGTTGTTGCTCTTGCTCCATCAAAAAGGTTCGCCACTTTTCGTTTTCTGAATCGTTGGAGTTGTCCTTCGAGTCGTGACCCACGACCACTCGTCGAGATTTGTTGCTCTCTGTTTGCCGAAGCCGTGTCGGAGAAAAGTCAAAGATACCGTGTTGGAGGTGGAGGTTTTATTTGCCTACTTTCTCATCTTCGTTCTTCCAAGACGACGAGGCATGCGCACTGCGAAATAGATGAAATAGAAATAATGCATGAAAAAAAAGGAAAAGCTGATTTACCGTACTTTGCTGTCCTATGTAGTTCAAATACAATCAAAATAGGAACCCTAAACGAACCGAAAGCGAGATCCGGCCGCGACGGACGCCGATCTTGTCATGTGCGATCTTCCCTACATGCATAATAAAAGATCGACGTTTCTTCAGAAGAAAAGATCACAAATTTTGTTTCGAGGTAAAACTAAAACGCGCCACTGTAGATAGTCCTCCAGGGCAACGAATTATACAGGGCGTCAATGAATTATACATAGCAAAAACGGGTTTATTGGGAACATATTCTGAGAAAAGACGTAGGCAACACCGAGGAAAATTCAGCTCAAAACAACTTCCAGTGCCGGCAATCTCTAGAATGCAAGCGTGTGCCTCTTCCTCTCCTGCGCTTGTCCTGCTAAAAGCTGCCCAGCCCCCCCCCCCAGCCAGGCCTCAGGCATTGACATTGAGCAGCGCTTGGATTTCCGCCAAAATACTGCGGGGAGCAGCTGGCGACAAAGGGCGTCCTGGCTGATGGGGGGCGGATGGCCGCGGAGATTCGCCATCGTGTTGTCCCGCTCCAGAAGTAAGCGCAGATAGTGCTCCACCTCCGTGATGATCACTTCGTGAGGAAGACCCGCCCCCAATCATGAAGCTGCGCGACGACCTGGAAGCACTTACGGGCGTAACGACTGCGCTCGGGTCCGTGTTTCGCATCAAAATCAAGCGCTGGCCCAGAAACCGCATGTGAATCCGCTTCAGCAGCCACTTTGTCCAGGAACGGTAAGTGTTCGTGTTTTTGGTCGAGGCACCACGAGCTGCTGCACCTTCAGGTTGTGCTGCTGCTCCACAGCACCTCCTTTCCAAGAAGAAGACCCGCAGAGCTGCTTGCGCTTGTCTCTGAAAAATTTTTTCCTCCAGAAAGTTCTTCGCGAGGACTTTTGCGCTCATCGCGTCATAGGGCTGTCCGAAGTGCAGGTAGTCCAAAAAGTTGTCTTGCTCCGCGTTAAAGTTTTCCAGAAAAGCGCGATCGGTCTTTAGTGCGGCGTTTTGCGTTTTTCTGGCCTCCAGCCGGATCGGGACTTTTATCACGCGTTTAATGGACAAGTCCAAGCTTCCTTGTCGGACGAGGTTGAAGCGGGTCACAATCGTGCACACGATAGAGTTCAGCTCACCTGCTTTCAGCACCGGCACGGGACTTGCGTTTTCGTCGCCTTTTTTGAATAGTAAGCCAAAATTTGCATCTTTTTTTCATTTTCATAGCGAAATAGCTGTTATTTTTTCTTTAGCATGAGAACAAGGACAAGCGCGTCTGTAGGGCGCACCAAAAAGCGACATGATCATGCCTCCACGTCGGCTACAGAAAGCACGTGAGAGGTGGAGCACTCAATTTTCTGTAACATATAGACAACGAAAGGAAGGATACGAATAGCGATTATAGCCAAAAATCTAAACATCTTTGATCCCGTCAAGAAAGGTAACACAGGAGCTAGATGCATGTCGTCTTGTATAATTTTGCTCCCGACTTCTACTTCCAGTCCATCCAATTTACGCAACTATGTGAGACAGCGCGAGGCCAACGTCAGCTCTTGTTGTACTATATACTTTGCAACTTACATACTATACCTGTGCTGCGCAACAGCGGTTCCCTCGATTCAGGGATCTGTGGAAGAGGCGTAGCGTCCTGTGCCTGCTGTTCAAGAAACAGTCGTAAATTGCGCATGATGGTCTGGTCAGGTGTTCCGAGGGCTCTCGCACTTTCAAGATATCCCGCATAACCACGTACTCGTCGGCCCAACCCTAGATTCTTACGAGTAGAAGTCAAGCTTCTAGAGACTGCGCTACATAAAGAATGATCCGAAGGCCTCTTTCTTTATGGCTCTCGTCGCGTCTCACAATCGATTTGCATTTGGAAGCCCCGTGGTGTTTTTTAGCTCATGACATAATCATAATGCCGAATCGCGAAGAACAACAATGCCTTCGGCCTGATATCTCAGCATACTCAAGTTGTCAAGCGATGAAATGCAAATCAGTCGAAAATGCTGCTCAATATCATGGGGAGGAGCGTGCGCCACTTTATTTATAGACACTACCGCAGGCGAAGCATGCAATACCTGACTAGCATGACGTCAAATCTGGGGAAGAGGTGGGTACGCTTTTACACGGGGTACGATGGCATTCTTCACCCGCATCGCAAAATGCGTTTTCTCCAAAGCCTATCAGAGTGCACAACTCTTCCCCCAAAATGATTCCCTCATATTTCTAATGCTGAATAACAAGAAAAACAAAAAGTCGAGACCTTGCTTCTGAGCGATGTAGCCTGCACGAGAACGTTTGGAACTACCGGATTTTTGGTGATCATTGCTGCTATTGCTCCTTGTTCTTAATATTATTATTACGCGTTCCGAACTAATAAATAAAAAGGGTACTTACTTAGCGGGAGCAGAGGGTGGCAGAGTTCTAGTGCACTCTCATAAAGCCCTCTGCACGGTCTCCGGATGACTGTCTTCCAGCGCGACCTCCAGAACCTCAATGTCGATATAAACGTCGTTACCCGCGGCTCCAGCTTCCTGATCCTGCTGGTGTTGGGAAAAATCAATATATGCCGCACGACCAGCCGGGGTCGAGCTCGCGGCACCGAATTCCGATGCCCCACTGTAGAACCCATAGGACCCCGGGGTCCCAGGACGGGACGCAGCAGCGGAAGCATACGGCGGATCTTCGTGGTGTTCTTCATCCTGAGCTGCAAAGTAGCGCGGCGCTACATCTTCGTCCTCGTCTTCGGGGCTCGAGCTATCATCCCCTGGCCGCACCACGGCGTCAAAGATATCGGCTAGCTTGATTAAGCCTTTCTGCGGATCGTAGCCAAAAACGGACTTCACTGAGCTCGAGGCCCCGCCCGAGGGCACTAGCTGTGCGTCCTGCTCCGAGGATCCGCTGCCACTGCTCTCGGTTTTGCTCCTGTTGCGAGCATAATTTGCAGAGGCAGACCGGATTCGTCGGGGATCGCGTTGCTTCCCGCGAGAAGCCGCTCTGTCGCCCGCCAAGCTCGTCGACCTGCGGCCAGTGCATATGCAAGAAAAAAACAGTGTATGGTCTAAGCCTATGTTCTTGATACGAGAAGCAAAAAAACATAAAACAGGAATGATGCGTTTGCGATGCTGGTAATGTACACCCGCAGGGCCGCCCCCTTACGTAGGTTTTCACGCACATCAACTAGCTTTGCATGACAAGTCGTCGCTTTCGTGCACCAGCAACACAGATATGCATGCTGTTCTATCAAAGGAGTCTTTACGCACTTAGTAGACACACTTTTTTTCAGCACCGGAGATATTGCTGCCTTGTCGAGAGCTACTTCTACTGCGCGAGCGAAGCAATTTCTTGTCCTTTTTCCCTCCCGATCTGCTTTGCGCTCGCCGCGACGCCACCGAAGATGAGGCTCTGTCCTCTCGCCGGCGGGGACCACGCTCAGCGCGGCCGCGGGATAGTGGCGTCTGGTCCCCCAGGTCGACGTCGGGCCGTTGGGCTTGCGCAGCGGAGAGTGGAGCTGCGCTTCTGACGCGACTCGCCGAGCGACGTTTTCCGCTCTTGGAACGGTGTCGGGACCTACTTTTTTCAGAGGACTTTCCTTTTCGGGCCCTCCTCAGCATTTGAACATGTGCTTCCACGCGGGCGCGCTCTGCTTCTCCTGCGCGCGCCTCCTCTGCTTCTCGCTGCCGGGCCTCTTCTTGTTCACTCCTTACGCTCTCCAGCGCAGCTTCTCTCATTTTTCTTCGCATGTCCATTTCCACCTCTTTTTGCCGCTGTTGCTTCAGGTGATCCGCTTGCTTTTTCAGGTCTTCTTGCAATCTCTCCTCCTCCTCATCTTTCGTCATTTGCAGGGCTTCGGCCTCGGAGAATACCCGCATGACGGGATCGTCGACAGACCGTGCAGATCTTGCGGGGCTTGGGGCGCGCGGCTTCTTCGCGGCGGCGCGTCGCTCTTGCTGGGTCCTCGTCTTTGCTCCACCCTTAGAAGGCAGTTTAGCTGCAGGAGTGCTGTCAGTGCCGATAGCTGTTGCGCCGCCACTGCCGGCTGTTGATGAATTGAGACCGGATGATGCAGCTGCACTTTGCGGCCCCTGTTGCAGTGCATCAAAAAACCCGGCGTTTTGCGTGACAAAATCGCCTTCGACGCGGTCACGATCCTTCGGCAAAATAGAAACTGCGCCATCTTGTCGTTCGGGAATAGGACCTTCCTGCTCACTTGACGCTGCTTCAAAAAAAATGTCGTATCCTTCTTCTTTGAGGCGCTTCGCTTGCTTCTCCTTTTCCTGCTCAAATCGCCCCGAAGTCTGTGTCCGCAGGCCCTGCTGTCGTGCAATGACCGACGTCCGCATCGTGTTTATTTCCCGTGATAACAAAGTGATCATCGACAAGATATCGCAGGAAAAAGATTATTTGAACTGCGTAAAGATAAGAAGTGTAGCTTTGTTGTCTTACTCGCCTTATTATTTGCATCCACCTTCACCTGACAGGGAGAGGAGACTTCTTTTTGCTTGCATAAACAGAGGAGTGGCCGCAAGATGCCCATGCGCGTCGCTAGTTGTATCTGCTCTACTTGTTCAAAACTACAAACACATCTGAAGACAAGAGCACTCTGTGGCTGTCTCGTACGACACGCGCAGTCGGAATGAATCGCGTTCTTGGACATGTCTCATATAAGACGAACTCGAAATGCGTTTCAACAGAGCTAGTACAAGCTACACTAACTCTATACATAGTTCATCATTTGTTTTCTTGGATACAAAACCCCCGTACTGTAGAACTTTCGTGCAGGACCCTCGACTTCTTTCCTCGCACCAGGTGACGTGGCAAGCTGCTCTTGCATCAACTCAGCAACCGTATTCCGCAGCGCCCCCAGATGGGACGTCGCGTGCTGGCTCAGTGTTTCAGCTTCGCGGCACAGCAGTTCGGTCGCGTGAAGGTTGTGCGAGTCGAGAATCTTATCCAGTTTTGCTTTCGCGTCTGCGGCAAGGGCGGCAGCGCGCTTTTTCCTCGCTGTGACGCCATCGTCGCTCGCGAACTCCCCTTTCTTTTTTGATGCTGTAGCTGAAATTTTCACGATAGGCATGGGATGAGAAGAAGAAGAAGATGAAGCTGCTGCCACCCTCACCGGCAAACCAAGGGCGAGGGACGCTTTTTGAAGGTCTGCCAGGAGCGAGCATTGGTTGGCAAAAAGGCTTGCGCGCCGCTCCCAGGTCTGCCACAGCTGCATAATGTCGGTAACAAAAGCATGTGGCTGCAATTCTCGTGCGGTCGGAAATCCGTCCTGCGTTGCAGCTCCTTCCGCGTTCTTGTCCTCCGCTAACATCTCAGCTAATGCAGAGAAGCAAAGATTACCATCGACGGTAACTATCGGACGGCCGAACGTGTACTAGCGAAGTAGTCTTGAGAGAAGATTTACTTCGTGATCTACGACACTTGAATTGATGTGAGGTCAGCGGTCTGAGAAAAAGTCAGACAAAAAATGCTGTGGAATAACGTCGAAGACAGGTTCTCGAAAATCTCATCGTAGTATCATGCGAAATACAATAAATGTTCAGAATTACAGCTCAGGAACCTTCTTGCACACTCCTATACGATGGCGAGGATCGCTTTATTAAATCCGTATAAAAGATACAAACTACACACAACTTACAACATAAAATCACTGCTTCATGACAAATATGATCGAAAATCATAATCTCAAGACTTCCTTGCTGCCATACTGCATCAAGTGTGCGACGCTATCCGTTTCCACTTGGCGCAACAACTTCAGCACGAACTCCTCTTTCAAGCCCGCACTCAAGGCGGCGCTCCGTCCTCGTCCCTGCGCGGTGATCATATCCTGAGTAAAGACGTACCTCCCCTCCACCCATAGCGAAGATGAGAATTCTTCTGCAAGACAAATCACAAAGGCCCTCTGAAAGATTCGCATGACAAATTCCGATCCCACGTACGGTGCGTAGTGGTCGGGATTAGCTTGCGTAGCCGCGCCGCCAGAAATCCACCTCCAAAGTTCCATGGCATTATATATCAATATCTAAACTACACCACAAGAGCCACTACATACAGAATGCTTCTCATGGAGCTCCTGCGCATGAGAGGACACTACATTCTGGGTATCTATGCGGATTTTTGGCATGAGATGGTTTTGGGTGCTGGGTATTCTTTACACAGCGTAAGCGACTCGCGACAGCAGCGCTTTCTTCGTCAGGACGCCCAGCCGGGCGGCGTAAAACTGCAGATCGAGTAAGTGCCACTCTAATTCCTCAAATTTCGAGACGTCTTCGCCGGAAATGAGCTTTTGGTATCCTTTATGCATTGCAAAAGAGATGAGACGTTTCGTACTAGGTTGTACCTATGTATAAACTGCGTATACGAAAAATTCACTCTTTCGAATGGAAAATAATATAGACAAAAGTTGCAAAGATGTTGACTGACCTACTTAGAAAGCCAGACTTGATGTCATGCAGCTGTATTGATGGCATTGCAAGTACTACGAGAGCGCTCCAATTTTTGCAGAGCATATTCTTCCTTCGCAAACACCTGCTTCCACATTTCTTGTCTCGGTTTCACGAACTTTGCCACGTAATTTTCTGGCGGGTTCGAGAGCTTCGCTGCCCGATTCGGAAAGAGAAACTTTTCGGGGGTGTTACTCTCCAAGTACTCAAAGGCCGCGAGCAGTCTGTCCTTCCTGTATGATAGTGGACAAATCACGACCCCTAGGACCTCTACTTCCTCGTTTTTTTGAACAGGGGCATGTCTACCAACAGAGAGGAAGGCTGTAGAATACAGCTTCTGCATGCCTGAATTCCCACCAAGCCCAGACTGTGTTTGCAGTTTGTAACTCAGAAACTTGCACTTGGTGGCGGTGGGATCTTTTTGCATAATTTTGATTTTGCGTAAACAATGAGGGGCACCAGACGGGGGACCGCGACGAGTTGTCCGCTATCATATCCTGCTGATCAGCAACCGAGCGTGATCGTGCATCAGCCGCAAACGGTTTTCCTTTAGCTCTAGCACACTGACGGCCAGTGGCGGAACGTCCTTGTCCTTGTGGTTGGAGGGCTCAAATAAATCCCTTCCCGCCATAGGGACACCAGATTCCCGGTTCTGCTTCGTCTCGAAAGCGGCTTCAATCCCATCTGTCGCAAGTTTGACGAGCATCGGCAAAAGAACCGACGCATCACGCTTCTTGCTCCCCGCCGGAGGTCCGGCTTTGCGGATAGCGGCCATCTGTTCTTGTATTTTTTGCAAGACAACTGTGTGGATGAGGTCGCTTGAAAGCTGAAACAACTCGAGAAACACTACTGAAGCCCAGGTCAAACATAGCACCTCCTGCGGATACAGTCCTTCGGAGAAAAAAGAGAGTCCTTTGGTGGACGGACCAGATGGCTCCAGCAGCGCAATACGCAGAACGTCGCCTACCGATGCAACTATGGGGAGGATGACTTTCTCCTTCAGTTTCCGTGCCACGCGGAGCTGCATGAGCTCCGCGACCCGTGCCTCTGTAGTCGACAAAGAGCGGCCGCCCTCCGGGAATAGTGCAAAAAACCCTCTACGGTGCCCCGCGTGCCTCATCTTGTCCACATAAGCCGGCACATCCCAAAACAGGGCCGGAAACAGAAAGCGCGTGAGCTCCTCCGCGAGTAATGCCGGCCTCATGGTCAAGCGGAAATAAGGTCGTGGCTCCTGGGCATACAGCCGTTCAGGCTTCGCAGGGGTAGCAACGCCGGAAGCTGCAACCAACTTTCCCCCGCTAGAGCGACGACCGCCGGAAGGAGCGCTCTCTTGATGCTCGAGTTCCTGCCAGAAGTGCCAACGCCCAAGTGCGTACTTGGCAAACTCTTCGAACAATTTGGCCGCGCCGGTGGGAGGTTGCTCCGTCGTCTTCCTGGGCGCTGGATCTCTCACGGTCAAGGCCTGAAAGTTGCCATTTCGCGTGCTATCCAGGTGCTCGTCGAAAAAAGCCGTTTGTGTATAGGCGACGTCATCAATCCAGTGCGTCTGCCACCGCTGGGCCATGGCAGCAAAATCGCCTTTAATTGTGACTTGCGGCGACGTCTGCCCGTCTTGGCTTCTCTGTGGCGAGGATCCCTCTTCCCGAGGAGGAGCCCCAGCACTTCTTCCAAACGGCTCGCTACTGTCGTCCGGTGCTGGCGTAAGACTTTGCAACAAAAAATCTGAGTCGTCAAGCAGCGTGTTCGCGAAAAGGAGTTCATTTTTGTCGTCGTTGACCTCATCTAGGCGGTCGAGCGAAGGAGCAAAAACCTGGATCACCTGCAAATGTTGCCGTGGGCCGACGACCTCTGTCGGTGGCAAGTGCTTCTGCGGGCGCCCATGAAGAGGACAAAAAGTCAGGGGCTCTGCAGGACAAAAATCCACGCCGAGAAAGTCGGCGAAGAGGGCCAACCGCCAAAAGATCGGACTGATGAGAAGATTACTGACATGCTCCCTCTGTAGTTGCCGAAGAGTGGCAGCGTTAGCCAGCGGCCTCTGCAACAGCGGCAACAAAGCCTCACTGACCACTTTGGGAAGTCGGTCTACATCTTCCAGCGCAAACGCCCGACTGCGCCGCAGCTCTTGCCGGTACGTGCGGAACAGGTTCGCGATGTCTTTATGAAGGTTTCAGTGATGGAAACTCGTCAAAATGGATGAAGTATGCTTGCCTTATTTGCCTTGTTTGTCACGCATAGAATAGAAATATTACCAATACATCAGTGATAAGCTTGACTTGGAAGACACGGACAGACACAGAAGTAAAAGGCGCATACGCGAATGATTTTGTTGGCGTGCCCAGAGAAAATCTGTCATGACCTCCAGAGCGCGTGGCCAGCATGGTTTATGATGCCAATCAGCAATGAAAACTCACTAAGCAGGCCTAGCAGCAGATGAAGAATCATCTGGCAAAATTAGAATTACTACCTCCCATGCTTCTGTAAACTAATAACCTGGGAACTCTCACTCACACTGTACTACCCTGCGTCCCATTTCACACCATGCAAGTCAACATTTTCACTTCGTCGATTTCCCACCTGACCCCTCCGTAGTCTTCTTGTGCATCATACAGACCATGTATCTTTTCGTTGCCCAGCTCCGCGGTTCGTGCGCAGGTGTTGCTGTTTTTCCAGAGCTCGACATAAGATTTTGTTTTTTGACCGGATTCGTGGTCCGCACGACAGGTCGCAGCGGCAGCGGAAGTGCCACTTTCAAACGGTAAGGCAAGCGCGCCCGCCCACTTGAGCTCTCGAAGGGTGTGGAAAAGCGTTTTTGCTTTTTGTCTGTCTCCCTTTCTAACGGCCAAAGCTGCAGCATTAAGAAAAGCGTATCCTCCGACCTTGTCGAATTTCTGGCTTTCCAAAGACACCTGCCGGTCGCTGTACGCATCAGCAAGATTGCGGGCAGCAGAGGGTAGAAACATCGGGTACTTCGTATTCGAACCGTGCACACTGCTCAGGGCCCGCGCCTGGTCAGTTTTGCGTCCACTAGTCTGATAAGCACCGAAGCCATTAATGCCTTCCATGTGCCCGTGACTGAAATATTTGTCCAAACCCATGTGAGCCCACAGCGACAGCTGTTCGTCTACTAGGTGTATGCACTGCAAATATGTCCAGATCTGGAAGTCAAAGTCATGCACAATTTGCGAATGCGCAGCATCTACCTTTAGAAGCTTGCGGGCCGTAGCATGAGAGGTAGCTTCCTATTAAACGCCTTTTCTTCTCCTGTAGGACGAATCGCCTACTTGCGCATCTTCGACCGACTTAAAAGTTCCTATAGCCGTTTACTTTTGTTTCGTTTTTCTGATTGCTTTCAGCGTGCAATTATACAGGTTCTTCTAGAAATTATCGTTATGTCGCTGCCCAGAAGATGTTGTGCTGCTAGCATCAGCATCACAAACTCGCACTCATTCTTCCAGACATCCGAAATTTTTGGTATTTGCAATGCATAACCGGTACGGTAAGCAACCGGGTTAACAGCTCGTCGCGAAACTCCATGCTACCTTGCAGCGCGACCACAACTTCTTCCTCTGTGGAGTGCTTCTCGATCGCCAGGCGCGCAATCAGAGCAGGGTTGTTAGTACTGGGGTCGGCTTTGTCCTCGTCGGCAGCAGAATCAGCAGCCTTCACTTCTGCCGGCCATAGGTTCAAGAACGTCTCATCTGCCGACGACCGGTACTCGACTCCCCCCCGTGCTGCCGGACCTTCCGTGATTTCTTGCGCCTGTGGAACGAGCCGGTCCCGCCGTTTGTCTTTCTTGAATATCCGCGTGACCCTTTGCAGCGTTTGGTCTGGGCCCGGCTGCGAAGCAGTACCTTTGGGGAGTGATTCACTCACACGCGTGCGCACGTGTTCATCCATGATAAATTCCTTGGTCGGGCGGATGAAGGCTTTCAAGGATGACGTTTCGCCCCGCGTGGCGCGGACCAGTGCTTCGTCCTCGTTCATGCGCTCGGCGTTGCCTTTCAGCCACTCCCGGGTGTACTCGTGCAGATTAGCTAATGGGTCCAACCCAAGCGTCGTATCTGTCATAGCGCTCTTCAGCGAGTCTCCTTCTAAGGCGTCGGCAAGCACATCCACCTCGGCCTGCGACCACGTCCTGCTTCTACGCACCAGAACCTCGAGCGCGTCTTCGCTCAACGAGTCCCGCAAGGCCCGCAAATCGTTCGCCAACAGAGCACTGTACGTCGCCCGCTTGGCACTGTGGTCTTCGATGCTGCTGATCAAATTTGCCGACGCGGCAGTCACAGCATTGGATGAAATGAACTGGGCGGCACCGCCGGCAGGGGTGGAGGTCATAATATGGTCACTCTGGAGGTCCTGCTGAGGTGCAGCCAAAACGGCGCTCGCAATTCCAGTTCCGTCACGACGACCTCCATGCACTGCGATCGCCCTTCGTTGTTGCGAGGATGCAGCAGCTGCAAGAGCGCCGTGAATGATGGTGATCTGCACCCCTGCCGCAGCGCAAAATAAGAAAACGCGCCGGCAGCTGCGACTGCAAGAAAGTAGAGCGGAATAAGCGGGCAGAGAGGTAGTGGCCCTGTGGGCCGCTGCTACTTCTACTTGGGGGGCGTTTTCATTTTTCGGGTTGCAGTTGTGGAGGTGCAGCACGGGGCGGGAGACTTTTCCGCTACAGGCGGGATGACCTCTGCCGTTGCCCATCATCAACGAGGAGACTGGCATTGTTTGATTACTGCTACTTAATTCTAATTGTGGGTGTGATCGCAGGAGCCTTGTCGTTTTCTTTAACAACAATCACCAAACAGCCAACCCAACAACCTCACGTTAACGTTTTGATTTTTCCCAAGCTGTTCTTTTTTTTTTGGCGGCTTTTTTTAGTTATCCGAGAGGAGTGCTGAAAGAAAAAGATGATTTGAAATTTTATAAATATAAGGCGCTCCTTGAGCAAAGGTTTACAACGGAGATACATGAATATAGAATATGAGTTTCAAAATGCTTGTTCTTGTGCCTCTACGCGTAACATCAACTAATTTCGACAGAGCTAACACTCGTGAATGCTTTGGATGACAACTATCCACCAGCACGTATTTGATTCTATTTGGGTCGATGCTCGTCAGCTACACCTTCTGCTTAGCAGCTACGAAACATTACGCTGTGCAACAGATACGTCAATGCTAGTGTATTCTGTGGCCGTGTGTCGCTCGTTGTTAGCTATTCAGGGTTGTTCTTTGGATCGAAGATTTTTGGGGATCAACCAACGCAACAGGATAATACATGCAACGTGTTTGATATGCTGTGTCACAACTTCTACTTCTGCCTCGAGGGATACAATTCGAATTCAGCTTTTCACAATTTCTTTGCCAGTGCAACCGACTTCTTTGCTAGTGCAACTTTTCGGAGCAGCCGACTTCTTTGCTAGTGCAACTTTTCGGAGCAGCCGACTTCTTTGCTAGTGCAACCATTCATCTTGTTATTAGCGGTGGTCTTCTATAGAGCTGAGATTCGGTATGAAGATCGGTGCAGATGTGATCCAGATCTCAACACTTGTCCCTCGCAGCGTGCATCATTTCTCGTTTTATTTGCCGCGTACCGATTCTTTTTTCTCTGGAGGATCGATGGAAATCTAGTCTATGGTTGAATACAACAGAACGTAAGAGACAAATTTTATTTACACGAATGATCACAGTGGCATCGTCCACCCATTTGGCTGAGTGCGAGTGCCAACACCTGCAGATGACTGTTACCCCTGGCTGCACGTCGGTTCGATGCTCACTGCCAGGGTTTTTTCCTGGTTGCCTTCTCGAAAAATCAAGGGAAAAGAAAACTGAAATAAACGAAGTACTGAAAAAGAAAAGAGCTATTCTTTCATCATCTGTGGCTTTGCACTAACGCTATCACTATCAGTCTGTTGCTGAAGTGAGATGTGAGCTTATTGTCCCCATTCGACGAAAAAGTCATCGGTATGCATAGCAGGTCAAACATCTTTGCTTCTGTTGAAGCTTGACCGACGAGCGAAGTTTTCACAGGAAGAACTCAAGAGCTATTTCTTATCCGTTTTACTGTACAGGCTTTGCTGGTTCTATGCAATTCAAGGCAGGCTAACTTTCGGTGCTCGTGGTGACAAACCTAATTTACAAAGTGATAATCATATCAACTGTCGTAGCTGCTCCTGCTCGTCTACATTTAGATCATAGCGCTTGCTCTTTCAGATAGTAATAGATACTTTTCAACAAAGATCGTCAAAGTCAAAATGGACAAACACGCACCAGTGTGGACAGTGTGCTGTGCCAGAAGTACTCACTAACGGAAGTTGTAAATCGTCGAAAAGAAAAAAAAAATGCGGCTGGTACTCGCGCTCGTTGTCTTTGGTGCCGCGGTTCACTACTACGTGTACTAAATCTTTTGAACAAAAACTAAAACCACGGCAACATAAGACATACATAGACATCGGCCTTCAACGTGGCGGCCGCGGAGAGTCGTCAAACGCGAAATTTTTCTCACGCGACCATCTCTGTGGATTTCTGCCCCTTGTCCCTCCTTCCCGCCACGTCTTTCGCTGTGGTGCTCCACCTGCGATGTTGTTAGCTGCACTACTTGAAGAGCTTCTAGTTCTTCTTGTCACACGCCTCGCAGTTCCTGCATTTCGACCACGCTGGTTTCGCCTTTGGAGATGACGCAGTTGACCACTATCATGACCACCTTTTGCATTCGCTACGGCTCTCGCGTGGTGTCTGTTGAATGTAGGTGAAGTTGATGTAGATGCGATGTTTCCGCTTTCTACCAACCGTCTCTCCACGCCCCGGTAGGCATCTTCCAGCCGCTCCACATTCCCGTACTTTTCCAAGAGCGCGCACTTCTCCTCCCCGCCCGTTGTCCCGCCGAACATCGTGTCCAGGACGACATTCCCGCTGCACAAGGTGCTCAAGGGCCCGGAAAACCCGACGTCGTCGTAGAATTCGAGCTGTTTGGCCTTCTGCTTCCCCAAGGTAGTCTATGAGAGTGCACAACTCCCCCTCCTCCTCATTTGTCATGCAAAATTGCAAGTCCACCCTTTGTCTTGTAGCACTGTTTGCATGACAGACTCCGGAATCCAAAACAACACTGCACTCTTCTAGGAATTTGTCATGCAAGAGCTGCATCTTTGCCAGCGCTTGTGTTGCTCTTCATGCAACACAAATGAGGGGGAAGGGGAGTTGTGCACTCTCATATAGTCTCGATGTAGCTCATGTCCGTTGAGTTGTAGCACATCGTTAGCTATTCTGTGCAAAAGTGTCGTAGTCGTAGTAATGCAGTCATGCATGACAAATCCAATATTTCTACCTGAACTAGCATGACAAATTGCTTTTTTGTTCTTGAGAAAATTTGTGATGCGATTCATGCTAGTACGATACTTTTGCAATGCATATTAGCAGCGTGTTCTTCCGGGCCAGCAACTCTGTGGCGTACTGCGTTTTGCATATCCACAGGGAATTTCTCGCACACGTACAAAGACATGCGGTCTCTGCATGACAAAACTTGGCTTCAGCACTAGTTTAGCATGACAACTGTTACACTTCAAATTGGCGAAATTTGTGATGCATCTTGTACATGTACGGGAAATTTATATTGCATATTGTACGCGTTACCGCACCACTGGTTACTAATGCTGGTCTATCCAGTGCAAAAGTATCGCACTCGTACTAATCGCAGTCATGCATTTACAAATCTCGTTTCCAAGACAAATCAGCATGACAAATTCCGTTTGTCATGCTGGGCTAATTTGTCACGCGATTTATACTAGTACGATGCTTTTGCAATGCATATGGTCCAGGGGCTGGTGGTGCCAAACGGGTTCGACCGCTGCTCCAAATTGTACTTCCCCGCTTGAAAGTAGATGGACGGATCCGTCGCCGATCCGGCGAAGTTATGGATTGCAAAAGCATGATCGCCATCGTAGGGGTAGAAGTTTGATTACAGATCTTTGGCCTAATCCTAATGCAAAATTAGCACTACATATTGATGCACTTTTTCTCTCAAAGCATTGGTACTAGGACGAGGAGAGGACTTCTGCAATGCATAGAACTGCGCGGCTCCCAATTTCGGCTCGCAGTCCTCCGGAATGTAGACGTAACACGCCCCATCTAGCAGCGTCGCGACCGTCGCGCGATCAGGCCCCCGAAAGTTGTAGTTCTGCTCTGTGAAAGCTCCTATGCAATGCAAAAGTACTTCGCATTCGTGGAAATTGCAAAAATGACAATTTTTTTTTTATTTCACGTTGAACAAATTGTCATGTTCGAGCTGGATCTTGTAGAAAAGCAAAAGCGCTACTTTTTGCGCATGATCGCAATTAGAATTCCTACAAGCACGACATCACCTTTGCAAGGGATAGATCCTTCGGTGACTCGGGACATGGAGTTTAGGTTGTAGAAAGTGAAATGCTATGCACTGCAAAAGTATCGTAGTCGTATGAATTGCAGCAATGCATAACAAATCTGGTTTGCTACCCGAATCTACATGACAAATTGCAGTCTTCTTCTTGAGAACATTTGTCATGCGATCTGTACGTATACCCATACCAGTACGATGCTTTTGCAATGCATAAATGCCTCGAAAACTCCTCCTTTTTCACCCGGACACACTCTTCGTAGCAACTGTCGTCAATCTCCGACAGCATCTTCTCCCGGATCACGTCCGCGGACAGGGTCGTATGGGAGTGTCAGGATTGAAATCGTCAAAGTTGAAATGATTTGTCATGCATAAAATGCATGGCGCGAAGTACGTGTGTTGCAGAGCAGGCAAGTGAGGCCGATTGAAGCCTGTTTAGGGTTAGGGCTCGAGCTGCAGAAGTAGCATGAGAGAGTCAATCTTTTGTACCTCAGCAGCATTACAAACTGGATTTAGGCACAACCAAAATTTGTCTTGCGCCACTTGGAAACTGGGGCTCAACTGGCATCCATTTTGCGCATGGCAAATTATTTCACCTTTGACGATTTCAAACCTGACACACCCATAGGTCGCATTGGTGACGTAGTTCGTGTCGTAGTCGTGGTAACTTGTTGGGGACGTGGAGTATGCTGTGCAAAAGTATCGCACTCGTACTAATTGCAAATATGCATGACAAATCTCCCTCCCAAGGTAAAACAGCATTACAAATTTCACTTTTCTTCTTGCCAAAACTTGTAATGCAATTTATACTAGTACGTTACTTTTGCAATACATATGGCGACTGTGGCGGCCATGGTCGTCTTTTGCGGGATCGACATGCCGGCGTCGAGCTCGAACAGTCTCTGTAAATGGTATTCCCCGGTGAAGGCCGCTTTCTCGTACTCGTCTACAAGTTTCGAATTCAGTTCCGGCACGGCGAAACTGGTGGGGGAGAGAATGCAGTAAAACAACTCGCGGTCGTCTGGAAGGAAATCCGTATCATAGTCCACTGCGTTGTTATTTATCGTCGTGACCGCCGGGTCCGTCGCGATCGCCTGGCATTTCGTGAAATCCGGCTCGTTCGCGGGGAGGGTCAGCTTCGCGAGTCTCTGCACGTCCGAGATTAATCTTTTCTGCGTGTACAGCGTTGGGTCGGTGGCGGAGGGAGTAGGAAGGACGCTCTGTGTGCGGTGAGAACAAACAAGGTCGAGTTTCTCTTTCTTGTTGCTCCAGAAAGTAGCGCTTGATATCTTGCTTTGCAACAAATGCGTGCACTAACCTGCTCGGTATCAGGGATACAATCACCATCAAGGCCGACGACGTAAAAATCACACATCACAAGTTGTCAAAGTCATATACCGCACGTAGAGAAATAAAAACAGATCGAAATCACGCGGGTCGTGGGGGGGTAAGTGTACGAGATGAGGATCATGAAGTAATAAAGCAGAAAAAACCATAAAAAAATTATACCGTATGCCGCATGCAGGTGGCTAATTTTCCCGCCGTGACCAGTCTTTCCGCGTCGGCAGCGCTGTTCGCGAACTGATTCCCGCCTCGTCCAAAAAACAAATTTGTGTACTCGTCGTACGTCTGGCGGTAGAGCTGTAAGAAATCGTAGACTGCAAGTTTTGTCTTTGCCGGCAAATCCATGTTGGACAACTTTACCAAGTCCGCTTCCGTCACAGCTGCGTCGGTTTTCACAAAGTTTTCCACCTTCGTACTGATCGTGGCATCGGGTAAAGAGTGGGCGGAGACCTGGTGATGAAACGATTCAATTCTGGACAAATTTGCAATCACGAACAAGCGAACACGAACAGGTCGATATGCGTAAGTACGCCACCTCGATATCAATCTTACGTCTCAGGCGCGAACCCTGTTCTTCAGAAGTTAGAGATACCTGCTCTGTCTGATAGTTGGAGTATCTGCAGGAAGGTAAAGTAATACAGACGTGTTGTACCTGCAGCTTCCTCCCCCAAAAATCCACAACTTCTTCTCCTTCACGACCTTCGCTTGATGCAACACCCCGCTCCAGCAACTCCCGGATCCTGGTAAAGGAAAACGCAGCTTGCACCTGGTCCATCGCGCATTTCTGCGCCGCTTTCAGCACCACTTGTTCCACCCTTTGTTTCATCTTGGCGACCAGTTTCGCGCGGAGGCAGAAGTCGCTGTACGACAGCTGCTGCAGCAAATTGCTGTCCGGCATCAAATCGTTGTCCACGTCCTGCATCAGCGTCAAATCCGACGGGTGCTCGGTTTCTGCGCTGTACTGGTCGCAATTCGCGTACCCGAGGCCAACTTCGAGCATGTCCTTCACCGGTACGTCGAGACATTGATCGTTGTTCCGATCCAGCGTTTGAAACAATTTCGCTAGGCTCTCCGTGTTCAATAGTTCCTGCATTAGAGGAAGTTGCTTAAAAGGGTTTGAGTACTGGGAACTACTCGCAGGAAGGGAGGAAGACTCTGAACTTCCTCCGCCGACCAACTCCTTCAAAGGTTCCACCACCGCCTCAAAAAACTGCTTCCCCTCCGTGACCGACATGATCCCGCTGCCTAAATTCGTCGAAATTAACCCCGCGTTCCTATTGTACGCCCGGAGTTGCTTCTTCAGATCTCCTGCTTGCTTGTTCACAATTTGGTACTTCAGCGAGCTGATCCCCTTCTCGACCGTCTCAACTGCCTTTGGGACCACGAGGGTTTGAAAATTATCCACAAACTCATCCTTCGACAATTGCCAGGGTAAGCAGCCGGTGCGGAGCAGCTTCACATCGTTTTTATTGCTTAGCTCAAACCCGACGGGTAACAGCTCGACGTTGGTCGCTTCGTGCAGCCCGGAGGTACCACCAGTGATGGACTGGACGAGGGAGACTTTGGACAGAGAGTCCGCCGCCTTCGCGGAGAGTAAACCGTTGCTGCCCTGGAGCGAGCGCAAGGAGCTCCTGCTGTCCGGGTTGTATGGCTGAATGCTGGAGCTGCTGATCCTGTCCTCGCTATTCCGGGCAGCAGCGTCGACTACATCCTTTGGCTTTGCTGGTGCACTTATTGGTGGGGATGAAAGTGTAGTCTCGACCGCAGCTTGTGTATGTGTGGCGAGCCCGCTCATGCTTGTTCGCCAATTCACACCGGGGAACGGCTTTGCTGACGCGCCGGCGCGACTTGTCTGACTACTTCCACTGCTTTTCATGGAGGCCACGACCTGCGAAATTGACCTCTTCTCTGTTTCACCCCCCGCGGCACCAAAACTGTTCCACCTGGATCTTTGCGCTTGCAACAAGTGCCTGACGCGGTGGAAGTTCGGAATCAGATCCACACTCGATCCGCCTACCACCTCGCCTTCTGCCGTTTGCTCCAATCCGATGTCATCCGCGGACAGGAATGGGTTGTAGGCGGGAGACGAACCGCCCGCCTCCGCTAATATTCCGGGCGAAAAAACCGACTCACTCTCGCTGTTCTTCGGCACACACCCCGCACCGTCGATTTTGTAGGCGACCGGGGAGGAAATGGACAAAGAAGTGCTGTCGCTTCCACCACTCCCGCACCTCCTGTGGGCGGCATGCAGTGGATCCTTGGCTAGCATCAGCAACCCGAGGATCGTTTTCACGACCAGAGCCTTGTGTTCCTCCGACACACTGGCGTCGAAGCTGTACCCGTACGGCTTGTACGACTCGTTGTAGTAAAGTTTCGTCAGTTTCGCAGCAGCGTCGTCGTTTTCCAGCGCCGTTTCCGCGGCGGAGAGAGGCCCGCTTGCGGCTAAAACGGTTGTCGTGTCCTTGATCAAATTTTCCAAAAAGCTTTTCTCGTCCTGGTTGTAATGTGGGTTCAATGTTTGCTATGCAATACAAATTTCCCGTACACGACGTACAAGATGCATCACATCAAATTTCACCAATTTGAAGTTTAAAACTTGTCATGCTAAACTAGGAAATCGGAGCCAACTTTTGCCATGCAGAGACCGCACTTGTACGTGTACGGGAAATTTCATGTGGATATTTGCGCCTGCTGATGTGCCGTGTAGTTCATTACTCCATATGCTTCGACGGTTTCCGTGTATTTTCCGTGGTCCTTCACCGCATTTTGTTTCAATTTTTCCATCAACTCCTTGAGCTCCCGAATGAAGTCGAGCTGGATGAGGTTTACAGAGGTGGCGGAAGTTTGTGCCGTGACAGTGGCGTTAAACATCTGGTACAGCATGTCCGCGGTGATTACAGCATATGAAACCTCAGAATTGAAATCCTCAAAGCCGAAATGATTTGTGATGCATGAAATGCGACGCAAAAAAAACTGTATTGCAGAGGACGCAATGGAGGCCGACTATTGTCCTGCTAGGGGCGAAGAATTGAGGCGCTGCTTAGCACGACAGAAGGGAACCCCTTTGCCTTAATCTGCATGACAAACATGCTTTAAGTGTCCGGGAAATTTGTCGTGCGCTGACCACAAATGGCGCTTCAACTGGCATCGTTTTTTTGCATTACAAATCATTTCGACTCTGAGGATTTCCATTCTGAGGCTTTCATACAGCACTCGAGCCGCTTCCGTCGAAGCTCGTGCTCCGCACGTGCGTGGTCGCGTGGATCACCGCGTCGTCACTAATTCGGAATTCTGCGTTGCTGGACTGCGTCGTTGGGACGGCGGTGTGCCCGCCCGCGGCGCCCGTGGAGGCGGAGTTCGTCATGAAGTTTCCCCGGTAGGTCGTGAGGATCAACTTATGGCGTTCTCAAACGTTACATTCTCAACTGTTACATGATTTGTCATGCAAAATGACCATGAGCCGCAAGACAATCAAGCTGCTTCGCATGACAAATTGTCGAAGGGCTAAATAGCATCTAAATCCATGCCAAAATTTGTGATGCAAGACTTGCAAGCTTGCCCCTTTCCGTATTGCTGTTTTTGCATGACAAATTCATGTAACAGTTGAGAATGTAACAGTTGAGAGCGCCATACAACTCCGTCAGCGCTTGGAGATTCCTCGCCTTGTCGAGAGATTCCTCGTACTGCTGGTCGGTAAGCATGGCGAGTCTGTCTTGCTGCAGTGCCGCGTTGCTGCCGGTCAGCGGTTCATCTGGTCGTGGGGGATTTTCATCTCCAGATGTGGCTGCGTTACTCGCAAGAACTGGTGATAATTCATCTGCACGAGCACCATACAGTTCCCTACTTGTCCCGCCGAGAGTACTCGTTTGAAACTTCTCTTCGAACAGCTTCATGCAGTCTTTCTTCCCCAAATTCTTCAGCATTCCCATCACGCAGCAGAATGGCCCAGGCTGAATCAAACCGGTGGAACTGTCTGGCTGCATCAAATGGTAAAATTTCTTCGCGCCGAGCCTTTCTAGATCGTCAGAGGCGAGGAGAAGAGAAGAGGAAATTGGAGTTGATGCACCAGGATTCTGCTCCTCTTCCTCTCCGAGCACTGCCTCCACGAGACCACACGTCTTCACGTCGGTCATCGCGGTGGAATCAAGGCAGGCGGATTGGTAGTCTTTCAGCATTGGCCCCGTCAAAACCTGGTTCCCAATACCACTCGTGCTGGGCTGCAGCAATTTCGAGTTCAAAACCGTATCAATCACGTTGTTTTTCGTCTCGAAGTCGATGAGTTTTGCTCTTTCCTCCAGCATTTCGCTACTCGACTTCCCTGTTGTTTCCGAACCGGTGAGATGCGAGTTCGAGTTACTTGCTTCCAAAACTAATTTCTCGTGGAAGTCCATGGGGATGATCTCCTTCGTTAAATCGGCCTTCATTTGCAACAGATCCGGAACGCAGAACATGTTTTTCATGAGCAATTCCTCGTAAGCGAGCCTGATATCCACGTGCAACAAGTCCAAGTCGGGCAATTGCGTCTCTGGCATCTGCTTGTTCTTCATATCCTTGAAGGCAGCGGTGATGGAATCCGAAATGATCTGTTGTTGCGCGGTACAGCTCGGCAGGGAGGTAGACCGGGAGACCTCGCAGGAAAAATCGAGCAGTGGGATTCCCATTTGGATTGACAATGACCGGGAGGTGGACTTAGAAGATGGCTGTGCTTGATGTTCTTCAACAAGAACGCGATCATCTTCGTTCCTTCCAATCAATTCTCGTCCCGGTCCCGTGCTCCCCTTCCACAGCATCCTGCCTGAATTTATCCGATACAATTCGTTTTGCAAGTTTCCAAAATCGAAGCAGCTCGGGCAAACCTCCTCGAACTTCTGATTTTCAACCTTACTTGATCGTAGACCCGAGATTTCCGTCAACGCTAGCCCCCCGACACAGTTGCTCCCGTCGGAAGCTTGGCAGTCGCAGACATCCGCCAAATGGTCGCCGCATTTCGTCTCGAGTAGCGCTGTCACGTTGAACCCTGGCGAGGGGGTCTGCTCGAGATAGGCTGAGCCAGTGGTGTTCACGTAGTGGATCGCTTGGAGTTCCCGCTGGGCTGCAGCTGCGGCGGCGGCTCCTGCTGCGTAATTGGTGTTGACAGCAGCAGGTGGAGAAGCAGCTTTTGATGTCGTTATTACTCTGCTGTTGTTTTCGTGGTCCACGTTCCTCCCCAAAGATGATGATGAACTAAGTGCTGCCTCCGCCACGCCACCAGGCGCGCCTGCAGTGTTGGTCATCAAAATCCTGCTCAAATTCTCCTTAAACACTCTCCGCAAGGTTCTCTTCCGGTGCTTTTCTTGCCCGATGATTCTGTGCAGGACTTCTTTCTTGTCCTGGTCGGTGAGTAGTTTCCTTGTGTTTCGGTTAATATCCTTCCGCAACTCCAACAACTGTCGACTCACTGTTTGACTTTCGTCTTTTGCCAGAGAACTTTCCTCCATCGACTGCTTTGCTTCCTTCACTGATTCGTACATTTTGATCACTTCTTCGTGACACTCTGCCTTTCGCTTCAAACAGGGGCAGTGTTTCAGAATCTCCGCCCCGGCGTCCCCAAGACACACATTTTCGTACGAAGCAACATTCGTTGAGTGCGATTTCAAGCACCCACACTCCTCAATGCACCCCGGTCCAGGCTGGTTCGCGATCAAATTCAAAAACAGTACCGAATTCTGTTTGTACCCCGCTTTCAAGTAGTTCGCACTGTCGTTCTCGAGCGAAGTGGAAAGAGGTAACAGCTTCTCTTGCAATGGTAGTTGCTTGCAGCTGAGGGGTGCTTTTGTTGTGGATAGTATCACCTTGTTGAAGAACTGCAGTACAGACAACTGGTTCAACGCCCCGAAACCCCCGGATTGGTGCTTCACGACAAATCTTCCGTCAGCGTTCTTCACCACGCCCTGCGTCTGCCGCGAAAACGGGTGATCGAGCAAAGCGATGTTCAAGCTCGGTCCGGTGTCGATTGTCAACGTCACCCCCGCCGCCTGTGCGGCTAACTGCGCGGACAAAGAGGGCGGCGTTGTGGTGGTTGTTGGTGTTGGGGTCACGCACCAGTCGAGATCCCCGTGCACTTTTTTGATCCTCGCCTGCGGGTCGAACTGCAACAGTTGCTCCGCCTCGATCGGACTCGTGACTTCGTAGAACTGGCAGCCGGTGAGAAAGCGCTCGTAGTTGCGGACACTGGTATGCTATCCTGTGCAAAAGTATCGCACTCGTAGTAATCGCAGTCATGCATTACAAATCTCGATCCCAAGGCAAAACAGCATGACAAACTCCATTTCTCATGCTGATTAAATTTGTCATGCGATTTCTACTAGTACGATACTTTTGCAATGCATATATGCTTCAAGTGCGGCCCGGTGGAGGTCATGGCGACGTTAGAGGCCGGGCTGAGAACCGAAACGTCGAGGTGCTTTTTCGGTTCCGTCACGCTCTGCAGATTTCTAGTACTGTCGGAGGAGGTACTAGCTGTGAAGACCTGCTGCGAATTATGCAGCAGTGACTGAGAAGATTCCGGCGCTTCTGCCCCTCCTGCAGGAGCCATTTGCTCCTCCTCTAGCGTAGTTTTTGTCCGTTCAATTACAGCTGCGTCCTCCTCTCGTTCCTCTAATCTTCGGACGCGGTGCGTCAGCTGCGCTGCTTGTTCGTGCAGCTGCAGCATAGCGTCGTCGAGGATAGTGTCTACCTCGAAATCCGACTTGCCGAAGTACGTTTTGAGACAATACCTCACTTCCGGTTCCATCAAAACCTGGTCGTCCACGTGGTCGGAGAGGAAGCGAAGAGAAGCTTGGTCCTCGGCTCTGTCATGCGGTACTGCTCCGACATTTCCATTTGAACTTGATGAAGAGAAAGAGTCTATATGTGACAAGGACGAGTCCACCTGTCCCTGCGCAGCAGTTTCGAGTAACAACATTTCCGCTTCTACATTTTCTCTCGAATCCAAGAAACGCTCCGCGGTGCTGGAGGTCGCCCCAGTGGCAAAACTGCCACTGCCGTTGTCCTGCTCAACATAGTTGTTCATACTCTCGGCCAGAATCCGCATTACGGACTTGATTCTTTGCCTCCGCTGCTTCTTGACGAAAGGTACATGAAGACTATCAGCAGCAGCTTCATGTTGACCACGAGCTTCTAGAGCTCGAGCTCCTCGTCCTGCGGTGGCATTATCGTTCCGGCCACTGGTCGTCTTTCCAATCAACTTCCTCGCTTTCCTTCTCATCAGTAACCTCCTCAGGCTGTGTGTCGCGTACCTCACAGGACTCGGGATCGAACCCATCGTCCGGCCGTCGAAGTTGCAGGCCCACGCCACGGTCAAAAACTCCCCAGCAGTGTATTTCTCTAATGCGGTTTCCGCAGCGGTGTCGATCGCGTACGGCTGTAAAATTTGCGTCAGTTCGACCACACTACTTAGCGACAAGCTGAATACCTTCTTCACCAAAAGCAAGTCGTTTTGTCGCAACTTCTCATCCGCCGCACTGCTCGTGGGGCAGTCGAGATTCAAGATGGTTAAAACCTTCTTCGCCTCGTGCAGAAAGGCGGAAAAGTCCTCCATTCTGCTCACCGTCCCGTCGGAAAACGCTTTGCGGGCTAGGGCCATTAGCTGGCTGTCGTCTTGCTTCGTGACTTGGGAAGCATGGGGGAAGGGATTGTTACTCGCTGCCTTCATTTTCGTGACCATTTCGGTTCCTTGGGGGACCGACATCGGGATCACCGGTGCGGGAACCATAGCTTGGAGGTTTCGTGTTGAAGACGGTGCAGAATTAGCTCGTCCTTGAGCAGTAGCTTCCGGAACTTCTGTTGGAAAATCAGCTCGGCGTGGCGAGGAAGATGCTAATAAACCAGCAGCCTGCTCCTGCTCCGGCGCATCATGCTGTCGACTTTGCTCCACAACGGCCTCTGATGTTCTTCTCCTTTCCCTTCTATTCGCACTGCAGCCGGACTCGAAATTTCTGTTCCGCAGCGCTTCTACCAGGGGCGCTGTAAATTCCAATTGCTCTAAGCACTGATCGTTGTTCACGTCCTTCAAGTTGTACAAAACTCCGCAGACATTCCCGGATGAACTCTCGCCCTCCACCGTAAACCCGCCACTGCTGATGTACAGTGCGCAAAACTCCGACTCTTTCATACACCCAGTCGTCCCGCAGGTGCTGCTCTTCGAGCATGCAGACTCAAATTGTTCGTACATGCTATTCGAAGTTGTATCCGCCGAGCTGGAAGTTGAATAGGACAGACACTCTGCGGCTGTCACTTTCTCGTCGTTATTGACGTTCATCGCGGCGAAGACGGCCTTCTGAGACTCGAAACTCAAACTCGTGGTGGTACTGCTGATTTGGGTCGGCGATGTGATGTACGCGGAAGTGAAGAAAGGACACGAGGCTGAGGCTCCTGCTGAATAGATACCTCCGTCAGCAGCTACCCCGGCAGACGCAGCTACAGAAGGCGCTGCTATTTCCACTGGTATGATCCCGGTATCCATTTGAAATATCCTCACGAATTCCTGCTCTGATATGTAGCCATTCCGGTCCAAATCTACCAATTTCAAAATCTTCCGCTTCACCATCCGCTCCCCGTACAAATCGCTCATCACGGTCTCTTTCAACATCGTCTTTTCCTTCAAAACTTTCATCATGACGTCGATGTGGATCTGCGTTTTGTAGAGGTAGTTGGTCCTGTGCAAAAGCTCCTTGATGTTTAAAAGGTCTAATGTGTTGGAGGTCGTTCCCGATCCGGACGATGATGAGCCGCTGCCCGAAGAAGAAGTGCCACTCGTCGCTGCAGCTCCCGCTGTTGCAAGCATCTTCTGAATCACCGGCGATTCGTTTTTCGACCTTTCCAACACAGTGGAAAAACAGATCCCAAAAGTCTGCAGCTCAGACGTCGATAGGTACTCACTATTATCACAATCGTGGCTGTGGAACCAAGAAAACACCTTCAATCTGTTTGCGTTGGTGATGTCCAGCATTACCGCGTTTGGATCTGCCGCCGGGACGGAGCCGGCAAAGCCAGCCGGTGTGGTCGTCGTCGTCGCGGGGGCGTAGAGAACCGGGATTCCGAGCTGCTCAAGGAGGTAGGACCCGACCAGGTCCTTGTGGCAACTGTATCTTTTCTCCGGGTTGCAGACGTCTAGCAACGATTTGTACATCAAATGCGAGTACTCCAACTTCGCGTCATCCAGCGCCTCCGCTGCGATTGTCAACAAATAATCCGTCCGCATGCAACTCCCCGTAACACTGCTCGCACACGTCGCGTTTGCCGGCGCGGGTTTCGGAGTAGCTTTTGGATCAGGTAAAAGCCCTGTTGGTAGAACCTCTCCGGCCGGAAGCAAGGTTTCGCAAATCGACGTTGTATCGTGACACAGATGTATTGATCTGTGCAGTGCCAGCGGCGTGTCCGGCGTCACGGGTCCGTAGCCGGTTGTTTGACTTTCTTGCGACTGCAGCAATTTCGTCTGCACGGTGACGTTCGTGTAGTTGAAAATCAACATTCCCCCCATCGCGGTCGCGAACTTCACCAACAAACTGCTGGTCGCGAAATTCTGCTTCTGTTCGCTCACTGTCGCAGAAGCGACAACAGTGGTCGACGGTAGACTGTTTCCCTGCCCGAGATGCCCTACACCGGAGACGAAATAATTTCCGAACATATCCATTTGCTTCTTCACAGACACGATTTCTTTCAGCGTCACCGGGCCTTGCAAAGTCGGGATAAGGAAGGACTGCACGTTCTGCAGCTCATGTTCCGTCATATCGTAGACACAATTCAACAATTCCTCGTATCCCTGACAAGTCCGGATCGCCTGCGCCAGCTGGATCCTCCCGCCATTGTTCACGTCTTCCAACTCTCCGGTGGCCATTTTGGTATTGGTGATTTCTGTCGTCTTTGCTTTCACTGCCTGGAGCTGGCGTCTTTTGAAGTGTTCTACTGAAAATTTTTGTGGTTCTTCATCCGCACTTTCGTACTCCACGGACACACTAGAACCTCCAACTACTGCAGCGCTTCCGCTTTCTCCTCCTGCTGCTGCACTCCTGCTGCTTTCCAAGAGTCGCCTTCTTTCCCGGATAAACCCGGTGCTTTCTGTGCTCGTCTTTCCATCATCGGCGAGGAAAACCGGTTTGAAGTTTTTCGTGTACTCGTTCGCCAACAACCCAGAAATAAACGAAACCGCCGCCATCAGGACGATGACGACGAAAGTTAAGTACAGAATCTGGCGGAGGAAGATACCCTCCCATCGAAGGCGTTTTTCCGCCTCGGCGGCGAGGGCTAGCTCGGAGACGGAAACGGCACCCGTGTTCTCCGGGTCCCAGAGCTTGAGGACGGTTTTTACCTGATAGATAAACAAAGGGAGAGTTGATAAGTCGTACAAGGGTCAATTACTACATGCACAGCTTCTAACATGCCACATCATGCACGATGCAAGTGGCGTTGGTGCTGGCGGGCCACAACCACGAGCCAACAGCAGCAAACGGAAACGCCGAGTATTTCTAGGAAAACCTGCGCGCATGTTATACCTTTTCTGGAAAGCTGTTGTAGTCCAAATCGGCGGAGTTGTTCTTCACAGCGAGTTTCATTTCCGCCAAGCGCTGCAACATTTCCTCTAGTTCTTCGCGATCCAACCCATCGCCATCTTCGTCCAATTTGTTCAAACTATCAACTGTAAAAGTGTCTGGGTCTGGAAGAATCCAACTTGTCATGCTGATTTTGGATTCTTTATTGCATGAGCAGCAAAGAGAGTCCAAGTTTTGCTACACGGAAAGAGCATCTGTCATGCGGTTGAGGCATCAGGAAGCCCTCACAAAATCTGTGATGCTAGGGCATGCATCACAGACATCAGGAGTCTTCATGCAAAATGTGCATAACTGGCAATCTTCCAGACCCAGACATTTTTACATTTGATACAAACTGGACTTCAGCCATTCCGGAGCGTGCAGCTCCGCAATGTTCACCGCGGCTAAGGACATGGTGGCGCGTTATTATATCTACGCTGTATATAACACTCCACCTCCCGTTTGAAGCTGCTGCCTTCAAGAGCTAGCCGAGTAGTTCCTCAGTGGGGCCGCGGTCGGTCTCCTGTGTGAAATTCGACGACGGGCATATTCTTGGGCAGCTCCCCGCCCATTCTGAGCACCACGCGGCACACAGTCATTGCGACAACTTGGACGTCGGGCGATCGACCATCATCTTGCCACAACTTTTCAGCACCATAATACCTGGTGCTGTTTTTTTCGGCTGAGAAATACGAGCCAGGGAGCAGCAGCTGATTCTGTACTTAAGATGCCACTGCAAACACACTCGCGCACGCTCACTCAAGCTGGGTGGGTCAACAACTCGCTGGCACCGGCACGCAAGCTGCTTGATAATATCCACCTCAGACTTCCTCGTGATTATTTCGCTCATGCATGCTGCTCCTCCCCCTGTTTAGACGCTGGAATGAAGGTAATTCAATACCTTTTTGGAAAGAAAAACGCAACTCTCGTCAATGTGCTTGGGGGAACTCAGACGCAGCTGGAACTGAAGACCGATTGCGCCACCTGCACCTGCAACTCAGCTGAAGACCATCGAAGAAATCTCCTGTGTGCCGACAGGACGATGAAAAAATGAGAGTGGAATTCCATCTCGAAGATGGTGCTACAAAAAAATCATTCAAGTGGATCTTTGCAGACAAGTCGCAACGGATATAAAAAAAAACTTTAGCAGGCCATGGTCTTTTTGAAGTGATGGCCGTCAGTCAGCGCAAGAACTTCTCCTTTACAGCTAGATCTTCCTACTGCTCTTCATCAAGAAATAAATCACCTCAACAATGATAATAAAAGAAGGTAGTTTTTTAGTGGTTTCTGGTTTCTCGCAGCTTCGCCTTCTTTTTGCTGGCTGCTAACTACCTGCTTACTTCCAGCAGCTTCGCTCCATCTTCAGTATCTACGGATTGTTTCTCGACGACAGAATGGGTCTATGCGGAATGGAACTAGACGATCCTCCTCAGTGTATCATAGTGCACTAATCATATTGGGGTGCATATAGTGGGTCTCGAAGGTCTCTGCTTCCCTTATCGTCTGCGTTCTACCTTCTTCTCATTTTTACTAGAAGAAGACGCGACTTCTGCTTTGCCACTGCCTTTGCTTCTACTTCCCGCTGCTGGCTTCCCCGAGGCCGCTGCGAGTCGTTGCGGCTGGTGTCCAGGAAAGGCGCCCGCAGCTCTTTTGCTCGAGAAGAAGGCTCCGTCTGAGGAGGCGGGAGAAGAGGACGCAGTCACCGGCGGCGGTGGCAGTACGTTGCTTCTAGTAGACGCTGTCACTGGCGGCTGTCGCCCAGGAAGGACGTTCAACTTGCTGCCAGAACTGCTACCGCTCTGCGGCGCGGCTTGGGGAGGGAGCATCATCCGCGGGGCGTCTGTGGAAGCAGCTGTAGCCGCGACATTCGCATTTTTTCCAGCACCACGGTCCTGGTCTCTCTTGCCCCTAGTCTGGTTGCGCGACCGCGACCTGCGCCGCGAGCGTGACCTGCGGCGATCACCTCGGTGGAAGTCCCGCCGGCCGCCTTCGTTGCCGCGTTGGTTGGTGCTTCTGCTGTTGTCCTTGTTACCTGCGTCTCCTGCTCGCCCTTTCTGGTCCCGGCTGCTCACGTTGTTTGCCACCGCCGGCGCTGGGTGCCGGACGTCAGGAGAGGATGCCGGCGGACCGGAAGACGATTCCTTCGACGACGCGCCCCGACGCGAAGGCGCGGAATTATTCAGGTTTCCCCTGGCCGCGTCCGTCTGCCTCGTCTGCTGTTGCTCGGGGAGCCTCTTCCTGGTGGGTCTGAAATCCACGTCCTCCATCTGGACAATCGGGCCCACGACGATGCCTTCTGCGCTTCGCTTGTGTCCATAATGCTGGTGCCCAACGTTTGCTCGAACGAGATTTGCTGACGCGAAGTTGCCCTGGTGGTCCAAAATTGGAGCCCAACCCTTCTGTCCGGCGTTGCTGTAGTGAAATTATCATGTTGGAGGGAAATGAAGATGGGATCAAAAGAAAACTATGTCCCAATGATGATGAACAAGATTAAGATTATAACAGAGGCCACGCTTACTATGAAGTGCTTTTGAGTATTCGTTAACGCGAGAAATAGATCTTGGGCGACAGCATCGCAAAATAAAACCTTTCATCTTGTTCAAAAATTACATTCACGACTGCTCTGTACTGCTCACATTGCGAAAAGAACAAGAGACTCTTGAAGAGCTCGAAACTCAGAAAAGCAATACGGGTGCGTAAAGTCTCGGATTTCCCAGCGCACGAGGAAGATGTCCGTGCTCCCACCACCCAGGTCCGACTGTCCCGGCCAGGTGACCCAATACAGCGGAAAAGGCTTGCCCCACGACCGGCCATCTTCGAACGGCTTCAACTTCTCCGCCGAAGCCTGCATCTCCTGCAGAATAGTTAACGTGCGCGGCTGCAGAAAGACACCAAACAAACCGTCCTCAATTGCGTCCTCCAGCATCGGATAGCCCTTCATGGCCTCGCGGGATCTCCGGGGGTTTTCCCGTTCCGCAAATTCCCAGGAGCGCGTAGTGACATACGGCCGGAAATCCGCATACTCCCCCGGCTCGCGGTACTCCAGCAGATGCCAACTGCCATCAGGGTCTCGGACATAGCGGCGCCCTTGCGCATGAAACACCTTCAGGTGGCTGCAGGTCTCCGTCAAGAAACGCGGATTGGCTGTATCAATGCGAAAAGCTAATGCTGTGGCGCCCTCCTGGCGGCCCGGAAGTTGACAAATCTAAATCACATACTGAAAAAGATCGCTCACACAAGTACAAAAAAATTTTCCTCGCAACTAAACTGCAAATCAAGAATATGCAAGCTCTGCGCCGGTGCTTGTTGATCCAAAGTGAACGAGAGCAATTATTGCCAGACACATCGAACAAAAAATATGCAAAGACCGAGAGCCGTGCTATGCCCATGTCCAGGGCGCCAGGAGTCCCACCAGACATCTCCTTCTTTTGATACGTTTCGGCAAACAAGGCGGCGTAGCCCTCTACTTTCTGCTGGCGTGCGGCGACTGCCTTCTGGTGCTCTGCGAGTTGGGTCGCGAGCTGCTTCCCAGAACTATCCATAAAATCCAACTCTGCCTTCATCGCGTTCATCTTGGAAACGTGTTGCGCTTTTCGTTGCCGCAGCTGCTCCCCCTGGTTCTTCTCCAAGCGCTCCAGCTCCGCTTCGCCGGCTTCGAGTCGCTCCTTCCGCTCACGCTGGCTGTTCGCTTGCTGCGCCACATCTGCAGTGAGGCGCGCGAGGTTTTCCTTTTGCTCTTCCAGAGGCTTTAAAAATTCCTCGAGCTCCCGTTGCTGCTGGACTTTTGCGCGGTACTGCTTGCGCACTTCCTCCAGCTTCTCTCTCTCCTCCAGGACCTCTCGGTGGACGGCGTCGAGCTGCATCTGCTCTTTCTTATCGAGGAAAAAAAAGCCATCCACATCCATTATTTTGATGCTTTTTTACATAAAAAGACTAAACACGTTTTTCAAAAAAATTTCAGGTTTGTCAGGAATGGGCTCCAGCAAATATCCGCGCCAAAGTGATCTAGCCAAAGTGGCGCCATGATCAGGCGCACTAGGAAAGTATTAAATTAGCTAGGCCCAAAGCAGAACACTCGCCGCTCGTGGCGGGTCGCAGATTTCGCACAAGTCCTCCTCGCAGGCGCAGATCGCCGCCGGCCCCATACATGGGGCAAACGGGGGTCAACTTGGCGGGGCCATCCTTCTCCGGGTTCTGTACTTGGTCGCGCGGCGTATCTCCATTGGGCGTAGCTAGCTCAAAAACAAAATCGCTGAGCGATACTAGGCGCCATCGGCGCCACTAGCTAGCTGTATGAGTTAGATAGATTGCTTCACGTGCATCATGCGAGAAAAAAGTTAGAGGCGCTTTTTATTTTATTGCTGTTTTTTCGTGATTTTTTGCCCCAAAAAAAGTAGCAAAGTGAATGCGGATTGGTTTTTTTTTCCTGGATATTTCTCGATCTTCTTATACAGCTTCTCGCTCTGCTGGTCTCGGGCCTTCTGCCGGTGGGCCATGTCTTTTTCGATCTCCTTGCTGGCTTTCTCTGCCTCGATGCGCTTCTTTTTCACCTCCTCCCGCGTGGCCGTCAGCAACGCCTCCTCCTTAGCGGTTTCCGCGTCGATGGTCTTTCGAATCTCGTCAAGGTGCGCCTTTGCCTTATTTCCATGCGCCAACTTTTTCTCGGTGAGGAGTTTCGTAAGCCGGGTTTTGTCCTCTTCCACATCTCTCTCGTACTTGGCCTGCATCTCCTTCTCCTTTTTCGCCTTCTTGTCGGCGAGCTTAGCCGCGAAGGCTTGCTTCAGCTCGGCGTATTTTTTGTTCGCTTTCGCCTTCTGCTGCTTCGTCAGCTGCGCGAGCACCTCGTCGAAGGTCCACTTCTTGTCCTTGCGGTGTCCTCTTCGGGCCGGGGCGTTGGGTTCCTGCGCGACGTTAAGATCCTCCTCTTCGTCCGGTAGGAGCCGCTCGCCCTCGCTGTCGGTCGAGCCGGTTTCGATGTAGTGCTCATCCTATCAAATGCAAAAGCTTGGAACTTGTGATGCTGTCTCTGGATTCGAAAAAAATTTGTATTGCGTGACCAGTGAGAGGAGTAGATTTTGTGCTCCGCGGAGATGGCATGTGTCCTGCGAAGTAGGCATGACGAGGAAGCGCTCTAAAAATCTGTGATGCTAGGCCATACATTCCAGGCATTATGGATCATGCAAAATATGCATGACAAGTCTTGCAATCTCACAGACCCAGACATTTTTGCATTTGATACATCCTCCGCAAACAACTCGTTGTCGCCCACCGTTTCCTCCTCATCGATGACGATCAGAGCCTCCAGCTTTTTATCCTTCGCCCGCTCCGCCGCCTCCTTTGCCCGCAGCCGCGCCTCCTGCTCCAACCGGATCCGCTCCTCTGCTTCTTCTTGTTCCGCCTTCGCGATCATTTTTTCCACAAACGGAAGCAGCGCCACCGTGCCCCCCGGAAACTCGCGGCGGACGACTCGCAGCGTGAACAACTCCGCGGCTTCCCACATCGCTTGCGTCAGCGCTTTTGCACTCATTCCGTGCTGGGAGGCGTAGCGCCGCCAGAACGCCTTCGTCTTCTCCTCCAGGGCCGCGAGGTCCAGGTCGTCACCGGGTTCCAAGTCCATCTCAAGGTCGAAGTAGTCGGCGTGGTCCTTGTCCAGATCGCAGCTTTCCACGTCCCGTCGCCTTCTGCGCGGCTCTTCTTGAGCAGGAGCTGGGGCCTGTTCTACTTGCCGAGCTTCTACGTCCACCACCAGCCCGATGTCATGATCTCGTTCCAACTTCTGCTGTTGTTGTTGTTCCAAAAGCGGTTTATTATTCCCGATCGCTCCTTGTCCTTCTGCAGCTTGCGCAAACTCCATTCCCGACCGGGGACTTCTGATCTTCAGGGGTCGCCCTGAGGATGCACCTCCGACCGCTGGCGAAGACCTTTCGGCTAAGCGTGGCCCTGCTTGTTCGCCAGTCTGCTCTTTCTGCTCTCCGGAAGCGGATTCTTCCGGCGACGGGTCGTAGTGGAACGCGGGCGGAACCTATCCTGAGAAAAAAGTGCTACAGCTACACACTGTGACGCTGCAGACCAAGCAAAAGAGACAACCTCCGTCAACATCATGCAGGATAGGCGTACTAGAAGCCTTGTTTCATACGTGTTTTACCTTAAGATCTCCACCGCATTGCAAGCTTTCTCTCTCAGGCACAGAACATTCGTGATGCTGAAACTCCAAAAAACGTATGGCTGTAGCACTTTTTTTCTTGCATAGAACCGCCTGGCCCTTTTCCTCGTTCTCGTCCACGACGCGCTGATTCGGCGTTCGGGCCCCGTCATCGTCCGAGTTGTACCCGAGGAGCTCCTCTCCGTGAAACAAGTCTCCGCGGCCTTCGTCCTCGTTTGCTTTACTTCTTTTCCCGCCCTCGGGAGTCAAATTCGCAACGTCATCAAATATAGACATACCTCCTGGCCCCATGCCCATCATGTCATCAATTATAGACACACCTCCCGGAAAATCGTCATCGCTATCCCGGTATCCTGAGAAAGAACGTCCACAACCGACTAAATCTGTCATGCAAATTGGAACTATCTGCATGGGCATCATGCTACTCATGGACGTCTCTCATGCACAGCTGCCGCTGCATGAGAAGCATTTTGAAAATGCTATATAAGGGCATATAATGAAAATTCCACTATCATACTTATGAGGGCATCTCGCAATTAGTCACACAGTTTCAACTTGTTCCAATACATAGGGTTCAGGACAAGGTGCGCAATTTGTATGCTCGTATTTGTGCTGCATCGTAATGCATAGCCAAGAACGACTAATGCACTACGTATGTCATGCTGATGCGAAGTTCACAAGCACAAAGCTTCTGGATTCATTTAGCTAGCGTGATGAAAAAAGGGCGCCGACGTTTTTACACAGGATACGTCAACAATAATTTCATTCTCGCTTTCGGATGCAGAGACCTGGTTACTTTTATCCCGGCTCGGTGCCGCTGCTCTGCTCGCTGCGCGTGCCGCCGACATTTGCTGGCTCCGTAGCTGCTGCTCGGTCATGAAAAGCTCCTGGTCGTAGCAAAATTTTGCGAAGTGCGCCGCATGGGTATTCGGCGCACTGTCCTTGTCCCTTTTCGCGGCTGGCTGGAAGCCTGCGGCCGGAGCTGCAGACGAAGAAGCTGCACGGTTGAAAATGTTCGCACTGCTCGAGGAAGACGCTGCTCTGTCGGCCTTTGCCTGGACAGCCGCCGGGTTGAAGTTGAAGTTGGCCAACTTCGACCGCTTCTTTTCTTTTTTCCCCTCCTCCGCATAGTCGTCTTCGCTGTCATCGCCGACATTATTCAGACCGAGATCGATACTCCGCGATGCTTTGTCGTTGCTGTGGTCCTGTCGAAAGATGATATGCGCGTCGTCTTTGCTTTTTCCCTCCATCCGGCGCCACTGCTTGCCCTGGTGCAGCCGGTCCAGGAAGGACTCGATCTTGATCATGTTGCCTTGATTCTGGATGTGCTCCCACAAGCGGGCGTCTTCGTGCTTCAGCGCTAGTCGTTTGCACAGTTTGAATTTGTGCCGGTCCTGTACGTCAATTTTTCGGTAGATCACCCGACCGGAGCCGTCGCTTTTGATCCGGGCCAAAAAACGATGGGACACGGAACCTGTGCCGTCACCGAAACGCGCGCACCTGTAGTAGTGTTCGAGCCGTTCGATTTTGGATGAAAGCGCAAACGCATGATACACTTTTCATGATCACGAGGAGAGGAATCTTCAGAACCAGCTGCGACTGAAAATAGTGAGAGTGACAGCGTCGCAGACAATGAGATTTCCACACGCGTGCTCTATTTCGATACTACGGCTACGGACATCGCGAGAAAAATTCAAATTGGTACTATGTTGGGCGGACTGTTCTAGTTATTATCTCATATAATTCGAACGCGTAAGCGTAACGAATCTACTGAAGGAGGCTCTAAGTAGTACAAGTTGTGGACGACGATCCAGTCCGTGTAGCCTCCGAAGGACACCCGGGAGCCGCGGTTGATGGGCTTGACGCTCCTCCTTTTCCTGAGGCCCATCGGGCGCCTCCTCCGCCCCGCTCCAGCACCCTCGACGGCGGAGTCCGACGTGTAAGCGTCATCGGAGGAAGATGACTCCGCAACAGCTGGTCGCTTTGACATAATTTTCGAGGACGAGGCACTAGGCTCAATATCAGAAACGAGATAAATCAAAAGTGCCAAAAAAAAGTTGGCAGATAGCTAGGTCTTCAAAAAGTATCTTTATGGGTCTACTTTCTCAGTAGCAGCACCGTCTGGCTGGCACTCCACTCAGTGCAGAAGTGCATTGGAGTTCGTCGCTCTTTATTTCTCATATACCGCTCAATCTTTTTCTCTGTTGAGGTTCGCGTTTTTGTTTACAGTTCATACAGTGTATAGATCAGCGTCGGGATCAACGGCAGCTAGGTAGTTCCTTCATATGGATCCACGACTGTTTTTCCTTTTCTCAGGCTGCCGCACCTCGTCAAGGCGCAACCACTGGCACTGAAAATAGAAGAGCACTTTTGTTGCTTAAAAATATTTCGCGAACGCGTTAAGCTTGAAGCGCCAGCTTTGCGCCAAGTAGCTTTCTAGGATCAGGGTGGTCTTAGATCAGCAATGGAATAGCTCGACTGCCTCTGATTGCCTTCTAAAAGGTAAGGACATTGGTTCGGCGCGCGTGACCATGTGGAACTCGAACGAAGCCTGGATTTGATCTGGAAATGGGCTACTTCTCGTCTGATTGTTTTCAAGAGAGCAGGGCCCAGCTGATGGCACATGTTTTTCCTCATCTTATTTTCGCATTCCTCGTCGCTATCTCTGAAAAGAGTCTCGTCATGCGGATTCCACCATTCAATATAAATCAAAACTACGCCAAAAAACAAAAGAAAGAACCCGAAATACACATGCCAAAACGCAACCGAATCTGTACGAGCTGCTTGGCGTCCGAAGCCAAAACTTTGCTGGCTTTGCTTTGCCCAGCAGCTGCTCTGGCGCTGGCGTCGTCGGTCGTCCCATGTTGGAAAAGAAAAAAAAAGGAAAAAAAATGAAAGGTATGTGAGTCTTTATCTTTAATTTCTCCCATTGCTACTTTCGCTTCGACCGCGCGGGCGTACTTTTTGGGAAAAGAAAAGTAAAAGAGCTGCGTTTGATTCAAATAAAGGACTGCGATCTTGTTCAGCGCAGTGTCTACATTGATGCTTCCTAGGCTTTTGTGTTCGTGTAAAGTTTTTTTATTCCGATTATTTATTGAAAAAAAAACTCTGACTTGACTTGCGCGCACCCCTTTACACCGCCCTAACCAGCATCCTACTCTGCTTCGCCTTCAACCTGGCGTTCTGCAACCGCAGCGGATGTCCTCGCTTTTTCAACAACCCACACACCCGCGCTTGCTTGCACACCGCAGTCGGCCGGTCCGCGATGTGGGGCTCGAAGCACTCGACGTAGCAACTCTCCGGGATCGTCATGATTTCCTCTTTTTCCAACAGACTGTGCGTGATGTTGTTTGTCAGGTAGCTAGTTGGCAGCACCGTGTTCATCAAAACTTCCCGTGTCCCGCCAACCAACCCGTTCTGGATTTTCTTCAACAATTTCAAAATCGTCTGCTCGCTGTTTAGCTCCGCGGTGTAGTACAAAACGGCGATGAGGTATGGGAGTGTCAGGTTTGAAATCGTCAGAGTTGAAATGATTTGTCATGCATAAAATGCGATACAAAAACTGACTCTATTGCAGAGGACGCACGGGAGGCAGAGTATAGTCCTGGTAAGGGTCAAGCGTTGGACTGCTGACTAGCATGACAGAAGGCAGCTCCTTTGCCCTAAACCGGATGACAGACTCGCTTCCAGGACCGGGAAAATTTGTCATGCGACGACTACAACTGTAGGTCTAACTGGTATCCGTTTTATGCATCGCAAATCATTTCAACTTTGACGATTTCAATCCTGACAGTTCCATATGAGGCACTTGGCTAATTCCTCATTGTCGTTCAGCCCGTCACTATCCAGATCCGTGCTGTCTATGGCGGCGTCCGCAATCTCCGTGGTTCCCCCCTGCGTCTTCACGTCCACGATTTTCGCGCACTTTCCCGCCCAATCAAACTCCGTGCCGAAGTTGGGCATGGAGTTCAGAAATTGGTGATTCGACAACTCCTCAACGACGGTTCGGAGTTGTTGGAATTCGTTTGCTGTGAATTCGGCTTCCATCATGGCGGTGACATTTTTCAAGTTCACCTGCTCGGACATTGCATTCGTCGTTGACCCGTAGAGGTTCGTCAGTTCCGAATTCGTATCATCCGCAATGTTGTTGCCGCCGATCACAAGCATTTCGCGTTTCTTGAATTCCAACCTGTATTTGCAATCGAGCCCTGCCCGCTTCAAATTGTTCTTGTTCTTCTTCGACAAAGTTGGGAGCAGCATCGCTTCGTAGAACAACCTGCAGGAAGTAGACGCTGCGTCAGAATTATGTTGCGCAGAGCCTGTTGTTGAACTTGAAGTTGAGACTAGGCCTGTTGTACTGAACAACCCCTTCATAAACTCCACCTCCAATGGGAAGGTCGGCGTCCCGCCAACGGCTGCTAATGCAAGGTTGAAATTATACCACTGGATGGAGTAGGCGTCCATGTCCTTCTGCAGCAGTCCCATCGCGTTCTGCTTCGCCTCCCTGACCGCGGATCGCATCAACAGTTTGTCGAACACGAAGTTGTTCATTTGCCTTATCTTATCCTGCTTCATCTTCTGTTTTCGGCACAGCGCGGGGTAATAGACTTTCTTCGCCCCGGAATTGTGGTAAAACTCCTTGTTCGAAGCCTTCGCGTTCGTTATGGACACCGTGTTCGTGTCCGCCGCTCCGTCGTCGTTCACGTCTTCGATCAAAACTAAATCGGACTCGATCCCATCCTCCGCAAGGCTGTCGCAGTCGAAGGTGTCCTCTATGAAGACGTCCACGCACCCAGTCGACCTTTTGTCGAAGAAGTTGAATAACACCGCCAGGTCCTCTTCGGGCAAGAAGTAATCCGACTTGGTCTTGTCGCATTTCTCGTGATCCAAGCAATTCGTGCTTCTTTCGTTCAACCGCATGAGGAGTGAATTTTTCGCCTGCACTAACTCCGACTGGGATAACTTCGGTGGCTGGGTCTGGGTGCCGGTGGAGCTGGTGTAGACCTTCAAATCCTGAATGTCATCGATAAACGCGTCGGCAAGTTTGTCTTCCTGGTTGCTAGCAGAAATCGCCAAATCGAACATCCCCAGCAGTTGTTTACTGTTCTTCGCGGATTTCTGCAGTAATTCCCTCTGCACAAACAGTTTGAACTTCTCGAAAGACAATTGCCAGGGTAAGCAGCCGCTGGACTTGAGAAAATAGCAGTCGTGTTTGTTGTAGAACGGGTGGTTTTTGGGCAACGCCTGCAAGTTTCCCGCCCCGTTCAATTCCGAGGGAATGATGGTGTCTTTTGTTCCGAGCTTTCGACCACGCAATAATGGGCCGTCGATGTGGAGGATTTGGTTCGTGTCGGACAGACGGCAGACGGGCTCAGGGTTGTAGTTTCTCCCGATACTGGTAGCTCCTTCAACCGTGGTTTTTGAAACAACTGCTGTTGGGAAGAAATCCAGTTGCAGCATCGCTTTTTCCGCGCAAGATCTTTCCACGCAGTTCATCACGTCGGGGATGCAGGATTGGAGCACTTTCTCACTCGGTTCGCAAATTTTCTTCTCCCCAGGAGAAGACAAAAATCCCGCAAACACCTTTGGTAGCTCAAACAGCATCTCCGAGACGCAGAACGCAACCAATTCGTCGTCACTACTCGTCAACCGGTCCGGGTGCGCCGCACCGGCGGAGGTTTGCGCGGTTTTTGTGGTTTTCTTCACATAGGAAATCGAATAGTAAGAGGACGCTTGGGTGATGGGGTAGGCGGTGGTGTTTCGTGCGTCGTTTTCTAGTGAGTCCAACATGGTTATGGCTTTGGATAAAGCGATGGTCGCGTTAGAGCAGTGGGTGGCCAGGTTGGTGAATCTCTGCAGCTCGTCGTGGTAAAAAAAGTTCAGCGATCCGTGGGTTTCCCGTTGAAGAGTGGTCGGGGCGGTGGCCTGGATAGTTTACTTCTGTTGGTTCCACTAGTACGAGTTGTGATTGTGCAGTTTTGTTTTTTCGTACAAAAAACGGCACAACTAAAAGGAAAAAACATCAAACCAGCAGCAGGGACGAAATTTTGTTCTGTAACTGTATGTTGTCACTTCACAACTCTATACCATTTTTCCATCGATCTCTGCCATCTCCTCCCCGAGTAGTTTCGAAAGCATGTTCTTCTGAATCTCCAGCAGCGGCATCAAATCACTGATGATGTCCGCAAAAACCCTCGTCTGCTGCAAGTCCAAGCCGGTCGTCACCTCGTTCTCCTGCTTCAGAAACTGCAGGATGTCTAGGTTGGAAATCGACACTTTGTCCACGTTTGTCTGCTTCATCTGCAATTCTCTTCTTCTTGTGCTGTACAAATGCTGCTCCATCAAGGTGGCGATCTTTTCCCTGGCTTCGAAAATCTTCCGCTTCTGCTCCTCATTCGAGAGGGTTTCAAAAATCTCCGTTGAAGTCCTCGCAGTGACTGGAGTTGCTTGTGCGGAAGTTGAAAGCGCGGAGTGGGTCGTGGCTTTGTAGTCGGTGGTGATCGCGGTTATGACGTCTTTGTCAGCGGTGAAGGTAGCTGGTTCGCATGACAAATAATCTTCTGCAGTTGTACTGTCAGCCACCAATTTCCTCCCTTTGGTTTCCAGGTCGCTTGCGAGAATTTTTCCGTTCAAACCATTCACCCCGAACGCCTGGAGACAATACGCTACAGCCTCTTCCGGGTCGAAGTTGTTTTTGAAGAAACCAAAGTATACCGCGCATTCTGGCACCGTGACAAACCCGTTCCGGTCGGGGAGAAGGAAGGAATTCGCGATTTCTCCACCGAGGGTTGAGGACAACGCGTAGAGAGATTGAATCGACAAGACCGGGCTGGATGTTGTGCCACACTTGTTCTCGACATTCCTAACCAGAAGACTCGCCATGCGACAGAACTGTGGATCTGGTTTCTTTTCGCCACCGCCGCCTGCACCAGAAGTTGTCTTGCACAGGCCGAGAAATTCTTTCACCATGTCCAGGGTGAACTCCTTTGCCATGCCCGTCATTCCGGCGGACGAAGTCGCAAAAACAGATGCACTCTCCGACAAAGCCTCATCGAACAACTTCCTGCCGAAAATCTCACTTTCCGCATCCAGCGAGCACCGTAGCTTCCCGTTCTTGCACGCCGCCTCCGCCTCGAACAAGTCGATCGGGTGGTTGCGAATGGCCACCTCCCGCTGAAACTTTTCCAACACGAGCAGCGGGACGCAGGGCTCGGCTAGCAGAGCCAGTTCGTTGTTCCCGTTGAACAGTTGATCTCGCAGCAGCGGGGAGAGTTTTTGCAGTTCCGATTTGTACACTTTTCCGGTCTTCTTATCCACGGCAAGGTTCAGAATTTCTCTCTGCAATTGGTATTCGTGCTCGGACATGAGCCAGTTCGTTGTGGCGCCGCTACTTGCGGTTGTCGGCTGGGCGGTGTAGATCAACTCTAATCTCTCTTCCAATTCGTGGTATAATTGCGTGAAATCCGGACAGGGAAGGGCGAAGTCGGTCAAGTAAAAGTTTCGATGCGACCCGAATTCCTTCACCGTCGACATGGACGCGATCTGGTAGTAGTTTAAAGCTTTGTTCCCGACGCAGCTCATGCCGTCGATAAACGGGTCGCAGGGACAGTTTTCCCCGTAGTCGTCCCCGCACTGCTGTTCCGCGGAGGTGGCGTTCTCGCCCTGAGCCTGGATCGCGGCGGTCAAATTGCTGTTGTAGATCTTGTATGGGTAGAGTTTCCTGGGATTTGTAGAAGTTTCGTGATCTTTACTACTTTGGGATTGTTGTGTTAGTAGTTTTCTGTCGCGTTTGATGCTGTTGAGAATGTGCTGCTGCAGATGGTTCTGGTTCAGATCTGTTCGTCTTGCGGTGGGCGCAGCAGAAGAAGAAGAAGAAGAAAAAGTAGATGCCGCTCTGCCGCTTGTTCTACTTCTTGCCAATACCACTTTCCGCAAATTCTTGTCCACGATCCGCTTTTGGTAAACGAAGTCGTGCAAGTCCTGTCTTGTCGGGACGGTTATCCTTGTTGTGCCTCGTGCGGCTGCTCGGGCCGCCGCCGCGCTCCTTGCTTCTACCTCTTCTTCAACCTCTTTCAGCTCCCTACGAACTCTTCGTAAAGATGAGCTCACATGCGTTTCCTCCAGAATGTCGGTGAAATCCAAGCCTCCTTTCCGGATCCACAAATCCACAATTTCTTTGTGGCACTGCTTCTTCCGCAACATACAGGGGCACTGCTCGTAGTCTTGCAAAGTGCAGGTGAAGGCGCCCGTTCGTTTGTGGATGCAATCGCACTCTTCCAAGCAGCCCGGCCCGAACTCCGCGGATTTCAAGTTTGCGGTGAGGTCCTTGTTGTAATCTGCTAAATTCGATGCTGTCCCAGTCGTGTTGAACAAGGTCACCCCGCGGTACTTGCCCTGCTGGACCCCCTCGGTACTAATGGGCAGCATCTTCTCCTGCAACGCCAAGAGTTGGCACGCTTCCGGGGCTTCGTTAATCGGCGCGTTGAGCTGGTACTGCGCGAACTCCGCGAAGGAGACTTCGTGGCTTTTTGCGCTGGTTTTCATCAGCTGTCCGAGGTTGTTGAATTCAAACGAGGTCGGGTTGAGAGCGGCGGCAAGCGGGGTGATGAAAGATGGAGCGGTGGGGGCGGCTGTAAAAAAACAGGGATGAAAGTAAATGCGGCACGCAACATGATTTTCGTTTTCCAAGAAAACCACGTACAACTTTTTACTTAATCATCACTCAGAAACCGTACACCGAGCACGTTGGCGAAACAAAAAATGAAAACGACCCAAAGGTGGAGGTGTTCTTCAGAACATCACGCTACCAGTCAATCAATACTCGAAACAGCGGCATATTCCAACGCCCTTCTTTTTCTGGTCGGGATCGCGCAGTACTCTGTATCCCCGTTCTCCAGAGCGGTCATCGCGTCAAAATCGTTCCGGATCGCGATCTCGGAACTGGGCGAGAGCAACCGGTTGACCTGACACGCAGTCAACACGCAGGAATCGATGATGGCACTGTAAGTGGAGGACTTGTAGCCGCTGTAGGTGTTCTGGGCCGCGTGACCGGCAAGGAATCTAGTAGAAGTTGTTGCACTGCTGCTGCTCTGGTTTTCATCGTTATTTTCCTGAAACTCGACTTCCAGCCCCTCCAGGAGTCTACCCGTCATGCACTTCATCTTTTTCGGAGCGAGAAAAAGCATTTCCTCTCTCGCGTTCAAGCACGCTTTTTCGATTTGCGACACCGACAGCTTCATCAACTCCGCTAGCAACTGCACCTCGGACCCGTACAAAACTTGGCTGGTGCCGTCCTGCGGACAGGTCTGCGTGCTCAGAAGCCGGGTTTCGATCCGCTTGTTGGCTTCGGACTGGTTTTCGAGCAGCTTTCTCCTTGTGCTGCTTCTTCCAGGTGGGACGATTTTTGCAGCATCTGCAGATGAACCACTTGCGATTTCTACTGGTCGGTCCGCGGAAGTAGATACAGAAGCTCCAGATGGCGCACGACCAGCATCGTCGTCGCCGGCGTTTTGGTGTGGTCCTCCCACCTCGTACACCTTCAACCTCCTGCCCCTGGCTTCCTCCAGCAACCGCCGCTGCATTTGTGCGGTGGGCTGCAAGGGCGACGGGATTTGCGACAGCATGCTGGCGTCCGTGTTGACATGGAAGAAGACGGAGCAGATAAACGTGCTCGAGCCGCAGTTCGTGTTCAGCAGGGTTTGGGAGTTCTTGGAAATCGCACTGCCGCCGATCACCTCCGCCGCGGCCTGCAGAGTGGCGGAGTTCTGCGCAAAGCACTGCAACGTGTTCAGCTGGTGCGGGGTCGGGGTTAGAAGGTGGGAGCCTGAAGATAAGAGTTTATCAAAATAGCTTGCTGGTCGGGCTCGCGCTCGGGTGGTTACTTAATAATTTTTTGCGCATCACAAAGAATTTCGAGCACTGCGTCAAGTTCCAGCAAAAAATGTTGATCTTTATCATAATTATGTCACATCATGAATACTCAGACGCCGTTTTTCCTCTTCTTCTGCCCGAACAGGTTCGGTACTGCTCTGGCTCTGGAGGATTTCGACATTTTGATTCTCGTACACGGTTCGTACAACGCCAATCTCCTCCCCACTCTCCTCTTCCAGCACCCGCCGGTAATCGTGACAGCTGCCGCTCTCGGCCACCGCTTTCAGCTCCGCCATCATCAATTTCAGCTCCTGCTTCGGGTCATTCGCGCGCTTCACTTGGTTGTTGGTATCAATCTCGAACTGAAACACCTTCTGAAACTTTTTCAGCTCCGCATCGGGAAGGGAGGCAAAAAAAGCGTCGGTCTTCAGCTCGGTTAAAATTGTACTACTCGTCCCAGAAACGTCGAAGTACGTCGGCGGCACCGTTGTCCCGGCGTCGTGCGTCACGCCTCCGATAGAATTGGTCGACGTTGCCAGCTGGCGTCGTTCGTGTTTCAATTTTTCCCCTGCTTTCAAGTTTCGGTTCTGAAGCCAGTCGTAGTAAGACGAAAACTTGTTCTGAGCACTGGCGTCCTGTGGCGTCAATGTTGATGAAGATGATGCTCTCGCCTCGCTTCTAATTTCTATTTCCTTCAAAAACCGTTTCTCCTCGTTTCTTCTCCTTTCCACTTTGTGCACCAGTTCTTCCAACAGCATCCTACCCCCGCAGGTCTTTTCGTGCAGCAAACTGACCTGCGCTAGCGGTAGAAACGCTTCTTTCGCCGACAGCTTCCCATCCCCATTGGTATCGCGGTAGAGGAACATGCACTCAGAAAACTCCGCCGCGACGGTTGCAGACCCGGCGACTTGCGGGTTGTACAGGGACGGGTTGGAAACGTACTCTTGTCGGGTGATGAGAGAGGCAGAAGCTCTTGTTGGCAGCTTAAAACTACTGGTTTCCTTTTCTATTTCCTGCAACGTCACCTTTCCGTCGTTATTGAAATCCAATTTCGTGAAAAGCTTCTTTTTCATCGTCTCAGACATCTCGATTGCGGAAGGGAGTTTTAATTCTGTCGCTCGAAACGCGACTTTCTGATTCGCCGGAATGAGGATTTTCGCTTTCGCTGGTTCTTCAGTCGCCGATGTCTCCGCCACCGCTTTTTCTAGATTTTCCGTCATCGGAATGATCTTTCTCACCGCGCAGTCAATCTCACTCGCGGTAAAGGCGGAGTCAGAGTCGAAGTCGCATTTCTTCACCATGATATCCGCGATGAGGTTTCTCGTGTTCAAGTTCTCGTCCTTCATCAGCGGCTTCAATACGTTGAACTGTTCCAACTCTTTCAAAAGCACCTCCAGCGGCATGCTCTGGCACAGGTTCGGCGACGTTTCACACACCCGGCCGGTTGCGATGATTCGTGCCTTGTCTAAATTGCTGTACACGATTGAGGAGGCGTTGGATGCAGTTGAAGATGTTGACGTGTGTGCGGCGAGATTCCTGATGTTCCTACTTGGTGTAATCCCGAGGATGTTCTGCACTTGGGGCAAAGTAGAGCCTTCCAGCATGTTCGCGATCAACCGACTGCCGCAGATGCCGAACAACTGCAACTCCCCCGGGTCGACGTACTTGTCGCTGTCACAATCCAAAGATTGGAAGAAACTGACCGACGCCGGTTGGCGGTTCAGTGCTAGTTGATACGCGTTATACTCCGAAATCGAGCAGCTGTGCTTGGGCCGCGTCATCGAACTCGCGTTGAAACTGGTGATATCAAATGCAAAAGCATCGCACTCGTACTAATCGCAGGTCTGCATGACAAATCTGATTCCCAAGGTAAATCAGCATGGCAAATTTCATTTTTCATGCTCAGGAAGTTTGTCATGCGATTTGTACTAGGACGGTGCTTTTGCAACGCATAGGTGACAGAACTCACCAAATTTGCACAGTAGTCGAACAAGTTCGCACGCGACGGAAAGGCGATGTTGGATCCCCCGGTGGGTGGGTCGAAGGTATTTGCTTTGACGATCACCTTCGGCGTGCAGTAACTGCATTTCCCGATGCCAAAGGGGCAAATCGTGTCCGAAACGTTGAAGTTGGTTTGTTGAAACGTTTGCTCCAGCGACGCCGCGTTGGACATCAGAGCCTTTTCCCGGGACAAAACGACGCCAGATTTCACGTCCTTCTTCACGACAAAGACCTCGTCTTTCACCGCGTGGTTCGTAAAATCGTTCGGGAAGACATATTGTCTTTGGAACCGCAGCTCTGTTCTCAATTTTTGACCATTCGTTCCTGTCTGTTCACCCGGCAGCTTGCAGCTCACCACCAACGTATTCCCGATACCAACTGTCGCACCGACCCCGATGCCATCGGGGTCGGAGCTGCTATCGACTTCAAATTTCTCGCACTTTGCAAAGTTCAGAAAGGAGTTGCAGCCGGTGGCAAGCGGGATGGTAACGGATTTCAAATTCGCGAGGTACGTCAAGGGAAGGGAGAAGATGTAGTTGAAGACCTCTACGGCTCCGTACTTTGTCAACACCGCTTCCGCCACGGCAACCCTGTACCCCTCGGTTGTCAGCATCATGCCCTTCTCCACCACACCGCACTCCTCGTCCCCGTCCTCGTTTTCGGTACACTGGGCGTTATTTAGCGGTGGGTCTTGGGTGTAGGTGAGTTGCTGGAGGGATCGGGTCTGGCGGGGGTGCTGTGACAGCAGGTGGGATTCGTCTGCTGTGGTCCTTCTTGCGCCATCTTTTTCTGTTGTACTAGGTTCTGCACTATCGTCCACTCCCCGGACCTGCTTTCCGAGCTGGTAAAAAAAGTTGTTCATGCGCTTTGGAAGACCGCAAAGGGATAGTAGGGCACTAACAGACCAGGAAGCCACGTCTGCAGCGTCATCATCGGGCACAGCTTCGGCTGCTAGCAGTAGGCCTCTCGCACCAGCTCCTGCTGGTGACTGATCGACTTCCTGTAGTGAAGCAGACCACAGGCTGCTGCTCGACGACAAAATCGATAATTCTGAGCCAGCAACTCCTGCGCTATCTGCTTCCGTCAATGCTCTCCTCCTTCTTGCCTTTGTCGGGTCTCGTGGGTGCATGTCTTTTGACTGCTCGTTCGCTAAAGCGGTCATCAGGAAGTTCAGAATTGCTAAAATGCACAAGAAAATCACGGACCCGAGGAGAAACTTTCGGATGACCCGGTGCTGCTTGCTCATGGTCTGCTGCGCCCGCGCCGCGTGGAGAACGTCGGTCATGTACACAATGCCGTTGCTGTTGTGGTCCCACATGGCCATGATCTCCTGCACCTTCGCGGGGAACTTGGTGTAGTCCATATGGAAGCCTCAGGTTGGAAATGCTCAAAGTTGCAATGATTACTATTTAAACTGCAGCAAACCAGAACTTTTGAAGCTTTTGGGTGTGTTCTGGGGTATGCAAAGTGGGTCCGTAGCATCGTGATTTGTAATTTGCAGGCCACACCCCGAACACACCCCAGACAGACCCCCGACACACACCCCCCGACAAGAACTGCTGAAGCTTTGGGGTGTGTTCTGGGGTATGCAATGTGGCTGCGTAGCATCGTGATTTGCAATTTGCAACACACACCCCGAACACACCCCGGACACACCCCAGACACACCCCCGACAAACCCCCCCGTCACACCCCAGGGACCCCCGTCTCACACCCCCGACACACCCCAGACAAACCCCCGGCGCGCCCTCGGCTACCACATTCAGAGCAGGGGGCAGAGAGCCTGGGTATCCAGAGCAGAAAACATACCTGGATCCGAATCGAATAAATATCCAGAGCGGGCTCAAGTGTCCGGAGTGAGCGGGCTTCTCGCACGGCCCAGGGGCAAAAGCCCTAGGTCAGCGCGGGGACTCGGTCCCCGCGTCATGACCTAGGGGCCAGCTTCGGGCGTTTCCCGGAAACTAACCGCACGGCCCAGGGGCGAGAGCACAGGTCAGCGCGGGGACTCGGTCCCCGCGTCATGACCTAGGGGCCAGCTTTGGGCGTTTGTTTCCCGGAAACTATCTAACCGCACGGCCCAGGGGCAAAAGCCCTAGGTCAGCGCGGGGACTCGGTCCCCGCGTCATGACCTAGGGGCCAGCTGCTGCGGGCGCTTCTTTCCCGGAAACTAACCACACGGCCCACGGGCAAAAGCCCTAGGGCAGCGCGGGGACTCGGTCCCCGCGTCATGACCTAGGGGCCAGCTTTTGGCGCTTCCCGGAAACTAACCGCATGGCCCAGGGGCAGAAGCCCTAGGTCAGCGCGGGGACTCGGTCCCCGCGTCATGACCTAGGGGCCAGCTTTGGGCGTTTCCCGGAAGCTAATAAATCGCACGGCCCAGGGGCAAAAGCCCTAGGTCAGCGCGGGGACTCGGTCCCCGCGTCATGACCTAGGGGCCAGCTGCTGCGGGCGCTTCCCGGAAACTAACAGCACGGCCCAGGGGCAGAAGCCCTAGGTCAGCGCGGGGACTCGGTCCCCGCGTCATGACCTAGGGGCCAGCTACAGACGCGGCGCCGGCGCTATCGGCACCCGGCCCGGCGCCAGCTTCTTCCTTTCTTTTCTCTTTGTTTCACTGTTCGCGGTGGGCCAGCGGATCTAGTGTGGGCAAGCAGAGGGGCTCCGTCCGTAGGTCTGTCGCGGATCAGGGAGCGCAGGACACACAGAGGCACCGAGCTGCAGGGGCCTGCCCGCCCTGTGCGCCACCACGACAACCCCCGAACTCGTCCCAGACAAATGCCGGAAGGTCGCCGCACGGGGACTCTGTCCCCGTGCTCGGACCTTGTTTGTAATGCATGAAATGCGACGCATGGAGTGACTGTATTGCAGAGCACGCAATGGGGGCTGACTATTGTCCTGCTACGTGTTAAGGATTGGGCTGCTGACGAGCATGACAGAAGGGCACCCCTTTGCACCAAACAGCATGACAGACACGCTTTAGGTGCCCCGTAAATTTGTCATGCGCCGACTAGAAATGGAGCGTCAACCGGAGTCGTTTTTTTGCATTACAAGTTATTTCAACTTTGAGAATTTTCCGCCTGAGGCTTTCATAGTCCAGTTCTGCGAGGTTCAGTTTCACCGCGAGCTTCTCCCGGCTCATGTAGTCGAGCATATCCTCCACCTCCTCTATTACAATGAAAAATGCCCTCCACCCCGAATTTGGGAGCATTTGTATTGCAAACCTTTCCAAATGAAACACTCGCCCTCTTGCATCTATCAGCATCACAGATTTCCGATCGCGCTCGTGAATAGCAAAAATTTGCATTGCAAAACATCCCAGCAAGAGTGGCGCTGGTCATGCAAGCGATGCGATACTTGCCTAGACTCTGCATCAGAAAGATTCATACTCCTTTCATGCATGACAAAAAGTTTCCATTTGGAAACTTCGCATGACAAATTTTTGCAAATCTGGGGGTAGGGGCATTTTTCATTGTAATATCGTCCCTCTCCAGACCATCCCCATCCGTGTCCAGCCTCTTCGACCTATCCTGTGCAAAAGTACTTGTTTCGCACTCGTTGTACTTCTAATCGCAGTCTTCAGTACGCACGACAGATCTTCTACGACCCGCACGACAGACGTACCCGCACGACCACAGATCGTCCTTTTCAGTTTTACATGACAAATTGATGCATCATCTTGAGAAAAGTTGTATAATGCGATTTGTGCTGGGACGTCGACGTACTTTTGCAGTGCATAAAGTCCCTCCCGCAACCATTCCGGCACGTTCAGATTTTCGACGTCGACAATCTCGATTTCGGAAAGATCGTCCGTTTCCTCGATGCCCTTCATCGTCACCTCCTTCGGGGCGACCTTACCCCCGGGAGCAACCGTCATCTTCGTCTCACTGGAGGAGCAGCGCAGCTGCTTCGAGGTTTAGTAGCGCTGCTTCGACGACGTTATGCTATGGGGGTGGTATCGCTGGCACTTCCCGCGCTTCCCGTTCACCACTCTAGAACGAGCTGTGCAGGTGCGCCATTTTTTGTTGAGAGAGTTGTGCGTTCATACCAACAAATACGGAGGGCGACACTTCATCTTGACTCCTTTCACGGACTTCTACCCGGTACATCGACAGAAGTCGTCCTCAACGCAACACTCCTACTTCCAACTGCAACAAGAACGCAAGCTCCCTCCTCGTCTTCCGCCTCACACTCAGAAGAAAAACTGGCCACTCACACTCGGCGCTTGCAAAAGATAACAATGCCACCTCTACTTAGACTGCTGACGTAGTTCCAATCTTCGTGACTACTGTTCTAGTTTCATCATTGTGCTAGTAGTAAGCACACTCTCAACATTTCAGCATTAAAGGTCACAATCATTACAAGGCGGATTTTGACATGTCGTTAACCTGTACTTTGAAACGCTTCGTTTGAAACAACTGTCATTCATTGTGTTCCCAAAAATCTATATGTCGATAAGTTTGTTTGTTTAATGTTGAAGCGTGCAGTTGTTAAACATCATACATTCATTCGGAAGCGCACGTGTTGGAGGTAACTGCAGTTCTACTACTTCAGAAGATAGTTTAGTCGAGCCCAAGAACTTCCACTTACTACTAATCTATCATTGGCTTGCTGCCAAAGGAGTAGTTTTTGATAACTCAACAGTGGCACTGTACTGAAACGAAACGCAGTGCCACGCCCCGGCCCCTTAGGCACAAGGCGGAGGCACAGGTGGAGGTGGCACAGAGTTGTAACGTCTTAGATTAAGAATAAGACTTGTAGAATCGCCGCTCGTCATTCATCTCTCTCACCTACGGTGCGCCGCGTTGCCCCATCTCCCCGCTCAACAGTGCTCCGAGCGCTTCGGACCCCTGTACATTCGGGTGCAATCCGTCTACGCCGTACAGCTCCGGCGTGTTTTCGCCCCGCAGCGTCATTTTCGTGTTAGTGAAATCGAGTTCGAGGCAGCCTCGGGGTTGGGAATTTTCTTGCATATTGCCATTGGCTCCTACTCCACCTTCTGCCGAAGAAATCGCGTCCAAAAATTCCTCACTTTTCACCAGTTTGTATAACGCCTGCGTCGACGCCTTCCAAAACCGGTCCAACAAGACCGCCATGGCGTTGTCTTTGATGTGTTTCGCGAGGTTGATTCCACTTCTGTTCACGTTGTTTCGTGCAGGTCCGTCGCTTTCCTGGTCGTCTCGACGACCTCCGAGCACTTTCCACATAACACCTCGGAAAAAGTACAGCCGCGGCCTCGGTAGGGATAAGATCACGACACGAATTTTCAATTTTCTTTTCCGCCAGGGGAGACTGCCGAGCTTCATTTGTTTTAGTTCCTTGACCGGCTTCGCTGCGCACGCCCTTTCCGTTAAATAACGCACATATGTCGGCAGGTACGCTTTCCAAAGCTTCTCGTACAGCACCGCAAACTTGCCGCCCCACAGCCGCATCGATTGCAGCATCTTGGCGACGAGATAATCCTCATCGGTGTAGTTTTTGTCCTTCAGTTCAGGCAGTTCTTCGTCGATGAATTCTTCCAAAATTGTCGGGTAAAAGTCATTTCCGGACACGTGCACGAACAGTGTGTCCCCGCGTTGCAGGTTCTCGCGCACGGAAGTGTCGTTCTTCACGACGGAAGTTGTTTTCGTGGTGGTGGCTCCGTCAGAAGTGGCGGGAGAGTTATTTTCATTGTCAGAACCTTGGCCTTCTTTGTTTTGCGCTCGTTCGACATCAAGCACATCAATGTTTCGCGACAGGAGACCACGCCCGAATAAAATTGCAGGCTTGATGGCGCCTGTGTTATCAGGGTGAGAGTCCGAGCGAGCAGCGACCTCTGGCGACTCTGCAACTTCTACCCTCTCATCTTCCTGTTTTTCCGCGCCTCGACGATCTCCATTTTGAGCACCAGAATTGACAACAACAATCCGGTCCTTTAGCGAGCTCCCTGCCTCCGCTGCCATCACCACTTGAGATAAAGGCACAGGACCATGGCTACTTATACTGGTATCAAAACCTCCACGACCGTGCTCTTTCTCCCTTTTTTCCCTTTCCTCCAACGCTTTTCGGTACAGGTAATAGTTGGCCCAGTAGGCCACGTCGGGCTTTTGCTTCTCCATAAACAAATCGTAGGAGAACGGAAGGTATCAAATGTAAAAGTGTTTGGGTCTGGAAGAGTCATGCTGTTTTTGCATGACGCAGAAGGTCTGGCATGGAAGCTCTAGCATCACAGGTTTCGAGAACCTTCCGCAATGCAGAATCCGCATGACAAGTCCCCTATTTTGCTGACAAAAAGTGGGAGCTTTTGCTACGTATGCATGAGAGACTTTTCTGTGTCCTGAAATACGCATTACAAGTTGCATTCTTCCAGACCCAGACATTTTTACATTTGATAGAAGGGAATTTTCCTTCAGTTCGGTGTTGGGAATTTCCAAAAACCCGCTGTTATCCAGCACGCTATCCCCGACGAGGAAGCCGAGCGAGTCGATGTGGAAATCGAAATGAGGTGGACCTGCGTGGTCTTCTGTCGTTTTGTGGTGTTTTCTACTTCTTCCCATATTCTCCCCGTACCGCAAGTTCTTGGCAATCTGGTCCACGAGAATTCCGCTGTGCCGGTTCTTCCTGCGGCCGTTGTTCTCACCATCGGAAGTAGTTCTCGAACTATTTTCTCCGTAATAGTACTCATCGAAGTTGATGGGAACCAGGGGCACGGAAAGCCGCTTGTCGTTTTCATTACCAGGAGATGGTGGTCCTTCGCTGCCACTTCTATTTGGATCAAAGTACCACACCAAAACGCCGACTAGCGCCCCGCACACCGCTAAACCTCCGAGACAACAGAGAAGGACCACCGCCCAACAAGGGAAGATAGGCTTCGGCTTAGTCGCCCGTAAGCTTAAAGAAGAGCTACTAGGTGAAGTAGAGCGGTGTGGTCGTGTGTGCGTGCGCAGCTCGTCCGCTCTCTTGCTCGTTTTTATCCTTGTAGAAGTCGAGTACGAGTAAGTTTCATCTACAGGATACGAAAACGAGGCACAGGAGGGAGATTCTTCTCGTGCTGCGTGATGATAAAAACTTGAACTTGTGTTCTTGCGAGACGACCCCACTGCCAAAAATGTCGTGCTGTCGCGAGGCAATTCAGACTCGGGAGTCTCGCCTCTGATGTAGGTGCGCGGCATGGTAGTTGGATATTCAAAGTATCAAGGTATGGAAATCAATTTTAAAAAGTCAGGAGTTGTTAGCTTCGCCTGCGGCTCCGGCTGCCCCAGAGAAACATTGAGCTTTTTAGTGAGGCTACAGGTTGAGGCTCTTGTATCCGTGACAACAAGAGGAAAAAAGTGTCGCACTGAAGTGAAAGTCAAGAATTAACACCACGATTAAGATCCTACAAAACACTCGGAACAAGCCCCGCTGAAAATAACGAGTTGGGTTGACAATGACATCGTTTGTGGTCTTCGCCATTTGATCCTGAACAATAGCAACTGCGTCCAGGAGATCTCCGTCTTGTTACCAGGAACTGAAGCGGGCAAGAAGTTATTTCCTCCGCGGAGACCCAAGTACTCAGCTCGCTGAGAATTTATCTTATCCGTCTATCTCATTTGTACAAAAGTTTACACGTACAGACCATTCGCGACATCTCGGCAAGGCACGCATTAATGTACAAATCAAAATCAAAATGTCCTCCAGGGTAGTAGATCGTACTCGGTATAGTATACGACGGCAAGCGCTTTGCTTTTTTTTCGATAGCTCTATTTGTACAGCGGTAAAGTAGTTTTTTCCTACGGGCGAGCTGGTGCTTTTTTTCTTTTTGATCATCATCAAATGGCGCAATTATTTTTACGCAGTGTTGCTGTTGGTACAGTGTGTGGCGTGAAACGCTGAAACAGGGATCGATGATCCTTACTGAACTGAGTGTTAAACGTTCGATCTGAAATTGTTGAATATTCTCTGTTGAACTATTGATGAATTCTGTTGAAACTTAATTAAAGATCTGCAGGAGGAGCCGCGGAAGGCTCTTCGTCTTTTGTAGAATTAGATTTTGAAAATTGAAGCTGAAACATAAGGTAAAAACATTCTTTCAGTAGACTGATAGTGTAGTGACTGGTATTGAGTTGAAGTCTAATCGTACAATTGTGTTTGACTCTGAGAAAGTTGAATACGTAAATTGTCAAGAGTGATAAACTGTTTTTCTTGTTGGTGCGTCAACCTTCTGAAAAATTCTGCGACACCTTCTGGGCTGCTGTCATCGATTTTTTCCGCTTCACACCAAATTGTAGTGAAACTCTTTTCCGTACTGGTGCTCTTCATGCTCTCCGAATGGTGTCGTCGGTCCGGAAGTAGTTTTGTCTCTGACAAGATTTCCCGTCGACGAAAGCTCGATCGAGACCAGCTGCTTCTCCTGAGGTCCACATCTACAGGATTCCGGTCCTTGTTGCGCGCCCGCAAGATCGCTCGCGGCATTGCGTGCTGCACCTTCTCTGGCACGCGCACGATCTTTTGGTGGCATTCCTGGATGACCAGGTACAAAAGAGCGGAAAAAATGTGCTTCGTTGACGACACTGTTGCGTTGGCCACGTTGAGAAGTGCTTGCGCTGCTGTTCTCCTCTTCCCTGTTATCTACGTCTACGTGCAGTTCTCCTCTTGGTGGGCCGGGAAAAAGATCTTCGGCTTGATCTTTGTCACATCTCTTGACTAGTGAACGCCCGTCATGATCCTCGTCCACAATTACCTTCACCGGAGAGACTTCAGGTGACGGCGTTCGCGGGCCCTGTTCTAGGTCAACTATGTAGTCTGACGTTAACATTGCTGGCCGACGGGAATGCGCTTGGTTTGGTGCCGGAGATGAAGTAGAAGATGAATGAGAATGAGTTGTGCAGCTCTCTGGTCTTTGTGAAGTCACTGCCCGGGGATCACTGGTCTGGTAGCTGCTCCTCCGAGCAGCTGCGCCACTTTCTTCACCTCCGGGCTTGAAAGTGTAGAAGCTCGCGGTCTTGTGGTTGTCCCACTTGCAGCTGCTTCTGTTGCCGCATTCTTCTCCAATAGAAGTTGTGTTTGAGTGTTGTAACTGAGTCGACTCTTGGGAGGCGGACGCCGATTCTGGTGACACCAAGAAGGAGCGGCTGCCTGAGCAAACAATAGTAGACGGCGTTCTTTCACTGTTGTGAGGTGCAGTTTTCGATGTGCCGAACCAAGTAGCACGGCTTGAAGATGAGCCGCCTGGTGTTCTTGACGCAGCTGGCCTGTTTTTCATGCCGTAGCTTTCCGCCTCCAGCTCCACCTGCCCCTGTCGGTAGCGTCTCAAAACCACCCGTGTTCCAAAAACCGCAACGAGCAGCAGAAAAAAAGCGGATACAGGTACTACTTCGAAATCGAGGAAGTCCGCCAAGAACACGAAATTTCGTGACTGCAGTAGTGTGATTGTGCTTCCTGCTTCTCGTCCGGACGGAGTTCTACTTGTATCCGCGTCATGCACAGCTGTTTCATCTTCAAGTCCAACATCTGCGGTTGTAGGGGAAACGGACGTCGACGGACGATGTTTCGTCTCTACTTCCTCAACTCCAACTCGTTGCAAGCCGGTCAAAGACAGGGGCTCCTCCACATTCGTCTTTCTGCCAGCTTTCGAGGTCGTTGACCCAAACAGGTAATCTTTGGTCAGCTTCTCGGCAAATTGCAGAAAACTTTCTTGCTCCACCGCTTCTTCATCATCTCCCACCTGTTTGTCCTGCTCCCCGGTAACGGAGAGCTTTCTGCTTTGGTGCGAAGTGGGCGAGGAAGAGGATACTTTTCTCGACAGAGATGAGGTAGAGGACATGGGCAACGACATCCAGACTCGGCTACTCGAAGTTGTTAAATCTCCAGCTTTTTCTTTACGCCCGATCGCGAGCCAATCCTCTCCAAACGCGGTCGCGGGAGCTGCAGTGGGAGCAGCCGGAGCTGCAACGGTGGCGACGACACTCGTTCCGTGGGAGGCGTCCTCCGTCTGCAGGGTGGAGGATGAAGCCGTGGCTTTTTGATCACTCGCTTTATTTTCACCTTGTTTATGCTGGTGCTGGTGCTTCGGGCCGCCACCATGTTGATGCTGCTCCTTCTTGTGCTCGTCGCGTTCTTTGTGTTCATGTTCTTTGTGCTCATGATGAGCCTTGCCTGCTCCATGATGCTGATCATGTTCCCCGCCGTGGTGATGATGCTTGCCGCCTGTAGCTTCGTCAGAGGTGGCAGCCCCTTTTGTCTTCGTTTCGTCTTCTTCGCTTCCGCGGCCTCTTTCGGCCCCTTTGCTCGCCGTCTTCTCCTTGTTCATGGCTGCCTCCTCGGCGTTGCTTTACTCTCAGGCCCCTGCTGCGCCTTTGCCTTGCTGGCCGCTCCAGCTCCACCCGGTCCCTTGGCAGTTCCTTTCGCCTTCGCAGGAGCTGCCTTTGCTTTTCTTGATGCGGCAGCCGATCGGCCTTTCTCATTGTACTCCACGTTCACGTTGGTGGTCACAGAACTCTTGGTCTGCCCGCCTTTCGGTTCTTTTGCAGCAAGAGCAGCTTCTGCTTTAGCCATTGCTGGCGGCGGCTTTGGTTTGTTCGCTGGTGGTGGAGCGAGGAGCTCTTCCTCCTTCTCGCCCTCGCTGTACCACCCTTTTTCCATGTGCTTCAGGGGCGCAAGAGTTGTCTCCTCCGAGGAGCTGGCCGACGATTCCACCTCCTTCTTTTGTGCCTCCTTCTTCTTGCGTCGTCTGGCCGCCGCGGCCCACACTCCACCTGCAAGACCGCCAAGAACGACGCCACCTTCCGCGGCCTCCTTCGGATGCGCCTGAATCCAGTTGCCACCGCCACCACCACCGCCACCGCCAGTGCTGGGAGCGTCAGTGCTGGGAGCGTCAGTGCTGGGAGCGTCAGTGCTGGTGGGAGCGTCAGTGCTGCGGGGAGCGTAGGTGCTGCTGGGAGCGTCAGTGCTGCTGGGAGCGTCAGTGCTGCTGGGAGCGTCAGTGCTGGGAGCGTCAGTGCTGGAGGTGTCTGGAGCCTCAGTTGCAGGCTCATCAGGATCATGGTCAGGGTCGTTCTCCGCGTTCACGATGTCGTCGTAGTGATCGTCGTTTCGGTCCATCCCGTTCTCACCAAAGTAATGCTTGTACTCTGCCTCCGACACCTCTCCGTCGTCATTCCTGTCAACGAGATCGAAGCGCTCGTCTCCCGCCTCTCCGGGGCCGTCTCCGCTGTGTCCAAAAATCCCACTCTCAATATGCTCCCCCCAACTAAAACTGTTCGGAGTAAAAACCTCGTCGGGTTGGAGTTTTCCGTCGTGGTTGTCGTCCAACTTGTCGAAGGGTACTGACCCCACCCCCTGTGGGTCTTTGCCGAGAGCAAAGACACCCTGGCCGGCGGCGATTCCGGGCGCATTTTCCGGCAAAACGTTTTCATCCACATCTCCGCCGGTTTCCTGCTCGTACCCGCTGCGCACCGTGTCCTGCCAGAAGTCAAAACCCTTGTCCGGCGGCGGGTCCGCGAACGCCGGAAACATGTCGTCCTTCTTGTCGATCCCGTCCGGTCCGAAAACTTCGTTTAGTTCTTGCTTGGTAACTATCACGGGCAAATGTGTCTGGGTCTGGAAAAATAAATGCAAGATCTGCGATGCATCTTGCGGACGACATGCATGGTCTGAAATGCACACAGAAGCATCACAGATTTTGCGACACCTTCCTCATGCCTATGCCACATGACAAATGCGCCTTTCGCCAACTAAAAAGTTGGTAGCTTTAGGCGATCACGCAATACAGATTTTCTTGCGATCGAGATTTGTTCGCATGACAAGCTGCCACCTTCCAGACCCAGGCATATTTGCAATGCATAGTAACGAGCCCGTCGTGGTTTTCATCCACTAGGTTGAACCGCTTCTGGATCACTTCTGGATCCGTTTGGGCGTTTCCGAAAATCGTCGGCGGCGGGCCACCGGCGGGCGCGGACCGGGTCGCCTCCTCGATGGAGATGGCAGGCACGGCTTCCTTGCCATCTCCCGCGATGTCATTCTTGTCTATGGCGTGCATCTCGTCAAACGTGACATGGCCGTCCGAGACCTTGTGATCGTGTCCTTGCACAACGAGACCCCATGTAGCCTTCTGATGCTCTGTCAGATCCGGAGGCGTATGCACTGCAAAAGTGTCTGGGTCTGGAAGTTTGGAACTTGTGATGCTACCCTTGGACTCTGCATAAAATCTGTATAGCATGAACAGCAAAGGAGGCGCGATCTGTGCCACACGGAGAGGGCATTTCTCATGCGTCATGAGCATCAGAAAGCCCTCGCAGAATTTCTGATGCTAGGGCACGCATCACAGACCTCATGGGTCATGCAAAATCTGCATGACAAACTCTTGCATTCTTCCAGACCCAGACATTTCTACATTTGATAAGGCGACATCTCGCCGTCGTCTTGATTAGACGGAAGCGGCATCCTATGCAAGAAAAAAAGGAGCGCCAGTACACTCATACATTTTTATGACATTTCGGCAAGAACTTCTCAAACTTGCTCTGCATGAGCATGATCTGCAACGCAGGGACGATATGAATATGGCAAGAAAACGTCGTCGCACATCGGGAAACATGGGGGGGGGAGCAGGCTCCGCCCAAGCATTTCCGGCATGAGATAGAGTTTGTCCTCTGTCCTGCTTGTGCTTGCCTTGTAGCGCAACATCACAATGTGTACCTGCAACACGACTTTTTTCTTTGCATACATGTCCCCCGGGTTGTCGTTGTCCCCGCCTGACCCAAACGGGTATGGAACTGTCAGGATTGAAATTAACAGAGTTGAAATAGTTTGTGATGCATAAAATCTATACCAGTTGGGCCCACAGTTTCCAATCGACGCACGACAAATTTTCCTGGTCTCTGAAGCAAGTCTGTCATGCTGTTGAGGGCAAGATGGCTGCTCCCTGTCATGCTAGTCAGCCGCCCAATTCTTGACCCTTACCAGCACTAGAATCTGCCTCCCGCCTTGCGCCTTCTGCAATAGAGTCACGTCAGTCTTTGTGTCGCAGTTTATGCATGACAAATCATTTCAAATTTGTCGATTTCGAACCTGACACATCCATAACGGGGGGTCGAGTTTTATGACAACATCGCCGCGCCGGTTCACATCATAGTTCTCGTTATCGACCTGCACCTGGCCTGATGGGTTGTCATTCGGTTCAGCGAGGTCGCCGGTCCGGTCCTCCAGAGTATCCAGGTGAATTTCCCCCGGTTTGTGATCCGACCCCTCCAGCTTGACGAGCTTGTCCCAGAGGGCGGGACTCCCCTTGAACTCGTCCTTTTGTAACACGCCGTCGGCTATCAAATGCAAATATGGGGTCTGGGTCTGGAAGAATGCATTTTTTTGTCATGCAACTTTTCGAAGACACAAGAAATAATGGTCTCTGATGCACGTAAAGCATTACAGGTTTTGCGCTGGCCTCTTGATGCCTATTCCGCATGAGTAATTTCCTATTTGCGTAGCAACAAGCGGACAGCTTTTCCTTTTGGTGCTCATGCAATACAAATTTTTGCCTATTCATATTCTATAATCCGTAGGACAAGTTCGAATTCTGCCAGAACCTTCAGACATTTTTGCAATGCATATCGCCGTAGTAGGGTCCGTTTGCGTAGTAGGATCCCTTAGCCTTTCCTTCCATGACCGCTTCAGCCTGGTCCACGCGATTCAGATCATCCGGAATGTTATACATATGCAAAATCAATCGTTCGCTAGTACTAGTGATTACATCTGCATCACAAATATTCTCACAAATAAGGTAATGCTGTTCAACAACTGTTTGACTTTGTCTTTGATGCAATATTGGAATTTGTACGACGAGTTCGATAGTTTTACAATGGATAAGTACATGTCGACTTCATTGTCATCCCCAGCAATTTCGTCGTTCATGTGCATCTCCAGTTTCGCCTGCAGATCTTCTGCGGGGTTCTCGCCTCCGCGCAATCCCCCCTGTTGCGTACTCGTCTCGGTTCCGCTTTCGAAGTCGTCGGGATACTGAATGGAGTCCAGCTCGGCTTTGGTAATGATAGGGTGTTTATCAACTGTAAAAGTGTCTGGGTTTGGAAGATTGCCGGCTTTGTCATGCACATTTTGCATGACTCCTCAAGTCTGTGACGCATGCCCTAGCATCACATATTTTTAGAGGGCTTCCTGATGCCTATTCCGCATGACAAATGCTCTCTCCGTACTGAAAAATTTGGACTCTCTTTGCTGCTCATGCAATACAGATTTTTTTGGAATCCAAATTCAGCATCACAAGTTGCATTCTTCCAGACCCAGACATTTTTACATTTGATAGTGTTCCTTCGTGTGATAGTCCGCGTTGTACTTTTCCGCCGGGTATGGAAGTGTCAGGATCGAAATCAACAAAATCGAAATAATTTGCGATGCGTAAAATGTAGGGCACTGAAGGCCTGTGTTGGGGAGTAGGCAAATGAGACCGATTGTGAGCCTGTTTAGGGGTATAAAATGTGCTGCCAGAGTAGCATGACAGGAGGAGTCTTCTTTGCCCAAACTGCATGACAGACTGGATTTGGGTGCGCCCGAAATTTGTCATGCGCCACTGGGAAACTGAGGCTCCAACAGACATCGATTTTGTGCATCGCAAATTTTTCGATTTTGTCAATTTCGATTCTGACACTTCCATACCGGGTGTATCCTGTGTAAAAACTTCTACGGGGCCTACGCCCTCGAACCAAGATTGGAATTACTGAACAACCCACGTAAATCCAGAAGCTTTGGAAGGTGAGTCACGCATGACAGCACGAAATTTATTCGCAGTGTTCTCGCTGCAGTGTAGTGTACTTACTAGAGTAGCTGCGAGTACATCATCTTCCGCATTGCAGAGCCATCTTCTAATCCTGGTGTTTACGGTATCTTCACAAATCCCGAAACACAACGGGTGGAATTATGGCATTTCATCATCAGATGCGCTGCATGTCAACAAACCTTTATTCTGTAGAAGTAGGGGCAAATAACGCAAATCTCCACTATACAATTGATTCTGGGCCGCGGCGGGTGTAGCCGTTTTCTACACAGGATAGGGTTCCAGGTTTCATCATGCCAGGGTACGTCGCCATGCGCTGCGTATGAGAGTGCAAAAACTCGTCTCTGTCCACTTCCTTTCTTGTCATGCAAAACGCCAAATCCACACCCAACCGGGCCTTTTGACCACGTGCGCATGACAAGATTCCGACGTGGCCAAAAGCGCCCTTCCGTCTGGACCACGTCGATTTGTGTTCATGCAAAAGCTCCATCCTTCAACGAGCTGCTCTCGTTGGTAGAAATGGCCTTCAAACCAGGAGCAGAGCGAGGAGTAGTTGTCCGCTATCATACTGCTGTGTTTGGATCCAAATCTTGTCCGTGGATCTCCTGTATCAACTGCAAATAACTCGTCTGGGTGTGGAACTTATTGTGCCGCTTGTCGAGCCCTTGTTGCATTCCTGTAAATTACTCTGTACTGCATGTTGACTGAACAACAAGACCGCAGCCACTTTAGCTTCACCTGTCTTGTTTCATCAGAAAGAAAAACGCATAAAAAGCGCTAGCGCTACTGACGGCGCGACGAGAGCCTTCTAAAACTTCATCTCACGCTTGGCTGCGCTGTCTTCAACTCCTGCTGAAACTGTTTACTGATCCACAATGCTGCAGCACAACAAGTTTCCAGACCTCCCAGACGTAGCTGCAATGGATATCCTGGTCTATTTTCAAATCGTCATTGATCATGTTTTATCGAGTGCACAAGTATTGTACTAGTCGTCCCACTTACTGTCTTCACGCATGACAGATCCCCCTTCTACAAAGCAAAGCCATCAAGTTAAAAATGCAGATTTCATTTTGCAACCCTGAGAGAAAATTTCCAATTGCAATTCCGACTTCTACTTCATATACGATAGCGATACTTTTGCAATGCATATGTCCTGCAAGGCAGCCTGCTGCAGCGGATTCATTTTCGCTGGGTCGATCGGCGGATCGTGGTCCGGGTCGAAGGCACCGGGAGGAAATTGCTCCGCCACCTTGTCTATAAACTGCAAATATGACTGGGTCTGGAACCTTGTGAGGACGCTGGGCTGCGTATTATGAGGGGGGCAAATCAAGTGCTGCCTCAGCGCGACAAGTTTCTGAGCTTCTGGGTGTTCTTGCCTGTTCTGCATGACAAACTGCGTTTCTGCATGACAGAAAAATGGGCTGGGGCTCTTGGGTAATGTGCATGACAGATTTAAGAATCACACCAGACAAGCATGACGAACATGCATTCTTCCAGACCCAGACATATTTGCAATGGATATTGTCCATATACTGGTCTTTCTGCATCTCATGAATCGCCTCTTTCGTGATGCCATGTGGAAACTTCTCTTCAAATTCTTGTTGAGTGACCTGCCACTTGCTGTCGTTTGCATTTTCACCGTTGTCTCCATCGTCGAACCACGCCACAAGATCCTCGTGCGCACCATCTTCATCACCCGTGAGGCGGAGCGCAAGCTCGGATGGCTCAGTCGTGTCACTGAAGCCCCCTGCTGTGAGCTCGTCAAAGTCTATTCTGCCATCAGAAGCCTCGATTTGTTGCATTATGTGATTCATTACGTCCGGATTGTCAAAAGGAAAATCGCCATCGTCTTTCTGTTTCATTTCTTGGCTGACTTTTTTGGTTTTCCGCGTGCTCAGACGACGGTTTTGCTTTCTTGCTGTGCTGCGTGCTGTAGCCATTTTCCGCCGCCCCTGTTTGTAGTTCTTCTGGCTTTCTCCATTTTCGAGCGCGCTACTCGGACCAGAATTTGCAGCTGGACGAAGATATACTTTATCATCATCCACACGACCACCCGAAGTAGAAGAGGAGGTGTCTACTTTACGGAACTCGTCACTTGCTGCAGCTGATGAACTACTACTTCCGGCACCAGCAGCAGAAGGAGCGCTCTTACTGCTCGACCCAAGAAACAGAAAGCGTTGGAAGAAATCTCCCAGCCGATCTTTCCAGGATGAGGAAGAAGCAGCTCCTTTTGTTGTTTCATCTCGATCTCGACGACGCTTCTTGTTTTTCCGCTTCCACCGACGCTAAAAATACCCGGACTTGCTGAGCTTCTCATTCAGTATCTGCAGCTGTTTTTCCGCTTCTTTTTCCTGCTTGTTCCCCAGTTCCAAGACCGCGGAGCCACCTTCGGTGGAGAGATCTTCCGTAGTTGCCGTCGGGGTCGTTGCCGTCGGCGTCGTTGCCGTCGGGGTCGTTGCCGTCGGGGTCGTTGCCGTCGGGGTCGTTGCCGTCGGGGTCGTTGCCGTCGGGGTCGTTGCCGTCGGGGTCGTTGCCGTCGGGGTCGTTGCCGTCGGGGTCGTTGCCGTCGGGGTCGTTGCCGTCGGGGTCGTTGCCGTCGGGGTCGTTGCCGTCGGGGTCGTTGCCGTCGGGGTCGTTGCCGTCGGGGTCGTTGCCGTCGGGGTCGTTGCCGTCGGGGTCGTTGCCGTCGGGGTCGTTGCCGTCGGGGTCGTTGCCGTCGGTGTCGGCAGCAGGGATGATGCTGTGACAGCTTCGGGTTCGGCTGCTGAAGATGCATGGGAGATGCTAACTGCAGGATGGGTAGTAATTATTCTAGTTTTTCCGACCGCTTCTGCCGTTCTTCTTGGTGAAGGACTGGGGGCGCTATCACTAGAAGACGCAGTTGGGACACGACGACTCGCGGACTCCCCCTTCTCCTGTTGCAGGAAGGACGAGGACGCTGGGGAAGGATTTGTTCTACTTGCCGCATTAGTAGCTGACGAAGTGCTACTGGTACTGGGAGAAACACCAAATAGGACATGATCCCAAAGTTGATGGCCATCATTATCATGTTGTCGTGTAGCCCCCTCGATGTTTTTGATATGATCCGCACTACCACTACCTGTGTCGACGTCGCGGCTGTGCGGCGGCGCAACCGCCCTGGAATTATCGATCTGCGACGCAGCTTTCTTGGGTTCTTCGCTGTTTTCTTCATCGGGAATAAATCCCAACATTCACATGTCTCTTGCTGTCGACGTTTTGCTGACTCCGGACACGAAAATGAGATGGTGGTAACCAAGCTGGAGACCAAAGTTCCTGCTAGTGTGGTAGAAGTCCTTGTTACCGGACAATGTGGATCTTGTTTTGGGTGATGAGCTAGAACTGGTAGAAGTCAGTAGCACCAGGAGGAGGTGCACAAGCAGTCCTGAAGCCGTCGTAGCAAAAAGCGTGGCTCTGAAAATGATCCGGCAGAACTTGTGCATCGTCGCTACTCGGCTGAAGGAGTAATAAAAGAACCCGCGGCTGTCCAGAGCACTATCCACCAGAAGCACACAGCGCTGCAGCAGCGGTATGAAGGCATGAAAACGGCCTTGGCCAGCCCCAACTCCGCGCAGCCCAAGAAAGGAATCCCGACGCCGGTACAAGAATGCGGACAGAAGAGTGCTGGCGACGGAGCGAATGGTTTTGCGGCTGCGATGCAATCCTGCTGGAAGACTGGAGCTGCAGTTGCTGCTCCGGCGTCGCTTTCTTGGTCGTTTCATGATGCCGGGTGTGGTACTCGCTTGGTGTCTGCTTATTGTGCTCTTCGCATGAAAAGCCACCCACGCTTGTTGCGGCAGTAAAAAAAACGCCGCACCACGGGGCTTGTTCCACCTCGGACCACAGGCTACACAAATAATAAATCTGCAGGGTTCAATCCTTCCCGGTTCGTCCTTTTGTTCTACCTGCCACCCGCTCGACCAAAAATGCGTGCGCGCCTCGATATAGAAGGCAAAGTGTGATCATAAATACTTAGTGCGAACAAGACTCCTGCAGATTTCACAGTAATTATCTTCCCATAATATCATTGGTAAGTTAGTACATTCTATTTGGCTTCAAACATAGGAAGACCTCGCTCGACGCCAACGGACAACGGTCGTTGGCGTTGGCTTTTACAAATTGAAATCAATGTTTCAGCTGAGGAAAGAACAAGATTACGAGCCGAACTTGCGAGAACCATGTCGAAACGAAGCGAAGACATACAAAACTACGACGAAAGAAGTTTATATTCGAACGTCCAGGACGTGGACGTCGCGATCGTCTACTCCAGGAAAGAGCTATCAGAACCCTCGCGATCGTCTCGATTCGCTCATAGCGAGCAGGACCAGCTGCAGCTGCACTAGGACGACGAGAGTAAGCGATTTCTTTTTCGCTTTCAAAACTTGCTGAGAATCTGTAAGAATTCCAGTACGATGGATGACTACGATTTTTGCGAATCATTTATAGATACTGATTCACTGCAGTTTCGGCACAGATGAAATAGCAATCACGACTCCGATTTCCCTTGACGAAAGACGAAGAGTGCAGGGCTGCAAGTGCAACTGTACTTACTTTCTGTGAAAATGCAATCGCTTCTGTTCTGAACATATGAGCCGTATGAGAAGAACAGGCTGCCCGCGACCATGGTAGTGCAAGTGCTGCAACAAACTCGGTTTCATTTCATATCCCAGATATGTCGTCAGGCGCTTGTTAGATTTAGTTCATCTTACATCACGACCACAACATTGACGTTGATCGAGGAAAGAGCAAGACTGCATGCTTGCTTTTGTCGCTTGTCTTGTTCTTGGGGGATCATTTGTACAGAAAAATAGAAGGTGATATCTGGGCGGGAATCAATAGCAATACCATTGTACAGGAGAAACTTGAACAGAACGATTGTTGAGCTAAATTGACATAACTACTTCTTGAAAAGGTCGATTTTCTTTATTACAAGATGAAGATGATTGATGTAGAAGTTGAAGCATTCGAAGGCGGTCTTAGTTTCCTAGTTGTAGATAAAGCATCAACACCTACTCTTCAAAGATTCACTGAAAGAACTCGCTTGTCGTCTTCCGGTCGAGCAGCTGGCAACACATCACCGACTCCGGTTGCTGGAGCTTCTGGCTCGTCTCCTACCGGCCAGGAGAGGGCCACGTGTGGCGTCGAGTGGAGGTCCGCGTCATTTTCATCTTCCGCTGGAGCTATTTTTTGATGTGACATGCTGCTCGTCCTCGTCCCCTTGAAAGAACTGCTAGCACATGCGAAAGTGGTCCTACTTGTGCGAGTTGTTATTCCTTCGGTCGTTGGCGCCGAATTTGAAGACGTAGCGGCGCCCTGCTGCGGTTCAGCTTGTTCTTGCCGTCCCCATTGTGGTTGTACTTGCGGACCCGTCAAGCCGCACCTTGGCCTTGCTAGAAGAAAAGCTGCCAAGATCAACAGAAGAAACGCGCCGAGGAGCATGACCACCTCAATGTCGCCGTCGCCCACCTGCAGCCTGCCGGTGCTAAATGGGTTTACCGCGGAGGCGTCATGGTTGTCTGCAGTAAGTGCACTGGCGGCGCTCTGGTCAGATGTTCGCTGCCAGAAGTCGGAGCTGGGGATGTTTTCGGCACTCCGGCGGTGCTGCGGAGCCCTGGTGATCTTCTTGCTGCCCCGCAACGCTACTTTATTCGAACTACTAGACTGGTGGTGATACTCGCGGCCCGACTCTGCCTGCGTCGTCGTCGTCGTCGTCAAGGCCGCGCTCACTTCGCTGATAAGACCTTGCTGCGACTGCGGGGCGTGGTCTGCAACCTGTAGAAAACTTTCTTGTTCGAGGGTAGTGCCAACAGGGTCGGCTTGGGAATTTGCGTCTTCCTTTTTATCCTCATCGCCGGACACTACAGCTGGAAGCTCTTGCTCTCCTCCCGTCGCCAAAGGGCCGCCAGGTGCTTGCTTCTCGCCCGTATTTCTCGCATCCGGCGGCCCGACTGCCAGCCAGTCCTCTCCGAAAGCGGTCGGCGGCGTAGCGCTGATCTCCTTGAGCTGAAGGGCGGAAGCCGAGGCTGAAGAAGCAGAAGACGCAGCCCTTTTCCGTCTCCTCGCCGGGCGGGCCCGCGCTTCTTCGTCCGCATCGACAGTGACACGCACACTCATGGAATCTTTCACGAGACCGCCACTTTGCTTTCCTCCTGCGGCTGCCCCCGCTTTGGGCCAGTGTTGCTGCAGTTGCCCAGCGCCACCACCACTGGTGCCTGCTAGTGGCCCGCCTTGGTCGTGTGGGTGCGCGTCGTCGGGAAAAGTGGACTGCAGGCCACTATTTGACACAGGATCACGATGATCAGGCACCCCACCACCCAATTCATTTTCTTCATCCGCATCTCGCTCGCCGTTGTCGTACCACACTTTCTCCTTCGCCTTCAGCTCTGCAACCGGTTTTTTGGATGGAGCAGAGTTGTAGGGCTTCTCCCGACCCGGTATTGGCGTGGCCTTCGTCTTGTTCGTCTTCCGAGCTGCCGCGGCCAAGATCGCGACACCTCCGGCGCCAAGGCCGTATGCATTCTAAAAGCGTATGGGCCTGCTCCTGGGATAAAATGCGACCTCGTGATCCTCAATCTACATCGTGGCGCACCACCAACTTGTCAAAGAACACTGTCATGCCTACCTAACAGCAGGGGCTGCCCGTTGGAAATCTGTCACACACCGAGCCTTAGCGCTTCTAATGGTCTGATGTATAGCATGCTTTCGGTTGCGATGCATAAGAATACCTGGAACTGTGGCGCGCTCGACCGAATTACTCAAAAGCGCCCCCTACATAGCAAAGCCAGCTCCTCGCTCTCCGGTAGACCCAGACACATTTAGAGTCGATAGGGCGCCAGCGCCGGCAGCAACTTTGGCCGCAGCGGGAAGACCTGAAGCATTCCCCTCATCCTGCCCGTTTGTGTGTGCAATATCTCCCTCGGGCGCCTCGCCCGCGGTTGTTTCTGGTGCTGGCGCAGGGGTGGCTGGCGCTGGTGCTGGAGTCGGGCCGGTTGTTTCTGGTGCTGGCGAAGTGGTGGCTGACGCTGGTGCTGGAGAGGGGCTGTCGTGTTCTGGTGCTGGCGAAGTGGTGGCTGACGCTGGTGCTGGAGAGGGGCTGTCGTGTTCTGGTGCTGGCGATTCATCTGCTGGTGGTGGGTTGGTGCGTGAAGGTTCTACAACTGCTGGAGCGTCTGTCGTGGCGACAACCTATCCATCGCAAATAAGTCTGGGTCTGGAAACTTGTGATACGGAAATATAAACGACTGAAACACGACTTGCGAGCGCAGCCAAGCACGACAATTGGAGAGCCCTCCCTTATGCGCGTGACAAAGTCCATCTATATTTGTATTTCCCTGACAAAAGAGAACGCGCTTTTGCCGTTCATGCAATGCAAATTTTCCAGATCGAGTACCAGACAAACATGACAAATTCAAGTTCCAACGTTCCAGACCCAAGAAACAGATGTACAATACGTACGTCCTTCGCGTTCACGATGTCGTCGTAGTGTTCGTCGTTGTATGCATTGCAAGCGTGTCTGGGTCCTTGATATTATCATCGCTACGCCAAAAGGAAAAGATGAGTACGTGTACGAATGACGCCGAGCGGGACGAGCTGGCCACTATGCGCATACGCATCCAGGAGAAGCCGTGCCTTTACATGACAGAGAAGCAGTGCCAGTGCTCTTTGGCAGCATGCAATTGCACAAAGTACAGAAGTACGGCGCGCGTTCCGCATTACAAATACAAGTCATGCCATCATCGACATCACCAAGACATATTTGCAGTGGATACGTTGCGATCCATCCCGTTTTGGCCGAAGTACCGCTCGTACTCCTCCTTGGTGATTTTGCCGTCGCCAATATGCATTGCAAAACTAATATCTTCCGCATCGCAGTGCCAGTAGTGGCAACCTTCATTATGCAATGTCGCGGCAAACTTTATTTATGCAAAACGAAAAGCTGAACTTGTCATGCAGATTCATGTCAGGCACAGGCGCACGCGCAGACCTGCCATGCAAAGGCTGCAATCTATGAAGTTGTACCGGAGCGATTGATATGCTTTTGCACAGGAACAAGATCATACCCATGATCTCCGTCCACCAGTTTGAACCGCTCGTCCCCGGCATGGCCTTCCCCCGCAACGCCGAAGATACCCGGTCCACCGCGTCCACCTGCCTCGCTTGCTTATGGGGTTGTCAAACGTTACACTCTCAACAACTGTTGCATAAATCTGTGATGCAAGATGAATAGAAAACGCGACCCTTGCGCATCTTCCTTGGATTACAGGTTTGGCACGGAGACGGACGATTCTCTATGGTATCTTTATTTAGCGAGTTCTTGTTCAGAACTTGCCATGCGAAGCCGCTTGCTCGTGTAGATGCGAACCATGAAGATGCTCGCGTTGCATCACAACTCATGTAACAATTGAGAGTGTAACGCTTGAAATAAGTGCCATATTGTCACGTCGTCGAGTCTGACCGATCCGTCAGGATCTTTCGGCAGCTCCTCCCAGCTAACCACCCCTACGCCCTGCGGATCAATATCAGAAGAAAATCATCATGTACCATGCACATACAAATTCCACTCGTGCGTCACCAATTCAATTTGCTGCTAGTACGAAGCTAAGTAGCGACGCTAGGTTGTTGGAAGAAGTTGTCATACATGTCTTCGTACATGCGCGGTACATTGGTACTACCCTTTCATTGCATAATCCTTACCGAGAGGGCTGACACCTAGGGCACCCTCTTGCAAAAGGTTCGGGTTGTGCGGCGTATCTGTTTCGGCGTAGCCAGCACGCACGGTGTCCTGCCAGAAGTCGAAACCTTTGTCGGGTTATCCCGCGCAAAAGCAATATCCTACTCGTACTAGAAATTTCATTTCGTGCATACTTGCATGACCGATGGACCGATCTGCTTCTGTAACCCGCTTTCAGTCGTACGCTTCTACCGGAATCGGCATGAAAAAGGCTCCTGAAGAAACTGAAACTGAAAGGCTATCTCGTCGCGCTGCCAAAAAAAAAACTATATGCGAATGCGGTCTGTAGTACTGGTAGTACGAAGAAGATATAATGATATTTGCAATGCATACGGGCGGAGGCTCCACGATATGGAAGTGCCAGAATCGAAATTGACAAAATCGAAAAATTTGTGATGCATAAAATCGATGCCAGGTGGGGCCTCAGTTTCCAAGTGGCGCATAACAAATTGCGGGAGCACCCAAATCCAGTCTGTCATGCTGTTTGGGCAAAGAAGACTGCTACTGTCGTGCTACTCTGGCACCACGTTGCATAAGCCTAATCAGGCTTGCAATCGGTCTCATTTGCCTGCTCCCCAATACAGGCCTGCAGTGTCTAGCATCTTATGCATCACAAACTTTTCGACTTTGTCGATTTCGATCCTGACACCCCCATACACGAACGCCGGAAAGTTGTCGTCGGTGTTGCCGATGCTCAAGTATATCGAATGTAAAAATGTCTGGGTCTGGAAGAATGCAACTTGTCATGCTAGATCTGAAGCATGCAAAAATCTGTGTTGCATGATTGCCAAAAGTCGTCCAGTTTTGACCAAGTCGGGAGGCAGTTTCTCATGCAGGATAGGCATGAGAAAGATCGCACAGAATCTGTCATGCTAGGCCCTGCATTCCAGACCTCATGGGTCATGGAAAAGCTGCATGACAAGTCGCGCATTCTTCCAGACCCAGACATTTTTCCATTTGATAAAGTATGAGAGTGCGCAATCTCCCGCCCCTCGTTTGATGTATAAGCAGAACATGAACAACAATCCCGCTATTCGCCTTCAAAACAATCTGTTTACTGCACAGTGCCAAGAACCTTTAGAAGAACACGAAACAAACCTGTAAATGTTGCGTCATGCCGATGTAGTGGTGCAATATGGAGAGTACAAATGCGTGGCGTTGCTTGCGTTGCTGCTCATGCCCTTCAAATCGGAGGGAGGGGGAGTTCTTGCGCACCCTCATACAGGCCCGAATTTGGCACGGAATTCCTCTTGGGTGACAATTCCGTCGTGGTCCTGGTCTACAAAGTTGGTCTATGGCAGTGGACAAATAATTATAATCCCTTTCCCACAACTCCTTCGCATATCATGCAGCAAAAAGTGGATCACTTAGGGTGCCTGCTAATCGTGACAAAGACAAATGCAATGAATTTGTCATGGTTAATAGAAAGAGGCTACATCTTTTTCTCTGCTATTGTCTCTGTTGCTCTTGCTGGAGCTACTGCTGGTGGTCATGCACCACTACAAACAAAGGGAAAGAACACAAACAAGGCGAGTAGTTCTTGATGTAGAAATTGCCCACTATCATATGAACCGCTGCTGCATCACGTCTGGCGTTGTCTCCTGGTTGCCGAAGATGGTGTAAACTGAATTCGGTATTCCATCATGGAAGTCGGTGTCGTGCGCGAGGCGCGTCGCTTCCTCAATGGAGATCCCCTCCACGCCTGGTTTAGGAGGGTCGGCGTCTCGGGCCTTCAATTCGTCCCAGGCGATAAGAACATCGTAATTGTTAATAAAGTGCGTGTTTGGGAGGTTGATCTTATTCCAAAACTGCTGCTGGCGCGGCGTGATGGCCGGCGGTGTCTCCCCGTCGTCGTTCATGGTCGGGCATCCTGTGCAAATGTATCGTACTCGTAGCCATTGCAATCGTGCGTCGTTAAATTTATCTTTCTTATTCTTGAGGCAAATCTGCATTAAATACAGATCGCATTTCTCATGCTGATGAAATTCAAATTTGCAATGCAATTTATATATGTATACGGATACTTTTGCACCGCATATCGGGAGCAGGTTCGCTGGAACGGGAAGCGCCAACTGTCCCGGTCGCTGGGTATTGGGTCGGAGATGCAGGTCGTTTTTCACACTGTCGCTGACTTTATCCTGGAAAAAACACCCATCCCCATCCATTTTTTGCATGACAAATTTATGCATGTTTTGCATGACAAATTGGATGGGGATGGGTGTTTTTTCCTGGATAGACTTCTCCCGGCTTCTCCAACGCTTTCAGACTGATTTCCCCTTGCTTGTGGCCAGGTTCTAGTTTCTTCAGCTCGTCCCAGAGATCCGGACTGCCTTTCCACTGCGACCTCTTCAGCATATAGACGCCTCAGTTTGGAAATTTGAAGATCAACTTGCAAATTACACATAAACTGCAATCGCAAGTAGTAAAACACCACTCAGAAGATGAGAGATGAGTGTCTACTGCTGTGTTACACTGCAAACAATCGAACCAGATTCGCGGCCTGAGTGGACTCCTGCATGGGAAAGTAGATGCTGAGGAGCATGACAAAAGTGGTTGCTGCTCTTGCTCGAAGCGTCAGCGTCACGTGACTTTCCGCATGATTTAGAAAATCTGTCATGCGCACCAGTTCAAAATTGAAATTATGGACACAGACCTAGACGACAATTTCGGTTTTTTGCATCGCAAATCTTTTCAACTTTGTCAATTTCCAGTGTGGCGCGTTCGTACAAAACTCCGTCGCCGTAGTAGGGGCCGTCTTTATCTCCCGCTTCCTTGCCCTCCATCACTGCTTCCGCCAGGTCGGCACGCGTCAGATCGTCAGGGATGTCCACTTCGCCGTATGCATTGCAAATGGGTTTGGCTCTGGAAATAACTGGAGACGCGGAGATGTGAAGATTGATTGGAACAGTTCCAGTTGTGACTGTGAGTGCAACCAAGCATGGTGGTCTACTTAAGCATAATGCGCAACCGCATTCTTGCATGACACCAAGTCGCATTTTTGCATGATCTAATATGCTTATCGCGCAAGCGCATGACGTCAAGTCGCACTTTTGCACGACACTAGAACGAGAAGCTACTTTCGTGTCGGTCATGCAATAGTTATAGATCTTTCGAATTCGACAGTGCTAGACAGGCATGACAAGCTTCAGGTTATTTCCAGACCCAAGGCAGGCGCATTTGCAATGCATATATTATCGTCCCCCGCTATGTCGTCGTTGAAATGCTATATAGAAGGGCTCTCAAACTACGTTACACGGATCGTTGTCGCATGATTTTGTGAAGATTCACGAGTAACAAGCAGGAGGGAAAGCGGAGAGCTTGCGCGCGTTGCGCGCCAGATTATTTGACACGGAGCATATTTCCAATCGCAATTACATTTAGCGCGCCGAGAACTTGTCAACACGCGAGGTAGCTTCCTCGTGTGGACGAGGGTGAAGGTGATAGTATCCAGGAAAAAACACCCATTCCCATCCAATTTGTGATGCAAAACATGCATAAAATGCACTATTTGCAATGCAAAAAATGGATGGGGATGGGTGTTTTTTCCTGGATAGATAGTGACTCATCTGCATGACACATCATGTTGTAAGAACGATTAATAGAACGTTTGAGAAAGCCATATGCTTCTGCATCGACGCCTTGGCCTCCTCCGCGGTCGGTGCGTGCCCCTCGTCGCCGGGCTCTCCCGTTTCGTAGTCCTCGGGGAGCACAATGCCGTCCAGCGTGGCTTTGGTAAGCACAGGGTGGGTCCGTTTGTACTAATCGTCAGTGTTGTACGACTCGTTCGGGTTCCAGGTTTCCTCCGCGTTAGAGAGGTCTCTGTTCTCGCTCGTATCCACAGAAAATTTCCCTCATCAGTAGTACAATTTTTGCCGCGGTCCCTGCATGATGAAACGAAAATTTGCCTGCTTCAGTCTCATTCTGCATGACACGTGGCACGGTCGAAGCTGGGAAAGATTGTGACGCATTTTGTACGTGTGGGGGAAATTTAAATTGAAATTTGTATTGCATACATCGTGTTCTGACCGTGCACCTCCCCTGGGGGATCAAATTGTGACAGATGGTCGCTCATGCACTGCAAAAGAACTGTCGACTTCGTACTTAAATCGCAATCATACGAACACAAGAGTAGATCTGCCTTCTTGTGTAAGAACTCTGCATGAACAAGACACGTTTTCATTTTTTTTTGCACTAAAATTTGTCATGCGATGATTTTTTCTATTAGCACGATGTCGTTACTTTTGTAGTCATGCTGCATATCGTTTATCATGTCCACCAAGGCTGACTGCTGAATGGGGTTCATTTTCGTGTCGTCGATTGGGGGATCCTTGTCTGGGTCAAACGCACCGTCGGGAAACTGCTCTTGAATGTGTTGGAAAAACTGATGTCTCAGCGCGTCCTTCACGTTTTCCTGGGTAATACGACCTTCCTATGGATGTGTCAGAGTTGAAATCGACAAGGTTGAGATAATTTGTTATGCATAAAATGGATGCGAGTTGGAGCCCAGTTTCCAAGTGGCGCATGACAAATCTCGGCGGTCCCTAAATCCAGCCTGTCATGCTGTTTAGGCAAAGAAGAGCGATTTTCTGATGCTACTTTAGCAGCTCGAGCTGTAACAACCCCAAACAGGCTTACAATCGGCCTCACTTGCCTGCTCTGCAACACACGTACCGCGGGCCATGCATTTTATGCATTGCAAATTATCTCAACTTTGACGATTTCAAGCCTGACGCTTCCATACTTCCGGGAAGGCGGCTAAAAATTCCTGGTGGGAAACTTTGCCATCCTTGGAGGTGTATGAACTGCAAAAGTATCGTATTCGTATAAATGCATTACAAATTTCCTCAGCATGAGAAATAAAATTTGTAATGCAGATTTACCTTAACAAAAGGATTTGTAATGCATGATTGCAATACGAGTACGATACTTTTGCACAGGATAAGGTGTCGAGCCAGGTGATCAGCCCCTGTGCCTTGCTGTTGATGTCGTCGCTTGTCCCGCCGAACAGCTTCTCGGTGAACTCCGCAGGGCTGATGTAGTCGTCGTTCAGGTCCGTATCTTGGTCGGGTGCACCAGCGAGCGTTCCAAACGAATACTGATCTGGATTCGACGCAGCTGCCGCTTGATTCCCGATCTGATCCAGCACGGATGCGTCCATGTCGTCGAACCCCAGGTCCTCCGTGTACATCTTTTGCAGCGCTTCTGTTGTGATGCCCTTCGGAAACTGCGCTTCGAATTCTTCCTGTGAAATGTCGCTGTCGTCGCTTTTGTCGAGCCAGGCAACGATGTCCCTTGCCGTGTCTTCGTGCTCCGATGAAAAAAGCTCGCTGTTCATCTCGGCGATGCGGATCCACGGAAAAAAACAACAAGTGTTACAGTTGTTACACATGTGCTGCAAGAACTTCAGCAACGCAAAATTAATATCCTGCATGGCATGACAAAGAAAATTCGCGATGCGGAGGCCACGAGATGTTGTATGAACAAAACACACGCGAAAAAAACTCGCGAGCATTTTCGGCACGACAAAGGTTCTCTGTCATGCTTGTTTCGCAAGACAGTGTGTAAGAACTGCATCAAAGATTTTTTCTTTGCATAAGGCTGATCTGTCCATCGTGGTCGAGGTCGAGATTGTCGAAAGTGAAGGGGTCGGGGCTGCCACTAGCAGGATCGTATCGAGTGCAAATATTTTTGGGTTTGACATGGCCTGGAATGCTAGTTGGAGAACCAGCAGGGCGAGGCGGCCACAATGGGCAACCAAGCATGGCTCCATATCGAAGAAAAAAACTGTATCTGTTACACATATGCAGAAAAAACACCGAATTTTTTCTATGTCAAAGTAAGAAAATATTTGAGTTGCCGAACCCCGCGGCACCTGATGTCGGTTGATGTTTGTATTGCAAATTATGTAGATATAATCTACTAGCTACGGTTGCTTCAAGTTAACTAAGTAGCTAAGGAGGCAGGTAGTTTATATTCTCGGGACCGGAAGAACCGGACAGCGACCAGCAGTTCACCAGGATGAACCACTCTGGCCCCACCGGTGGGGCCAGAGGTCACCTTGCAGGCGAATCACGGACGGAGCCAGCAGCTGCCAGCTATATTCTCATATACCTGCCTCCTTAGCTAGCTAGTTCAACATTAAAGTGAAGCAGCCGTTAGCTCGATCCATCTTTCAATACCAAATGATACAACAACATGAAAATGAATTCTGCCTCGCGCATTGAAAAAAATTCTACTGCGGGGCAAAAAAAAATTAGTGATTTTTCTGCATATGTGTAACAGATACAGTTTTTTTCTTCGATACTCCAGGTTTTTGAGTTACTACGGTGTTGTCTATTCTGTAGAGCGAACTGCATTACCGTAGGACAAAAAGTCAGGCTTTATTTGGGTAACTTGCATGACAGAATCGCTTGAGAGTCAAAGTTGTCATGCTGTTGCTGGCCGCGCATCCCAAGCTTTTCACTCTTCCAGACCCAAATAACAACAACAAATTTGCCACTCATAAATCGAGGTGTTCATTGATTATTTCCATCGCAGTGGAGGTCATCGCGAGGAACGGGTCGCCGCCATCTTTCATGCTCTCCTTCTTTTCTCCGACTTTTGTTTTTCCTGTCTTCGTCAAGCTAAGCTTCGTCTTCTTGTGCCGGACCTTTTCGAGCACGCTACTCGGTGGGCCGACATTGGATGACTCTTCACCAAGAAGATTTTTATTTTTTTCGCTGAAGGAAGAAGTCGATCGGGGACCTCCTCCACCAGATGCGGAAGCTGCAAAGGAGGATGCTCCTGCTCTCGTTAAAGGATCATGCTGTCCTGCTTTTGTTAAAAACTGCGCTTGTGCAGCCGAAGTTCTACTTTCACTTTGCCGCGCGCTCTGGTTGTTTTCTTGCAGCTGGCGCATGCGCTTTCGTCCTCGCTGCGCCCGGCGGCGCACGAAATACGCAGACTTGGCCAGTCGCTCGTTTAGTAGTTGCAGCTTCTGTGTTACCATACGTTGATGTTGCTCGACCGTGACTTCCAAGGCTGAAGATGCTCCTGGTCCCGAGAAATCGTGTTTTTCACCTGTACTGCCGAGAACCACTACAGAAGGCGTTCTTTCTAGTACTGCTAAATCTACTTCTTCATCAGCGGCTGTTGCGCTAGCTGCTGAGTTGCCCGAGTCTGTTGTTCCCTTTTGCTTTCTTGAAGCACGAAATGGAAAGTTCCCGACATCCGTTCTGCCGGGTACGACTTCTAGCCCTGGTGGCGACCTTGCCGCTTCTGCTGCAGTGGAAGAGGATCTGGAGGACGACGGTTTAGAAGATGGAGGAGAATAAATGTCTTTGCTTTCGACGTCGATCAAACCCGGCTCGTGCTGCACCACGTTCTGCAGGAACGAAGACGGGGAAAAAGAAAGTGTAGCTGATCCCCGCTGTACTTTTCTACTTCCCTCGTCGCTGCTTTCGTCACCCCCGCTGCCGCCCGAGCCCGTCTTGCTCGTCCTGTGTGAAGAAGTAGTGACCTCCACGTCGCTTGGTGCACCTCGGTGCTGGGCCACTTCTGCGACAACTTCGTGGAAAACTACCTGACGACCCATCAAGGGGAATGGGCCCTCAGACCCTGAAGCAGACGAGTCCGCGAGAATCAATTCGCGCTGGACATCAGAAGTTGCAGTGCTGGTACTATCGTCATCAACCGCGGTGGTCGTCGTTCTTTCCTCGATTACAGCACTAGTAGTTCTCGTTCCCGACACAAAAAAAATGGTTGTGGTTGATGTTCTTCTCGTTCGCCGCCCCCGCTGTTGTTGAAAGTGGTCGTCTTCTACATGACGTTGCTTTTGGTACAACAAGTCGCAGGAGCTGCTTCTGCACGGATTGGTAGAGCAAGTCGGCCCTACTTCATGGCTCGAAAACGAGGTCGTGGTCAGCGACAGCGTCACACTGGATATCAAAACCCGAATAACATTTCCGAACCCCGTGCTGACAGTTGAGACCAGGAGCAGCAAGGCGAGTAAGCAAAGTACGGCTGTGAGGACAGATGTCCTAGTCCTTGTCAGCGGGCTGTTATCCTTTGTTCGTGAGTCGAGCCGGGTGAAGGTGTGCGTGTAATTCTTGAACGTGTGCGATAAACTTCTCAAAGCTTGTTTACCTCTTCGAAAAAGGGGCTTGGAGTTGTTGGTAGTAGTAGTGAAGATGACAGCGAACAAATAGGACGGCTGTGGTGACGAGTAGAAGCAGTGTCGCAATAGAACGCAGAATAGGCGTTTCCCGATCGTCCAGAAGTAGTTGTAGGAGTTGCATCTTCTCCCGCGGCAACGCAATTGCGATCCTTCACCCGGATTTTTACAGGAGCTGCAGCTTGGATACGGATATACCGACTTCCGCCGCCGCTTGCGGTTTTTGTTCCCTCGTCGTTTATTCATCTTCTTGATACTCGCGATTTAGATCTACTATAGCTTGTTGAGCGGTCGTGGTCAACTTGCTGCAAAAATGCAGCACAACTACAGCTTCTCTATTTTATTATTGTTGCGTCTGTTCGTTTATAATCAGGTAGACGTACTAGATGATCAAGCAAAAATCAATATGGCGCTGTCTTTTCGATTTTCCTTTTCTGCATGATTTTCACTATCTTCACGGGAGACGATTTCGACAACTGCACTCGACGAAGGAGAATGCCACCGAGAAAAGGTTATTTCGAATGGTACTGCAGCTAGAAGCTGAAGCACAGTCTCAATTATTATCCACTTGTACAAAGGAACGATTTCGATCCTACAAGTGCATAGCAATAGTGCTGCAGCTCGTGTTTGTCATTGTCTCGAGAGGCCTACGAGAAGACATGTGAACCGCAATCGAGAGAGGAATTCGCTCTAGGAGCTGCGGGTGTGGGTCCAGTAGACCTCGATACGAAGTCTACTCATTAATTTTACCACGAGATGTGCGATGCACGACAACGAACGGAAATAGGCACGACTACTACACTCCTGCAGGCAGCTCTTTTCACCGCAGTTCTTTTTTTGAAATAAAGAACATTATCGCGTCGGATGCAGCCCATGTTCGCTTCCTTGAGGACGATGCCGTGGGAAGGCTCTCCTAAGAAGAGCCTTTGGACACGGAAGAATCTTCCGTGTCCATGATTTTCTACGGTTTTATATCGGTAGTTGCACTGCTGAGTATTGCTTCATATCGGTTACACTTCATGCACCAGGAGTAGTGCTGCATCTTCGTCGTGGTGCTGCTGAGTATTGCTCTCTGACGAGCGTGAAGTCATTTAACTCACGCACTAGAATGCGCAGGCACCTCCAAAAAATAAAGTAACCACGATTTTAGAAGTGAAGAGCTGCACTACTACCTAGTACTAGCGTCTTTCGTGGTTAGTTTCATCGCCTTTTCAACAGACCATCCAACTTCTTGCCCTATTGCTGAGCAAGACCCCCTCCGCCGCCTCCTCCACCCTGGTTCATCATTGTCGCGCTTCCCCCGCCCGGCCCCGCTCGCAAGTTGTACGCAAAGCGGTTCGCCTGCAGGTCTTTCCGCATCCATTTTTGCAAGGGGTTCATCCAGGCGTGCTTTGTCCAACCTGGTTTCAGCTCCCCGGCGTGGGCAATGGTGTTCCCGCGGTGCTTGAAATGCAAGATCTGCTTCCGGACCAGCTTATGCGGGTGCAAAATTCGATACTTGTCTGTCTCCCGCAGCCGTACCAGACGCATCACAAATGGTTGCTTTGCCAACAGTCTAAGTGAAGAACTTCTGCATGGCACAAGTTGTGAAGTGGAGGATCTTTAACTTTATTCTTCTGATTCTGAAAAAGTTCCTCCTCCCAAATAAAAAAAATCATCGATGATTCATCAACATGCGACGTATTTCATCCTATTTGTGCGCGTAGTAAAAAGAAACACGGTGGAAGTATCAACCAGCTTTCCGTTTCTTACAGCTTCGCCGCCTTATATTTCGACAGGTAGGACTCCCGGATTTTGTCGAACCACCGGTCAGGCCAGTGCACCCAGTGGTCCCCCGGCGACGTGAGCAGCGCGTACCGCTGCCCCGTGGAGTTTGCCAGCGTCTTCCGGCTGTAGATCAGGGACACCGCCCGCTTGATCGCCTTCACCCGGGAGAACCACTGATTTCCCTTGAAGGTGACCTTTGCGTTGTCCAGCCCCAGAATGTAGAGCAGCGGGAGGAACCGCTTGTTGCACTGCAGGCCCCGACCGATGGCCCGGGGCGTGATCGTAACGGTCTGCCCAAACTCCTTGCCCCGCACCGGAGTCGGGAGCAGCCCGCTATTCTCGTCGTAGTCGATGAACTCCAGTTTGCAGAGCGCCTTCGTCGCCGCGTCCTTCCTTGCTTCCTGACTGGTGTTGCCGAAACCCACGCCGACGCCGAACGTTCCCCGGCCGTTTCCGACCAGCACAATGGCCCGGAAATAAAACAGCCGCCCCGCACGGCACATCGCTCCCATCCGCCGCAGTTCCACGCACACCTGGCGAAAGGAGTCCAGCTTCAGCAGGGGGTCCACGCCCTTCTGCTGCTTCACGTAGCACCGCTTCAACGGGTCAAAAATCACGTTTTCCGGGACCTTCCAGCGGAAGTTTTCTTCCTTAAAGTCGAACTGGAGCGGACCGGAGGTGAGCTTAGACAGGTTTTCTCTCTCGTGCGCGAAAAGCTGGTCCAGTGTCGCTGCGGGGGAAGAGGGGGAGGAGGAGGACGTTGTCGGCAGGAATTCGCCTCGTTCCACTGTTCCTTCGCGTTCGCGGCCATCTTTGACGTCCTGGTGATCCAATACTCTCTGCTTTATCAAATACTTCTGTAGACACAGCTCCAGATCTGCGTCCGCAAGGACCATTTCGTTGGGGTTCCCGTGCTTTTCTAGTTCCTCCTCCACGCTCATGCAGGGGATCGAGTGCAGCATCTTGTACGGGTCGCACGCCTCAAACTGCAGAAAATTGGTCTTGCCACGATTCACGCTCTTCAACATAAAATTGCTCGCGCGGAGCACCTTGGCTTGGTTCATCATTGCGGTAGAATTTGTTCCTGCTGCTGTCATTTGTGAGCTGCCGCTGCTGCTGGTGCTATCGTTACCGCCCTGTGGAAATTTCATCTCTAGCTCCTGCATCATGTCCGTGCTTTCCAACCTATGGGGGTGTCAGGATCGAAATCATCAACAAAATCGAAATAATTTGTGATGCATAAACTCGATACCAGTTGGAGCCGCAGTTTCCAAGTGGGGCATGACAAATTTCGGGAGCAACAGAATCCAGCCTGTCATGCTGTTTGGGCAAGGAAGACTGCTCCTGCCATGCTACTTTGGCAGCGCATCGCCTTCCCCTAAACAGGCTTGCACTCGGTCTCATTTGCCTGCTCCCCAACACAGGCCATGCGTGCCCTACATTTTATGCATTACAAATTTTTCGATTTTGCGAATTTCGATTCTGACATTTCCATACAACCAACTTCGCAAGTATCCTGACGGAAACCACCATCTTCACGTCGACCACCGCAAACCTGTCTTGTACCATGCTATGCATAAATCGGATTCTGTTACTGTTACACGTACAACTCTTTGCTCAAAATCAAGTGTCAAAAATATTGCCTGAATCAATATGCAGGCTGGTTGGGTGAGTGATTTGATGGTGATTTGATCTTGGATCATAACAGTCCGATCTTTTCCAGGGCGAACAGAAAGTCCTGAAACTGGTTTCCAATAGCAGTCGATGTCGAAGTGGCTCCTGATGTTCCAACAACTTCATCTCCCAGGCCCGCAAATAACCTCAAGACTTCCGCTATGGCGTTCTCAAATGTTACATTCTCAACTGTTACATGATTTGTAATGCAAAAGCACAGCCAAAACCGACGCGATCAAGCTGCTTCGCATGACAAATTCTCGAAGAGTCAAACAGGCTCGGAATCTGTGCCAGATCTGTCATGCAAGACGCGCAAGGTCACCCCTTTCACTTTTGCCATTCTTGCGTCACAAATTCATGTAACAGTTGAGAATGTATCAGTTGAGAACGCCATATCCGCAAACCTTTCCCCCATTTCCTCCACGGGGAAGTCAGCCACAAGGTTCCGCTCGTCGACCAGCTTTGACGGCAAGGTATCCACAGAAAAATCGTCGTACACGTGCAACAAATGTCGTTTCTGCATGAAAAATCTATATTACATATGCATTTTGCAAGCCTGTTTAGCATGATTGAACCAAAATGGCATAACCTCATTTGGTGGGAAAACCTGTGACGCTGCATGTTCCACGTGTAAACGGCTGCGGTAGCCGCGGGGGCGATTTTGTGTTGCATAAAGTGGGGAGTTATCGTACAGAAAATCCTCGGAGAAAGCGTAGAACGCATTTTCCAGCACGTTATTCTTTGCCTGAAACCGGAGACGGTCCCCATTCAATCTCCGGTTCTGCAGGACCCGATCTAAGTGTCCTTCGAGAAATTTGGTGAAGTCTTTTTTCGAGAAATTCAACACCGTTTCCGGTCCCAGCAAGTGTGTGAAGCATCTATCCCAGTGCAATTCCACAAATTCCGCGACTTTTGTGGGGTCCTTGGGCAATTGGAAAAAGTTTGCCATGCGCTGCACCAATTTCTGAAGCCGGTCTCGCGGCGAGTGTTTCATCTCGTTTAGTTCCCGGAGCTCTTGCTTCCTGAAGCGGTTCAGCTGCTGCGCGGCGTGTCGCGAGGCCGTGGAAAGAAAGCCGGCAGCGTCTGTCTCACCCTCGACCTCCATTCCATCGAGGTGGTCGTAAGAGCCCTCGTCTATGGATGTGTCAGAGTTGAAATCGGCAAAGTTGAAATAATTTGTCATGCATGAAATGGATGCCGGTTGGAACCCAGTTTCCAAGTGGCGCATGACAAATCTTGGTGGCCCTTAAATCCAGTTTGTCATGCTGTTTAGGCAAAGAAGAGCGATTTTATCATGCTACTTTAGCAGCTCGAGCTGTAACCCCAAACAGGCTTACAATCGGCCTCACTTGCCTGCTCTGCAACGCCCGTACCTCGGGTCATGCATTTTATGCATTACAAATCGTTTCAACTTTGACGATTTCAAACCTGACGCTTCCATATCGTCGCTTTCTAAAGTTGTATCTGCGTCAGTGGTACTGGCGCCATTTTGATCTCCACTGCCGTCATCTCCACCTTTCTTTCCTTGCAAACTCTTCAACAGCGTATCACTTTCCTCCATGACATTTCGGAATTTTTCGTCAGTCTGTAGGGCGGAAGTCGCATTTATCTCGTCCGTTCCGCAATTCTCGTAGCGCTCCAGGTTCAGCTGCTCTTGCAGCAGGTGCAGGTTTTCATCATCTAAACCGAGGAAGATTTTGCAGTAGATCGTTTCCAAGTCATCCGCCAGATCGTCCATTAGCGCCTCTAGGGCGAACACTTGTATGAGAGTTCACAACTCGTGGTCCCCGGATGCCCTCATTTGCCATGTGCAAAATCCCAAATCCAATTGGTGCGCTTCCTTTATCTTGCACTGGTATTTGCATGACAATTTCTGGAGATGGAATCCCGAACAGCAACTACGCAACAAGGCGCGTGAATTCATTGCCACACACAGGCTCCAGATGATGTTGATCTGGCATTTGTATAATTGCGGTTTATTCGATATTACAAATCAGGGGGAGGGGGATGAGTTTTGCACTCTCATAACGTAGCTGTCAGCGTTAATAGTCGGGAGGTAGCCGGAAGACGCGATTGGAAAGGTAGAACCGGACGAGGTCTGTGCTGTTGTCAGTGCACCAGTGGATGCCGTTGTAGTTGCCATTAACGACGTGTTCGTGTCACCACCTCCTGTAGTACTTGCGAGTGCGCCAGAGAGGAGGGGATTGTAGGGGAAGGTCGTGTGGCCACAGGTAGTTGTTGCAATAGAAGCGACACCTCCAGCTGGAGTGTCCGATGCTAGTCTACCCGTTTCTGTTACCGGAGCGGGTGTCTTCCCAAGGAAACAAGTAGATTCTTCGTGTAGTTGAGGACCTGGATGGTCTGCTACTTTTCCGCATTTTTCGCTTTCCCCGTCCCCCTCTGCTGGAGCTAATTTCTGCAAGAGTTGCGATTCAGTAGCACCGGAAAATGTCGTCGGCACCGCATCTTCTTCTACGACGACCCCCACCTCTTTTACGTCAGCTGCAGTTGAGGAGGAGAACGGCGACACGGCAGAGCTTTGCTCAAGATCTTCCTTCGCAGCCTTGTTCATGGCGGCTTGCAAGCGATACATGGCGTCCTCTTCGTACAATATCCAAGAAAAAATGTGCGTACGTGTGAATTTCTTGGAGAAACCGAACAGATGCATAGTATGCGAAAACATGCATGAATGGACACACCTACAATTTATTATTCCTGACCGCACCTTTATCTCGCGTGATGTTGCGTGCGCATCATGAAGGTACGCTAAACAGTCTTTTTTTCTGCATATAAAACGAAGGCGCGTCTGGTCGCAAGGCCCGGTATACCCGCAGCGCCTCGTTGACCTTCACATTTTTATTCGACCCTGAGGCTCCTGACAGTCCGCCAGCTTCGGTCTTGTTTTGGCCAACTACGGTCCCTCCTGGGTAGTTTTCTTGGAGTAAATCTTTTCTTTCCTCCGATGAAAACAAGCCTCCAATGTCCGCCTGGGACTTTTTCAGGTAATTCGCGTATCGGTCTTTTTCGTACTTTACCGACACCCAGTGCACCGGCTTCTGCTCCACCTCTTTTAGGAGGAGTTTGTTGCCGAAGGGGGTGCAGTATGCATTGCAAAAGTATTGTAGGTCTCGTACTATGACTCAGAGTGAGAATTTCAGTTTGTATATGCAGTTTCATCAGCTTAGGGTTCGGAAGGAGCAGCTTTGTCTACTTCACGCAGATCTAGCTACAATTAGTCTTGGCACGAGTGCGATACTTTTGCAAAATGCATACGCGGTTGATTTTTTTCCCAGCTAAACCTTGATACAACTGCCGCCGCTGCTGGCGGTTGAACAAAATCGCTGGAGTGTGTGGCTGTGTGAAGGACGCTGGCCATCCCGTGCGAGCACTAGGAGCCGAGCATGTACTTTGTGAGCTGCTAAACGTCCGCGCAATTGTTCTCCTCTGTGCAGGACCACCTCCCCTGTTCGTGCATGGCCGCCCGGTGGCCGCTGCTCGCCCGACCATCAAATGCAAAGATGTCTGGGCCTGGAACAAATTTTAGTTATTTCTAATGCTGAACTATGGATGATTGAGCCAACACTTCCAAGTGGAGGCGAGCATGGTGAACCTGTTTCATGCTCTGTCATTGTCCGAAGATACTTTGCACACCTTACAAACTGCGTTTCTGCAAACAACAGTGAAAAACTTCTATCCTGTTTTTGTAGTCATGCAATACATATTTTCGAGAAAAAGGGATGCAAGATGAGTATCGGAAGTTCATCCGCCTGAAGAACGCACCCAGATTACATCGATTTGCAAGGCATACCAACAGCTGAAGAGCAATGGTAGAAGCACGAAGAGGACGACGAAGTAGAATGAGGCTTCATGGTTCTTGTTTTGCTGGTCTTTAATTTAAGACGCACAAACTCGATGATTGATCGGGAAAGCAACGTTGGTCGTTATAGCTGCCACCGATAAAAGAAGAGGGAGTACGGCTGTTCTTGATAATACCGACACATGGTTCAGGGTTAACATTTGGCTACGGCTAGGTAGTACACGCACACCGCAAAGGGTCCTCGCACAGCAGGAGATGTCATCTCCACTTGCCAATCTGTTCATGAAACAACTTCGGTTGGTGGTACTGGTCCTCCGCACAGCTGGTGGCAGCAAGTAGAGCGATTCATTGACGACCTTCAACCCTCTGTCGGGATTTTTTATGTGAAAAATTCGTCAGGTTTTTTAAAGAACTTCTTCCGAATTATATCCGGCTCTTCTTCATCAACATCAATCTGCGTTCGGTACAGGAGCTACGTGTGTGACCATACTTACTTTTTTTTCTTTGCAGCGCATCAGCAACTGTCCCTCTGAAGTAGGAACAAGTCCCGAAAAACTGGTAAAATTGGAAAATTTCATCTCTTTCTCTATCCCTCCTCCGTAAACGACGAGCCCCCTTCTCCGCCGCCGGCTGACGCTGCGTCTTCGGTCGTGGCGTCTGATCCGCCGTCCGCTTGACGATTGGAGTGGAACTTGACCATGATGGGGTTGATTTGCTTCTCGACTTCTTTGTGCTTCGCCGTGATATCCTCTTCCGTTTTCTCGTTCACATTCTGCAGAAACTCCTCCTATCGCAAGAAAAAACTGTTTCACTGTAAACTTGTAATGCAGAAAATGTATCTGAGAAGTTGTGTTTGTCTTGCTACACATGCAAGACACTGGATTTTTAGCTCTGTTTTCCTTTAGGGATCTCGCATGGCAAATCTATTTCTCTGTGATGTAGAACAAACTTGTGATGCAGAACTTGCAAAATCCTTACAGTGAAACACTTTTTTCGTACGATACCTCCACTTCGGAGGTTAGTCTGCTGATCAGCTCTTTGTCTTCTTCCGCGAACCCCTCCTCGTTTTCCATGACCGTGCGCTGGCAGTTCCAAATGTAGCCGTCCAGCTCGTTCTTCGCGGTGATTTTTTTCAGGATCTCTTCGTCTTCTTTGGCGTATTTCTCCGCGTCTTTAATCGACTTTTCCACGTTATGGATGTGTCAGGATTGAAATCGTCGAAGTTGAAATAGTTTGTGATGCATAAAATGCAACCCACAAGGTGCCTGTCTTGCAGAGTTGGCAAGGGAGGCAGATTGTAAGCCTATTGAGGAGTAGCAACTGAGCTGCGAAAGTAGCATGACAAAAGGCGTCTTCCTCACCCAAACAGCATTACAGACTGGATTTCGGATCTGCCCAGATTTGTCATGCGCCACTTGGAAACTGGGTTGCAACTGGGATCCATTTTGTGCATGACAAACTATTTCAACTTTGACGATTTCAATCCTGACACTCCCATACACGTCCGTCTTGCTCATCCGGCCTTTCTCGTTGGTAATGGTGATGTGGCACCTCTTATCATGTGCAAAAGTACTATCTTCGCACTCGTAGTTGTGTTGATGTAATTGCAGTCATGCATGACAATATCAATCTACCTGGTCTAGTAGTACTTGCCTGACAAAAAATTGCATTTTTGTACTGGAGGTGAAAGTTTGTATTGCAATTTACAACTCTAGTTCAGTACTCTACTTTTGCAATGCATACTTCTTGTTGCTTGCTCGGTCTACGGCGGACACATTCAGCAACCCGTTGGGATCGAGGTCAAACGTCACCGCAATTTGCGGGACCCCGCGGGGTATCAAGTACAAATAGGTAGTCTGGGTTCTACGCTGGCAAGTTCTTGCCCTGCAAGGTTAGAAAGAACCTCAACTTATTTTATCAGCACTTCTCATGGAGGACACCAGCAAAGTGCGTCTTCCCATGACAAACGAGCGGAGCAAGTCCTTCGCTAGTTGATGACAGACTGAACACCTCAGAGTGGGAGACCAGCCACCAAGCGGGATACATACCTAAGCATCACAACTCTTCTTGCACTCTACTTCCAGAGGACCACCTCCACCTAGAGGACGTATTTGTATTTGATACGGGGCGCGGGCGCGATGCCGTCCAGACGGAACTTGCCGAGCAGATTGCAGTCCTTCGCCATGGCGCGCTCACCCTCAAAGATGACGATGTCAACCGACGTTTGATTGTTCTGGAAGGTGGAAAAAACCTGCTCCTTCTTCGTTGGGATGGTGGAATTCCGCGTGATCAGCTTCGTCATAACACCTGGGAATTGGGAATCAAGCGAGTTGCTTCAAAAAATATACGTTCGTAAAGATAAGCGTGCTTGACGGCTTTGTAAAACTACAACATATGGCGCTCTGTTGGTTTGTCCTGTGAAACTGCGGCGCCAGGTAGCGACCAGGACCACCTCCACTCAAGTGCATTATACGTCTCGCAATAAATGCTTACTTACCTCCCGCGGTTTCCAACCCGAGCGACAGTGGTGTAACATCGACCAAGACCAAGTCGTTCAGCTTCTGCGTTTTGTCCTCCGCCCCGGATAGGATTGCAGCTTGGATCGCCGCGCCGTAGGCGACAGCCTCATCCGGGTTGATAGATTTATTGGGTTGCTTGCCGTTGAAGTAGTCTGAGATCGCTTTTTGCACACCCGGTATCCTCGTGCTCCCACCAATGAGAACGATCTCGTCGATAGTTGAACGGTCGGTCTGGAATGCGAATGAATGAACTTTCATACTTGGAAGTTGTTGCTTTGCGTGTCGTTTGCGCAGCATCAAATTCAAGTTATTTTGCAGCGTGTGCAGAAAAGATGGAGTGGCGCGATCCGAGGTACTTACGCCGACCGCGCGATCTCTTAAAAACCAAAAATATCATCGAGAATAGGCTCCTAGATAACGTTATTCAGCATGGCACCATCAACATGATCAATGACTGCACACATCAGCCGGCATTGGTGTAGTTCTAGTACTGCCAACCTCCACACAAGTATGCAAAACAGCACTGCTCGAGGAGCAACTCAAGTATGTACCACATAGTAACCTAAAAAACCTGCGCATCCTTGAGCACCCGTTCCACGCAGTTCAACGATTTTTTGACGTACCGCCCAATGACCTCGGACTCGAACCTTTTCCTGGTCAACTGAAAGGAGTAGTCCACCCCGTCAAACAGCCCGTCAATCTCGATGTTCGCCGACTGCGCAGAGGATAGCGTCTTCTTGGCGTTTTCGCACTGCTGCCATAGTTATCAATGGCAAATATGTCTGGGTCCGGAAACATGCACACTTGTTGTCACGCAGGTGTTACGTGACCAATGAGGTCTAGAATGCAGGACCTAGCGTGACAGATTCTGTAAGATCTCTGTCATGCTCATGCCTTTCCTGCATGAGAAACCCCCTCCCGACTAGTTCAAAAGTGGACAGCTTTTGGTAATCATGCAGATGCAACACAGATTTTTGCATAATTCAGATTTGGCATGACAAGTTGCCATGTTTGTCGTGTGTCAGGCAGACCCAGGCTACATATTTGCAATGCATAACAGTCTTCGCTTCATCCTCGCGTTATTCTCCACGTTGCCGTACTCTCGCGGGTGCTTTTTCCGGATGTCGGCCAAGCAGAGGTCTAAAATCCCGTGCGTAAAATCCTCGCCACCGAGCCGCGTGTCGCCCGCGGTGGCCTTCACTTCGAACACGCCCTGTTCTATTTCCATATGGGACTCTCAAGCGTTACACTCTCAACGGTTACGGTGAATTTGTCACGCAAAAGCACCCTAAGCCGGCAGATGAGCAAGCTGCTTCACATGACAAATTTCGGAAGCGCTAAACAGTGTCTAAATCTGCCTCTGCGCCAGACTTGTAATGCAAAAGGCGCAATCTTCCTCCTTTCCGTTTTGCCAGTCTTGCAGTACAAATTCATGTAACAGTTGAGAATGTAACATTTGAGAACTCCATATTCCAGTAAGGACACGTCGAACGTCCCACCGCCCATGTCGTACACCAGAACTTTCGACAAATTCTCTTTCTTGTCCAGCTATTCATTGCAAATGTAGTGTCTAGAGGTCTGGAAAGACGGAAGCGGAACTTTATTTGATTCTTGTCTTGCATAATTTCCATCACCATCTCGGCAGAAGCTGCTGATGTGTTGCATGACCAGCAGGAGCAAACGAAGTCGTACTTGTTTGTCAAGTTTGAAATTCGTGACACGTACTACGAGAATGTACGATACAAACTTGATGTAGATGTTATGCCTGGTATCACTTGGAAGAAATGTTGGGTCAATCATCCAGGGTTCAAGGTTAGAAGTTTCTCTTTTCCGACACGGTTATGTTGATATTTGCAATCCATACCAACCCGTACGCCAAGGCCGCGGCCGTCGGCTCGTTGATGATCCGGAGGACTTCCAGCCCCGCAATCTTCCCCGCGGTCTTCGTCGCCTGCCGCTGCGCGTCGGAAAAGTAGGCTGGGACGGTGATCACGGCTTGCGTTACCTTTGCGTCCGTCGCCTCTTCGGCGACTTGCTTCATTTTAGACAACACCATCGAGGAAATCTCCTCGGGACGAAACTGCTTGTTTTGCTTCAAGTGCGTCACCTGGATCAAACAGTCGTTGGTCTTCGGGTCTGGAACGACCTTGAAGGACCAGAGCTTCTGGTCCGCGGTAATCTCGGGGTCGGTGAATTTTCGGCCGAGGAGCCTTTTCGCATCGTACACCGTGTTCAGCGGGTTGCGGGAAGCCTGGTTCTTCGCCGCATCACCAATCAGCCGCTCATCCCCGAAAGAAACGAAACTCGGGGTGGTGCGGTTGCCCTCGCTGTTGGTGCAGATTTGGACCTGAGAAAGATAGAAAGAATGGGAGAGTTCTTGATCATTTTTTTTTCGTCCGGCTTTCGTTATTTGCACCATTTGCAACAAAAATGAGCGCCTCCAGGATTTCACTCCGGAAACGAAACTGATGTACGTCGTGCATACCACATCTAAGCTGCATCAACTTCTGTTGGGCGATACGCGCTACAACCAGGCTTCTTAGAAGACGTCGCACGACAGATATCTAGTACCTGCTCCCCATCCCAGTACCCAACACAGGAGAACGTGGTCCCGAGGTCTATCCCCACCGCTTTGCTCCTCTGGGCCTCACAGAAAACGGAGTTCGAAGCGCATAGGTGTGGGCGAAAGCAAAAACGACTTTTCCGCAGGAGCCGTGACGATGTAACCGGCGCTGTCCGGCTGCTGCCCCCGAGAGCATCTGCATGTTCAGACGAGGCTTCGAGGTTGTTGTTCTCAGCGTCTTTCTCCTGGAAAAAAAAGTAGTTGCTGGCGAAAGAAGGTGTCCGGGGACTGTGGACTCGGTTTGTGCCTTCAAAACTACCGTGCTGCCTGTCGTGGTTCTGGCCCCGGACTTTTCGCACCGCAGCAAACAGCGGCTCAAAGGACCAGGAGGGAAAGGTCATTTTTTGAAGTCGTGCCTCGAGGCAAAGTTCGTTTTAGATCGAGTTAAAACTACGTCGCGATGACAAAGTCCAACTCATATTAGGATTTTGGACTGAGAAAAAAAGTAGCAGGAAACGCATTTGTATAAAGCGCCTAAAGCTGATGTAGATTGATCATGTCAGGAGCGCGAAGGTCGCGTAAAACTATGCCACTGCCGTTAAAGAAAAAAATGGCGTTGCTTGAGAAAAGCAAAAAGTTTGGCCGTCGTGGCAGACTGGGTTTAGCTCGCTGCTCACAAAGAAATTGCTGATCTTCATTCTTCAAAAAGTGTTGACCTTGTTTTTCCAAGAAGAAAACGTCGGCTGTTCATGTTGAATCGTCAGCATCTACATTTAGCAACATTGAAGAAAAACACTTCAACATCTTCAAGCAAGCTTGCTGGAAGTCCATTCGGGTTCTTCGTCCTCTCTTCTGGGAAAAGGTTTCTTTTACTTAGCACTGCAATTTCGAAACAAATTCGTTTTGAAACGAAACACCAGACGAAACATTTTCCACCAGCTCGACGAAAATTGCCCGCTTGGCTTCTTTCGGGCTCTTCGATGCCCTTCGTCAGCGGGGCCGCGCCCAGAACTACGACATTTTAACTCTAGTACTGAAAAAACGTCTTTCATCCCATCCACATCTGCTGCGCGCCACTCAGAATCTGTGCGGCTAGAACAAGCGCGATGGCCAAGAGGATGGGAGGAGTTGCAGTTCCCGTCCCACCAGCTCGTCGTCGCGCGGAGGCTTGCTCTCCTGGTGCAGCAGTAGCAGTACTAGTCTTGTTCCCCGCATCCTCCTTGCCCCCCATCTCCCCGGGCCCGCCCTCCACCGCAACCTCTGTGAGACCGAGGGTGCGAAGTTTGCCCGTGTCGCTGTCCGCGATGCCGGGCAGCTCGATCGTCACAAACCGGCCCTGCTTGCCCTCGCAACTCACAGTAGTAGTTCCGAACACGTTGTTGCTAGGTTCGGCAACGAAGCGCTCCAGACACTTCGATGGATCATCGGCATCACACCGAATCGTCTCGCACACCTCATCTGGAGACGGATCCGGGCAAGCGGAACCCTCCTTGGTGCCGATCCAAAATCCGCTCGCCTCGTCCAACGCCGAGGTCGCCGCTCGGTCCCGCTCCAAGTCCGTTACCAGCACGCGCGCCCCGGCCTGCTCCGGTGTTCCACCCGCCATATCTGTTGCG